CAACGACTGCAGGGGAGTCTTAATATCAAGGCGTATGGGGAGATAGAGTGTTGCATTCGTCGATCGCGATTCATTGGTTAGCTGGCGGCCAAACAATACGCTGTTGCTGTATACGACCTGCGCATCGCGGAAAAAGACAACGAATGAGAACGAACAATGCGTGCACTTTGCAGCCCTACCCCAAGCAATACAGCCGTAGCTACATCGGCTCCACAATAAGGCTTGCGTTCCTTCCCTTCAGCCCATGTTGACGCGCCTCGCGGAAGTGGCGGCGTAGGGGAAGACATTGCTCGGGCCGAAGAGGGAGGAAAAAGGCGTAAGAACTGACATACCGGCTTGGAGTGGACGGTAACAAACTCCGTGGTATATGTGTGAATGTTGCGTACATACATCGCTTCGCCGTTGTCTATCCTTACTCGGTCTCCCACGTTGTAAGGATTCGTGAAGGCGACAAATATCACTGCGGTAACGAAATTCTGGTAGATGTAGCCTGTAAGCGCGGCAGCCAAGAAGCAGGACAGCAGAGGTATGCAGCAGGGCAGGGGACGCTTGGGCGAAGCCTTTTGCTGCATCCGATAGGGAGCATCAGCGCAGTCCATAGCCATAGAGACATGCACACACATATATGCGCAGAAAGGCGCGAACAAGGCGACCACAGAGACACACACCGACCCAGAACCACGCCTGCAAGCACTCTTCAACGGGGAAAAGAAACACCAAAAAACAAAAGGGTGGGCGTGTCCAACTGGAAGAAGAGACAAAATGCCAGGAGGCAACGCGCAGCGCCTATGCAGCGGCTTGAAAGGAAAACAGGTGTCTAAGTGCGAGCCATCAAAACTCGGGTGTCAACGACCCAAGCTGCTTACTGAGGGCTACTACCAAAGCCGAAATGGAGGCAGCGCCAGAGACAAGAACCGTATTCAGGTTCACCCCAAAGGCTAAAAGCATCGCCACGAGGGTTACAACCCACAACACAACAGAAATCATTCGCTGGACGGTCTTGCAAATGCTGGATTGGCTCTAAGAATGCACACACAGATGAGGATTTCGAAGGAGGGGAAACTGGAAAACACGCTCTGGCGCACAGATGGGGAGGCCTCCAAACAGTGTGTATCATCACGCATTTCGGTACAGCCAAACACCCAAGAGGATACAGACACGACCACGAATTCACAGCTGCGACCATAAACATGCACGGCTGTGCGCCGTAATTTTGTCTTGACAAGTTATAGGCTTGTTGGTCAGGTGAGTTCGCTCGCGTGTTTGCAAGATCCCATAGTTTTCCTATGAAGTATGCAATGAGAGGGATTTGGGAGAAAGGCATATCCATCTCGCTAAACGAGGAAGAAGCCGGCAGATTCACGGACAGACGGAGAGCGAGGTAGGCGGGAAGCTCGGGGTGCTCACCGTAAGCGACTTGAGGAGGGCCTTGCGCATCTTGTATATGGAGACAACGGCCCTTTTCAGCATCGACCGATTGATTTTCCCGTGGCCTGATGATAAGCAGCAAACAAAGAGGCACCTTGTCGCATTCGCATAGTCGCACCTACAGAAGATACGGAACTCTATCCTCGCCGTCCCCGTGTGCCGTTCTGGCTAGCTCTACAAATGTATATCTAGGCACAGATATTCGATTGCCGGATAGTGGAGTACAAATGCATAAGCAGGTAGCTGCCGCCCTACACACACCAACATCGAGTCAGAGCAAGCTTGCTCGTATAGATGCTGAGCATGCGGGGAAATGCATGCTCACACATTTTCCCCTCCACACGAGAGCTGCACTCAGTGACGCATCCAGGGGGAACATACAAATCCCCGAGCGAGCTCGCGAATTGTGTTGCAAGCAAGCACGTGGATGCGCCGATTGTGGTAGATTGTGCACCCTTTCTCCCGCTAAATGACGGCGTCTGAGATGCTTTTACCGGTGGAGGCAACCGTTTTAAGGAGACGCATTGAGTTTGCCTGCCTGCCCATTTGGCACCGCACAGGCCATCCTGTGTGCCTCCCAAGCCTTTCGTGTCGTTTGCTTCCTTCCTTGCCGCTTACCTGCCAGATCAACTAGCTTCATGAACTCCTCCACTTCATCGCCCTTAAGAAACATCTCTACAAAGGCCTTGGTGAAATAGTCAGGATAGTCAGGCACCTGGGGTCCTCCACCCTTCCGCCCTTTGCTGTTGCCAAAGCATTCCTCATCTTCGGGGAAGTTCGGCGACAGCCGACGCCGAGAGGAGCTTCCTACCGACTCCCCAAGAGGCGAGGAACCGAGTGCTGACACGCCTGCAGGGGCCCTTGGGAAGGCACTGCCGACCTTGCCGCTCTCCCCACGAGCCAAGGAGGCATTTATGTTGGGTGCGCCGACAAGGAAAGCACGCCTTTGTAGCCGCTGCTGCTGCGGCTTTGCTTGCACGTCGTCCTCCTCTGCGCCTGAGGCAGAACCAGTCCCGCTCCAAAGACTCACCTGGCGCGGAGAGGGAAAGTCTCCTGGAGGCGGTCCATGAGGGTAAGAGCCACAGAGCTGCTCGTCGCTCTCCGCGAGATTCCTGTACGAAAGAGGGCTAGAGATGCCAGGAGCGTGGCTTGTGCTCGTTCTCCTGCGAGAACCTGAGGCCTCTGCCAGCTCGACGTCCTCCGAGCTGCCGTCGCTGTTGCTACCAGGCAGTCTTCTCCGACGCTCAAGAAGCTCCTTGCGAAGAAGCTCCTTGCCCTCCAAAGAACTCGCCGGGGGAGACTCCAAGGAGGAGCAATTCTCAAATAGCGAGTCTGCCGGACAGGGGCGCCCTTGCCGCTGGTCAGGCGTGAAAGCACGTTCCTGCATCGCAGTTTCCAGCAGACGAAGCGTGTGTCCATGTGCTGCGCCGAAGCGCCTTGCTGCCCCTTCCACCTTCCCCCTCCTCCCGCCCTCCTCTTGTCCCCCTTTGAGGGCAGCCAGCAAGACAGGGGCGGTCTAAAGGCGGAGGCGCCGCAGAACGTACTGGGATTTTATGCGGCGCATCACAGGAAAAGCCAGCGTGCCTCACCTCGGCTGTTTTGTCTTCCGCGTCGACAGAGGGCGACCTGATGGCAATGTTGAAAGGCGTCAGAGTGGCAATATGCTGCGTGAGGCCTCGACGGACAGGCCTTGTCAGCTCATTGCTACTACTCTCAACCGAAGACTCAAAGGACGCTGCGCAAAGAGGAGCGGCACACATCTGAAACGCGCATCGCCCGAACGTCAACGGGTTCCACAAACTCCGCGATTCCCGAGTGGCCTCTTTTTCGACCCCTGCGTGAGGCTCACCTAGAGGTTCTATGGGCTCTGCTTTGCTGTCGCTAGGTCCCGTGCCGCCCTTGCCTGCAGCGCTGCCAGACGCGTTTGAATTAGCTTCCGATGAAGTCTGGTGGTCACCTGTCTGAACCTCGGGTATCTGACTGGGGGTGATCGGCTGAGGCTCCGCAGGCCGTCTGTCTATCGATGGCGCTGCAGCTCCGGCCGGGGAGGGCGCTAAGAGGGAGTTGTTTGCTTTGAGTTCTCTCGGAAAGTTTGTAAGTGTGTCTCCCTTTTTCGGTGAGCCTCCGCCCCCTGGCGATTGCTCTTCCCTTGCAGACTCCGAGTCCTCTGCGCGGCTAGCGGGAAACATGTGCAGAGGAAGCGCTGGCGAGTCCGGTCTGAAGGACGCCGATCCATCTGCAGGGAGATCTGTCGAGCTTGTGCCGCTGTTCGGAGGCAAGACGAGTAAATTGTTCCCCAAAGCGCTACAGGCGAAGCAAGCGTCCGTCTCGAGGGGGCCCGCAGCCATTGCTGCATTCATGAGTAACGCTTCTTCGACGACATCTGTTGCCGCGAGCTTCTGGTGCTCTGAACTCCCCAGCCAGCTAGCACGCCGCTCCTGATCGTAAGTCCGCTGCCCCTGCTTGTTCTGCTGCTGCAGCACCTCCATGACGGGGCGACAATGCTGGTAAGGTTCTCTCGTCTGCGTCGCAGCCGTGAGCTCCGCAGCGTCCTCCGCTAGAGCCCAGAAGAGACGGTCTGACACATCGCGCGCCTTCGCCTTGGAGTCGATCTCGATGCGCTCCCCGTATATGAAAACCGCCGGGGGGAAGACAGCGACGTACTGAAGCAGCAACCAGTGATGCATCCTGCTGCTCTTGCACTTGTCTATGGAGCACCGAGTCAGCTGGCTCGGGATGCCTGTACAACAAACAGGAGCGAACCACGGGATTAGGCAGAAGGCGTACAGCCACGCGCAAAAAAGCGCGCGCTTTCGCACAAATAGAGACACGCAAGAGGGCCCCAAGGGCCACCCCGAAGGCACCCACGTGACAGCCTGAACACAGTGAATATGGCTACATCACAGGGAGTGGAAGCAGGCATTTGAAAAAACCAGATACTGTGCCAAAGTGACAGGGGATCAAAAGATACAGAGGGACACAAGTGCACATATACACACACACTATGCATACATATACACGTATATACATGAGTGAAGGCATGTGGCCATACCCTGGCCTTGCAGCTCCCGGCTTTGTATATTTTTGTTTTCTTTGAATCGGAATCGGAAATAATTGATACGCATGGCCCGTGCAATAAATCGCCCCCCCACATGTTTGCTCTTTGTCTTTTGGACATGCTTGGAATGCGGCTGTGAGCGGGGGGGAGAAACTTCCCTGCCGCACAGGCGCATGCACACCCGCCACACTGACACATCCCTTGCTTGCCGCACGCACGTTGGATGCATGCAATAGTCCCGAATTCCCCCTCTTTCTTCCTCCCCACAAAGTGAAAACGACAGCCACAGAGGATCCTAGGAGACCGGCCAAGAGTGAAAGCAGTCGGAGGATAAAAGAGGGGTTGGCTAGCAGCAGCGCCTACCCGACCCGCGCCAGAGGCGCAGTCTCGCGCGCAACAGCCGAGGACGTAGCCGTGAAACGAGCGCGGATACATAGAGACGGAGCGAGAAAAGAGGGAAGAAGATCAAGTGACATAACTAAGGGCAGGGGACTGTCTGCAGGTCACGTAGTGCTCACGGCTCGTCCCTAACCAAGGAGGGCAAAGCCCTTGAGGGAATCCTCAGAGAAGGATGTTTCGAAAATCGTGAAAATCGGGAGACCACCGAAACCATACTGCGCCCACTCCGCAATTTCTCTGTACCACGGACTTCAGCTCCCAGCCGCTCGTCGTCTTCTTGACTGGCCACATCGCTGCCTTGAGACGCAGTCGCCTTGCAAAGATGGTATGCCCCCCTGCGCGGGAGCTCGCAGGAGTTGACAAGCCGTGCGACACCTCAGCAACCAAGCGCACATAGGAGAACGAGGCGCATATCATCGCGCCACGAGATGCAGCCAAGAAAGAAAGATAGACACACACAATGCGGCAGACAGGCAGAATCGTTAAGATTTGGAAAAGTGTGAATAGTGCTGTGCAAAAGCAAAAAAACGGCTGCTGCCAACTCATAGCGTGGCGCACTGTAGAGCGCAGGAATTCCCGCGGCAGCCCCTGCAGCCAGGCTGACTGCACACTTGAGCAAAAAGAAAAAAGAGTGCGCCTGTGCAAAGAGGCACCCTCACCACTTTGTGTTGAGCTTCCGGAGGGCTGCATATTTTGTAAGGTACTTGACGACTTGACCGCTCATACTGGCCATGAAGCCGAGCTCGAAGTAGAACACCATGGCGCTTTGGATGAGGCGTCGTGTTGTCAGCAGCAGAATCATTAAACTGAGGGTCCTTTGGTAATTGGAGATGGATTGCTGGACAAAGAGGGATGAGCCGAATAAGGAGGAGTCGTACAACTGCTCTATCGTATTCTGCGGTTCGACTGCCTTGGCACTGAACATTTTCCCTGAGCATACACACGGCCAGGGGGCGGAAAAAAGCATCCGGAGGGAAAACGATTTTGCGTTACTTGCGCAGATAACCCTCCAACCACCGCCAAAGTCCCCGTGTTAGCGAGGCATTGCTGCAAGGACTGCCTCGGGAGGCAGCTACCCACAGCGATACTCCTTTTGCTTTTACGTGCGGACGGAGCAACGAACCTTTAGTTAGGTTGCGCTGCCAGAAAATATACAGTCCAACACTCCAAACAACGTAGAAAAGCTCAGGATCCACCGTCGTCAACAGAGAAGACACTTTTTGTTGCTCGGAGAGTCCAACATTAACTATCAGCGTTAATAGCAACATCCTGCAACAGGTGCGCCACTCACTGCCGCTTACGCCCACCATCCGAATTCCAGGCGCACACCCCCGACAAGGCTTAACTTAGCAGCAGCCCCAAGATCCTCGACAGCAGCTCCGGCACACGGCAAAAACTCCATTCCCCAACCCTCCGTGTGCGTACCTCGCGATCATGCAAGCGAACCACGCTGCAGTGTTGATTGCCGAAATGAGCAGCAGGACAAAGACACCCTGCAGCGTCAGCTCGCGCTTGCTCATTTGCTTAATCTGAAGCACAAACAAACCGCAAGCCCGCACGCTTGCATGGACGCCAGCGGAACGGACAAGGGATGCGCGCACAGCCCCGAGCGCATGCAAATCGACGCCTCAGCCAAGCGTCTTGACACCACACAAAGGAGAGAGCAAACCAGCATTGCCAAGATCCCCGTTCCCTCGGCACTCCCGCCTGCCCGCATCCGCCTCTGCAGGTGCCTTGCACCCTTGTTTTGGCGTACAAAATCAATCTGCTGGTCCGTTGGGTCGCTAGTGACGACAAAGCGAGTTCCTTTAGTGAAAATGAAGAGCCCTTCATTCGAGGCGTCTGAGCTGTCTGCGTACGAGGCCGCGGCCAGTACGACGCAGACAACAAAGGGCAGGGCAAGCCACCAGAAGGGGTATAGGTTGGGAAAGACAGCCCTCCTGAAGCCTTGCATCGCGGTGAAACACCTGTTGGGAGTCTCCTCTCGTTCTTCGTCGCTGTCAGAGTTGTCCTCCTTTTCCTCTGCCTCGTGGGGGGGCCCCCACAGACGGAGACCAGGCTCTCCACCACCACCCCGAAGGGAATAGGACAAGCCCTGTGACTACAACGCACAACGATGCCATACACACACGCACAACGTAACCTTGAAAGTATGAGGCCTACTTTTTAAAGCTTTCCACCGCAAGTCGCACATTGCCAGCAGCAGAGACTGGAGGAGCTAAACCGGCGAAATACTATAACTAGGGACGGCGAAGGAGCCTCCGGACAGGGGTCTCAGCCCCTATTTTAATTCCCCAGTGCATTTCGCTTCCCAGGTTTCATAGCACCATACAGGAGGCCTCGCGCACGAGGAATGGTGCGCTGCCACGCTCGACGCATGGAGTCAACTGTGCGTGTGAACAGAAAGGCATGTGTAAACGGGCAGCGCAAGGCACCTCTCGTGCAAGACACAACAAAGAAGCACGCCTCCAGGGAAAGAGGGGCCGTTAGAAATCCTATTCTTTCCCATGCGACGGCAGCAGCAACAGCAAGACTGCTTCCTCACCTTATTATGGGCTGCCGCATGGCCAAAAATACTCCCCGCAATGTTGCGGGAAAACCCCCGGGAACCCCTCGTGGGGCCCCTGACGGGCGGTCCCTCAGGCGACGCATGCATTATGGATGCCTCAAATGCACAGAAAAAAAAGAGCCGCCTGACGTTTCGAGGGGAAACGTTAGGTGCGGCTACTCTTTACGCTGCGGGGGAAGCTGTAGCGAGTCGCACGCTTACAGGTCTGGCTACAGCTCGCTACGGCTATCGGTAGGCCACCCTTTGCGTCTGTGGCGGTATGTGTGTGTGTGTGTATATATATGTATATATAGATATATATATACATGTATGTATGTGTCTCTCCCTCTCTCTCGTTTGTATTCTTTTTGTTTTAAAAAAGCCTCTGCTGCAACCTCACTCAGAGGCCCCCGTGTTTTTCGCTCCTGATCGGCAAGTTGAGTTCTGCTCAGTCTTCAGGTTGGGGGTCCTTGCAGAGGATGTGAAAATCGTATGCCATGAGCTGCCAGATCTCAGCAACCTGAGACTCGAGTGATGAAATGTCCAAAGGCTTTCGCCAGGAGGCTCACCACGCCACAGGGGTTGGCTCCGCAGCTCTTATGACGGTAGGCACCTGATTGGGGGATACAGGGTAAGGAAAATGCAGATTGCCTTTTGTACTGCCATGCCAGCGCCACGGGGGAGATCCGCCTTTGAAGAGGAGGCGCTCATCAGGGAAGCATGCACGCCTGACAGCGTGAAACAAGTGCTCCAGCGAGAGTCGCTTACGAGCTTAAAGAACTGTCATTCTCCAACTACTGCGGACGAACGTGCGAGCAAGCCCGTGGGCGGAGAACATACATCACGAGGCCCTGTTCTACATGCCGCCGAGCGCCACAAGCGTTCCTGCACCGTTCTTGATGCCGAGCAGCCACCCTCTCGGCCTTCCGCAAAGAATGAAATGAGAGAACAATGCCAATTAGGGGGGCTGGTGACTCCGCGTCGTACGCGTCAGACACCAGTGGACAGAAAGCGGGGGGGAACAGGGCAGTCGATGCTAGGGAAAGCCCCAAAATCAAGATTTGGTTTTCCAACGTAAAAAGGCACACAGAATGTACTGAACCAGTCCTAGGGGCCAGAAGGCATAGAGTACAAAAGTGCTTATCGAGGCCGGTCTCCTAGGGAGGCAGGCAGAGGGAACTGGAGGCAACACCCTTCTCTACGACAAAAGGAAGAATGGTGATCTCTTCGATCCTAGGAATGGTTACCGAGCGCCCCTCCGCACCAATGAAAGGAAGAAGAATCGTTGGAGCAAATTGTTTGTTGGCAAGGTCTGCGGGGAGTTGAGCCCCTGTAGAGAAGAAGACACAAACTGTGAGTGTTGAGCTCCTTCAGCTCTTTTTCCCTGATTAAAATAATATAAACACGGAGAATTTAGCGGAGTTCAATTGTTTTCGCTCTGCGATTTCATAAACCAAAGCCGCAAGCAGGGCCCCGGATACGCGGACTCGTACTGCGGTCCCCCATAGAAGAGACCAGGGCTTGTGATAAATGTGGCATAAACTACGGAGAATTATGCCAGTTTTCTTTTTAGCTACGAAATAGTACAAGCTGCGCCCTTATTAATGAAAGATTTCGTCTCACTGTGCGACGACATTGTGTAGACGCGGAAAACTCTCCGTGTGACATTTTGAGACGAACGCTGCCCGTCGAGTCCGGCACTGGGGAGGCTCACATATCCGGCTGCAGCAAAGCATGACATGTAGCCTCCATATCATTTTGCAAACTGCTGTTGTTCTTGGCGGGACTAATGGGAAGAAGAGCGAAGAGAGGTGTCCAAAGAGCGTGTCGATTGCCGACAGGCAGGTCCGTTTTGGTTCCGTGGATTAACGGAATGATGCAATATAAGTCATGATCAGACGACAAGAGAGAAATGACCATGGGACTCTCCTAAAGCTAAACGGCCTTCACGAAGCTGAAGCGCAAGTTAAAGCGTGAACTTAAAGTATAGCCGAAGCAACTCAGTCAGTTAACCCACTAATGTTTGTATTAGTGCAATGCACGAAGGCAAAACACGAATTTGAATACGCAACGGTAAATAGCTATTAGGCACTAGCACTGTATAGATGCAAGTTAAATATTGAGGAACGCGTAAGAAACACAAAGGTCGATATCGATTTGGAAATGAAAAATAAACGGGAACGGAAACTTCAACACAAACGAGATCGACAGTGATTGACGTTCATAAAATTGTGCTTTGGAGTGCGAGCCTGGAAGCGAAACATCACTTCGCGTATGGATGCAGGGCGTCACAACAACGCTGGTAGAGCGACTTTGTAGCAGCCCGTGAACGATATCTCAACCTTCCCTGGTGACCCTGAAAACCCTTATATGGAGCTCCATGAGGATACGAATAAGAAAGTGGATGCGCGAAAGGGAACTGACATCTCCCAAACCTTAATTTTGCTATGCGCTTCGCAACTTCCTTGATTCTTTTTGCTGCCAGCAGTAGCTTTGCCTGCTTTACGTTTTTTCCATTAGGAGCTTAGTTCAAAGTTGGAAGGCATTTCTTCTGTAACTTAGAAATCAAGCGATTCAGGGTGCATTGCAATTATAGATGTCTTTAGAAATTCTAATCAACAGTGTACTGCGCTCTTCATGGGTCCTTCTGACGCTCGGCCGGTTCAGCAGTGTCCCTTCAAAGATTATTGACAACAACGTTGAGCTGGTGCTTTCCTAAAACTGCAAGTCTTGTTTCAAGCTCTCCATGGTATGATGTATGGACTAGGTGCGTTCCTGCTCAAACGTAGATGAGCTCTTGGCTTTTGTGGAGACATTCTTTTGCACGACCAAGAAACATTCATTCAAGCTCTTGGGGTGCTTCAAGGGAGATGGCACAATGCATTCTCTATTGGGCAATGTTATAGCTTGTTGCACTCAGTTCTTCCTGGTCCTAGGGCTGCCCTACGCACTCATGAATACAAGGTGTGCGGGGGGTGTGAAAATACTAGAGGCTGACCTAGTTGTGGCCCATTAAGGCACAGGTTTTAAAGCACCATCGGAATTCTTTATTGGAATCTGTATTCCGAGAGAATGTTTTCAATATGAAAAATCTTTTCAAAGTTAGAGAGACCGTCGCTTGTGCAACGGAGGCAACGGTGGTCATGTGGACCACACAAGCGTTGCTAAAAGTGCTCTTTAGACCATGCACTGCCAGCACAGGTACAATAAGCGTACACCATTTAGTGTTCCGACTTCTGCTTCTTCTGCTAGCGACACTTTCGCAGGGCAGCAGTTGTCTGCACCCCAAGGCAACGGGGGGTTTTATCCAAGTCACAAAGTTATCATGGAACACAATAATTCTTGCAAATTTTCAATAAGGAGTTTTTCTAGATGCTGAATCGAGCTTACCTAAGCCCTCAGGAGCAAGAGAGCCACTGTCTTCCCTTGTGATTCTGGGCTTGGAGACATGTTGGCCTCCAGTTACAATACTAGTGCCGACTTTCTTTAAAGCGTAGAATGTGCTTGCTAAGTTGTCAAAAGGTGTCGAGAGCGATCTTCACGCACTGTTACATTGCGTACTCCTTATTTCCTTCTACCCTTTTCTGGTATTCATACCGTTTGTAACGCGGAAAAACCAGGGGCTACGCCTTACTTGCCCCCCTCGTACAAGCGCAGCGAAAAACCTTACATGAAGTATACACAGCTCAATCGATACAAAATTGACCGCAGTATTTATTCAGGCGACCCTTTGTGCAGCTTCAAGTAGAGATAAATTCGCCACTGGATGATTGCCTGCTGGCTTGCAGCGGGACAGAGAGTAGCTCCAGGTACACCGTAAAAAACGGAGCCCGATGATCCAAATACTTTACCAGTAAAAGGAATCATTTTGAAACATAATAATCCTTGTTTTTTGGTACGATATTCTGTAAGTCTGAAGATTATTACATGTGATCCTAGGGAGCCCGCTCATGGTTCCGCCACAGTGCGTTGGTCGGCTGTCCTGATGTCTTTCCTCCTTGCTACATGGCCAGCAAGTCGGCTGCTGTCTGGTAGATTTTTAGCCACTAGACGACTTCAAAAATCAAAGCCAAGCTTTAATTGACAGGGGGGCACGTTTTCCGGCAGGATAGCAGAGCATTAGCGCCTTCCCGCCAGCAGACTTGGTCTCGATTGCAGTCCCTCCCCTTTTCTTTAGCGTTCACGTTAAGATGGCCGCCCATACAGAGGAGAGGCAAGGAAGGCCTTTCATAGACCCTGAAACAGAGCCGAAGCATGCGTTTTTGCAATACTTCGATGCAGAGGAGAAGGCCCAAATGTTGCGCATTCTGCGGTGTTTGTACATCTTGTGGTTCTTCAATGTCGCCGCGACCGTTGCAAGTTTTGCCCTTGGACTGACGATTACTTTTCATCCTTTTGCCCTTAATGGTGCCTTTAACTGGCGCGTCGTGCACACTGGTTGCAACGTGCTCCTTCTGGCTCTGGCAGTCGGCCTCGGACTGGCGGGAGCACACAAGGGCAGCACCAGTCTGCTCTATCAGTCAGGTGTGGCACACGTCCTTCTCTCCATTTCATCCTTGCTTCCTTTTTTCGGAAGCCTTTCGGTCCTCCTTCTCGTCTCCGGGGAGTCGAGGGGAGACACCCCCGCAGACAAAGACTTCAGCCGCCAACTCATCACCGCCCTGGGGGGCACGGGAGGCGTCTCTGCCGTCGTTTCTCTGATGTGCGGTGAGTTCAGAGGCAACCAGCGTCACTGTGTTTCCCGCTTTGCGGCAACGTTGCAGGCCTCCCCCCAACCGCCGTGGAAGAAACGATCCCTTCCCTCAGCCTCTGCTCTGTGTCTGCTGCGTTGCGGTGCTGCAGCGCTAGAGGTAAGGGCCGTCTCTCGGCTCTTGTGGGAGGTGATGCCTCCCAAGGCACCCGGAATATTCTAGACTTGTAGTCTCTTAGTAATTAGCCTAACCCCGAGTCCGGGGAGTCTACTTGCTCGTATTCAAATAAGTCTCCGCCCAAACACTGCCTTCGAGAACTGCCTAGACAACAGCAGATCCATCTGTTCGGCGGCAACGGGGAAGACAAACACTGAAGGGGCCTTGCGGCTGATTTTCCACCGTTCCCCGAACACGGCTCACGTTTGCCCGCATCGTGCATGCCTACCCTACTCAGCGCCGCGCACACCCCCTCTCTTCTCCTCTCGTCTCCTCTCCTCTCCTGCTGCTACCCTTCCGGCTCCACACTACCTTCCTCACTTTTGAGAATCGGATACGTACTACAAACCCGCCAACCCCCCGATCCCCTCTCCCTCTCTTCGCGGAACTAGCTTGCCACAAAATACCATGCGAACACTGCTTTTAGGAAGCTAGGCGAAGGAAATCACAGAAAAGCCACAGTGATATGAATGCAGCAAGCGCGGCACACATGCGGGCGCTTCCAACGCTCCTCCTGTAGGAAGGTGCGTGAGAAGCAAGCTTTTAAGAGGCCAGGGAAATCCAAGTAGCGGTCACTGCGATTTCCCCTGACTCCTCGAGGGCCGTCAGAGCAGCTTCGACTTCAGATGCTGCAGACGCACCAAGCAAGACAGCGCTAACAAGGTGTGCTGTATGTCCTGCTGAGGAGCGCTGCAAAGAGGCGTCTCCCTATGTATTTGAACTTGTCACCTGATTATGAAGATCTAATTGTTTTGGGGCTTTTAAAATGCTGCAAGTCTCGCTGAAAAACCTTTCGCGCTCATTCCTGGCTGTTGATGCCTAAAGGCTCTGCGAAGCGCTCCTCGGGAGGCTTTCGCAGGGGAAAAATGAAGCGCCTCGTTTGGGGGAGACATTTGTGAATGGAGGTATTTGTGTTTCTTACGGGAGTCGACCGAGAGACTCGCGGTGAGGGCCTGTCGCTTGACGGCTCGCCCCTTTGCACTCAAGAGGTTCTTGAGAACGCGGCGTTGCATGGGATCGCTGATGTGTTCATACATGTGTAGATCAGAGGCTGCAGGAGGGGGCAGACACGGCAAAGCAAAAACGCAACTGAGAAGGGGGGGGTCGGGAAGCGAAGCAGGAAGGAGCCCAATGGCGAGCCGTGGTAAGACCACAGCCACACAGACACAAGGGAAGCACCAGGTGCTCGCTGGCGCGTGGCTATCCTCCGAGCACGACTGAGTGATGAGGGGAGGGCCCACTCCCCGCAGAATAAAATTACCAGGTGACCTTACTCTCCGCTTCTTCCGCCTTTGTTACTGCCGGGGCGATGGTAGGAGTAGTGGGAGGCGTCGCGCTTGCAGCAGCCTTATCCTGGAGGGCGCCTGCGATGATTCTTAGGGGGAAGAGTTCGACGTATTCGCGCATGTCTTTTACAGGATTGATTTTGAAGCAGTCGACGTAAACGTCGCCCTTATCGTCCATGCAGGGGAAGCCGTAGACAGTGACGAGTCCTCCTCGGAGCGCTGCACTGAGGAAGCCTTCGAGGGGGGGAAGGCTTTCTTCTTCAGGCGTCTCTTGGGAGGACGTAGCGGCTCCTGGCTCTTGCAGAGAAGCCATCGCGCTCTTGTGGCTGCACTCGACCTCGATGCGACTCGTGGAATCCTCCAGCGTGAACTTGAAAAGGGAGGGGCGAATTTCGAGGCCAGAGGCGACACCGCACAGAGCGACAAGCCCAACGTCGCGTCCGTTCAGTTGCAGAGGACCCCCTCCCGCAGCGCGAGCTTTTACAGCCCTTCGGAGCATCGCCACAGTTGCACAGACGCACCCGTCGGGTGTCTGAGCAGCTTTTTCGCCCCCCCCTCCGGAAGAGCCTCCCCGCTGAGAGGAGGCACTTTGGCCTTGAGAAAAGGGATCTGTGGCATTTCCCAAGTCTTCGGAACCCCCGAAGCTCAGACGCCCGCTACCCCCCAAGCTCTTGCGCGGCTCGGAAGACAGGAATTCATTGCCTCCGGAGTAGGGGGAAAAGAAGGCGTTCTCATCGGCGAACATCGTGGGGCGAGGGAGCGTCGAGCCGGAGGAAGGGGCTGGAAACGAAGGCGCACGGCGCAGCGCAGTCACTGCACAGGGATAGCAGAGACTCAGAGAAGACGAGCAGGAGGCAAAGGGACGGGGGAAGAAGGAAGGGGAGTGGCTAACGAGCTAACTGGCTGTGAGGTGTGAGGAGTGAGGAGTGATGGGTTGCCTGCCTCGGCTCGCGCAGGAAGTCGAGGAGGAGGCGTCCTGGCGCAGTAGGAGGCGAAGGCCAGTCTGTGTGTGGTTGGAAGTGCATGCAGAATCAAGGAAGCAAATCCTTGAAACAATACAGACGCGAAACACTGGTCGCATGTGAAAAGGGGCACAAGGATTCTCTCAAACACACTGGTGGAGGGAGGACTGCTGCTGCGGGGTGGTGGGGTCGGGGCTTTCTGAAATGCTGCTGCGTTGCTGCTGCCTGTCAGGAGGCTGTCTTCCAGCCGAGATCGTGTCTTCTTTCATTGAAATATTGCACTGTACAGGCGAAGATTTACCAAAGTACACCAACGTATCAATGCGGTGGAGAGGAGAACTCGCATGTCTGTGTGAAGAAGGGGTGTGGGTGCGAACGACGAGCGCTGCTAGTGACAGCCGCCAACCCGCCACAGCACGATAGAGACTCTTTCGTTCAAGCAAGCGTACGGGGGTGTGTGTGTGTGCAGCCCCCCCTTTTTCAGAGGGATATTTTTTGCTTCCTTCCTCCTCTGCATGCACGACTTCCAACGCCTCCAAAAGCCTCGATGGCTCTGTGCGCCGTGCAGTGCTTCCCTGGCTTTTCTCTAGGAAGCGTTGCCTTTGCCAGGAGGAGTCACCATGGCAACAAGTGCTGCCAGTGCCTTGCGTTCTGCGTATGAAGCGGCAGGGCAAGGCCATGTGTTTCGCTTTTTTGATCGCCTGAGCGATGTCGAGCGGCAGCAGCTGCTGGCAGACTTAGAAAAAGAGGATCCTCACGAGCTCCGTCGGCTGCTGCAAGAGGCTTTAAAGACGCTGCAGCTCACAGACGATTCCCCGCCCAGACAGATTAAACCGCCACACGCAGTGGATCTCACACCCCTCTCTACTGCTGACTTTCCGCAGCAGCCGGAGCAGTTGCTAAATGCATATCGGCAGCTGCTCCCCCCTTCAGCTGCCTGTCTTGTAGTGCCCTTACGCGACGCTCCCCAAGCCTTGAGGCAGCAGTGGCGAGACAGAGGCCTCCGCCTCATCGGTAAGCCGCTCTCTAGACACCCAAAAATAGAAAACACCCTCTTAAAAACATGCCTTTTCTCCTTCTGCTACTACTGCTCGTGGTAGTGCTACTACTGCTCGTGGTAGTGCTACTGCTACTTCTACTTGTGCTATTACTACTTGTGGTACTGCTACTGCTACTACTACTTGTGCTACTACTGCTTGTGCTACTACTACTTGTGCTACTGCTACTACTACTTGTGCTACTACTACGCGTGCTACTGCTACTACTACTTGTGCTACTACTACGCGTGCTACTGCTACTACTACTTGTGCTACTACTACTGCTACTACTACTTGTGCTACTACTACTTGTGCTACTACTACTTGTGCTACTACTACTGCTACTACTGCTACTACTACGCGTGCTACTACTACGCGTGCTACTGCTACTGCTGCTACTACTTGTGCTACCACTACTGCTACTACTTGTGCTACTACTCCTGCTACTACTACTTTTGCTACTACTGCTACTACTACTTGTGCTACTATTACTTGTGCTGCTACCACTTGTGCTGCTACTACTGCTGCTACTACTGCTACTACTGCTTGTGCTACTTCTACTGCTACTACGACTTGTGCTACTACTATTTGTGCTACTGCTACTGCTACTACTGCGGCTGCTACTACTACTTGTGCTACTACTGCTTGTGCTACTACCACTGCTACTACTACTTGTGCAACTACTATTTGTGCTACTGCTACTGCTACTACTGCGGCTGCTACTACTACTTGTGCTACTACTACTGCTACTGCTAGTTTTGCTACTGTTACTGCTACTACTACTTCTGCTACTACTGCTTGTGCTACTACTACTGCAACTACTACTTGTGCTACTACTACTGCTACTACTATTTGTACTACTGCTTCTGCTACTTGTGCTACTGCTGCTAGTACTACTACTTGTACTACTGCTACTACTGCTAGTACTACTACTTGTACTACTGCTACTACTACTGCTACTACTACTTCTGCTACTGTTACTGCTAGTACTACTTGTGCTACTGCTACTGCTACTACTACTTGTGCTACTACTACTGCTGCTACTACTGTCACTACTACTGCTACTGTTACTGCTACCACTACTTGTGCTACTACTGCTGCTACTGCTACTACTTGTGCTTCTACTGCTGCTACTACTACTTGTGTTACTACTACTACTGCTACTGCTGCTGCTACTGCTTGTGCTACTATTACATCTACTATTTGTGCTACTGCCACTGCTACTACTACTTGTGCTGTTGCTTGCTGCTGCAGCGGAAGGAAAAGTCGGCGTGTTGATCCTCGCGGGAGGAGATGGCACGCGTCTGAACTTTGAGGGCCCTAAGGGAGCGTTCCCTGTGGCGCCTGTCTCTGGCAGCAGTCTCTTTTGCCTCTTTGCTCAGCGTCTACGTCGCATCGTTTCTCTGGCAGCTGCTGCAGTATCCAACAACACCAGCAACACCAGCAACACCAGCAACACCAGCAACACCAGCAACAACACCAGCAACAGCAACAACAACAATAGGCCCCATGTGCCCTTGTATATCATGACGAGCGAGACGAACAGAGCGGCAACAGAGGCTGTCTTTGCAGCTTCAGATTACTTTGGTTTGAACCCTTCGGATGTTCGTTTCTTCTCGCAGGGAACGATACCAGCCTTTGACTTGGAGGGGCATCTCATGCTGGCAGCCGCTCACCAGCTGAGAAGAACCCCAGACGGCAATGGAGGCGTTTTTAAGGCACTGCAGATCAGCGGCATCCTCGCAGACATGCAGCAGCGGAAACTCGAAGGCATTCAGATTCTTTCTGTTGACAACGCCCTTGCCAAAGTCGCAGATCCAACGTTCTTCGGATTCGCATGCACGAGCGACGCAGACGTAGGGCTTCCCTTTCTGCACACGCATATGCTGTATTTTATTCGGCATGCGCTTGCGAAGGTTTCTTAGGCGAGCTGCTCGGCGTGCTAGCTGCATTTCTTACGCTAAAGGCCTACCTGCATGCGGCATCCTCCGTGCAACACATGTGCAGTCTTGTTTCTCAGTGCTGCTCTTTCTTTCTCTCTGTGTATGTAGGTGTGTAGGTTTTGTGTATATACATGTATATGTATGTACGTATATATATGTATGTATATTATGTATGTATGTATGTAGGTGTGTAGGTTTTGTGCATATATGTATATGTATGTATATTATGTATGTATGTATATTATGTATGTATTTATGTAGGTGTGTATATATATGTATGTATATTATGTATGTAGGTGTGTATATGTATGCACATATGTGTGTATGCAGGTGTGTATATATATGCATGTATATTATGTATATTATGTATGTAGGTGTGTATATGTATGCATACATGTATGTATGTAGGTGTGTATATATATGTATGTATATTATGTATGTATGTACGTATGTGTGAATATGTATGCATACATGTATGTATGTAGGTGTGTATATATATGTATGTATATTATGTATGTATGTACGTATGTGTGAATATGTATGCATACATGTATGTATGTAGGTGTGTATATATATATGTATGTATATTATGTATGTATGTACGTATGTGTGAATATGTATGCATACATGTATGTATGTAGGTGTGTATATATATGTATGTATATTATGTATGTATGTACGTATGTGTGTATATGTATGCATACATGTATGTATGTATATGTATGTATATATATGTATGTATATTATGTATGTATGTACGTATGTGTGAATATGTTTGCATACATGTATGTATGTAGGTGTGTATATGTATGTAAATTATGTATGTGTATGTGCATGCATGTATGTATGCATGCGTGCACCCTCCGCTTCAGGTGGCAAACAAAGTCGTTGCGAGGCGGTCTGCCCACGAGAAGGTTGGAGTTATGTGCCAAATCCTTTCCCATGGCCCATGCCTTCTCTCTGAGCAGCAGCAGCAGCGACAACAGCAGCAACAGCAACAGCAACAGCAGCAGCGACAACAGCAGCAACAGCAACAGCAGCAGCGGTGGACTGGAGCAGTTCTTGAGTATTCTGAGCTGCCAGCGACGATGTTGCGGGAGAACCCTAGCGAAGCTTCAGGAGCTGCGAGGAAGGACTGGCCCACGGAGTCTGGTGCCTACTGCTACGCCAACGTGTGCATGCACTACTTCAGCGTCCGCTTCCTGGAGGCTCTCGTGGCGAATCGCCAAGATCTCCACGCGCACTATCACGCGGCGAAGAAGAAGATTCCAGAGCTGAAACTCCTCGAGAAACCTCCAGAGAAGTCGAGCAGAGGAGCTCCAGCGCAAGGCTTCCTCCTACACGCGCCAGACGCAGGTGACCCTTCGCGGTGGTCTGCTGTATCCCCGGATGCGCCGAATGGATGGAAGCTCGAACTCTTTGTCTTTGACGCCTTTCCACTAGCGCAGAGAGTCTTGGTAGGTTCTACATGCACTGCAGGGAGGGAGGAGAAGGGAGGGAGGAGAAGGGAGGGAGGAGGGGACTGCAGGGAGGGGGGAGTCTCAAAATGAGGCTTTCAATTAAACGAGGGGGCATGCACAACGCGCTTCTCAGGACTGGTAGATGTCCCTTCTAGCGGCAGGGGCAGCCACCAGGAAAGATCTCCTCCCTTTTATCGCACGAGTTTGGGGGCTGCCTGCTGCTCGGGTGTTTTTTCTGATGAGGAGGCATTTAGACAGTGCACTCATCGCACGCCTTGCTCTGCTACGTTTGCTCGCAGTGTTTGGAAGTCGATCGAGATGAAGAGTTTGCACCTGTGAAGTGCAGCGGGCCAGAGGGAAGCCCTGCTGCGGACGCGCTTCCAGCTGCACCTTTGGACGTTGATGCAATAGCTGCAGATACACCCCAAGACGCGCAGGTACGCCTCTCCCGCCTGCATGCCAAATGGATCGCTGCTGCTACCGGCCGTCGCCTGCCTCTCCGTTTCGAGGGCAGCAAACACCTCCTATGCGAAGTATCACCGCTGCTAAGTTACGAGGGGGAGGGGCTGGACCCCAATTGCCTAGAAGGCAAAGACACGAACAAGCCGCTGCTTCTGCAGTAGCACATGAGAGCAGTGCAAATCCTAAAGGACGGGGGTGGCGCTGCCTATAAAGAAAAAGCCCCCTATCTCCCCCTTCAGAAGGGTGGGTAATACAGGTACACATATACTGCCCAAGCTTTTGCTTCACGAGCCGTTAAACGCACGTGACCTTGCAGCCTCGAGGAAGAGTGCCCCCTACGAGCCAGGTGCCAGCTGCTGAGAGGCAGGCTGCCTTTCTTCCCCCTCTCCTCCCCAATTTCGTATCACGGCTCTGGAGACTGCTTTTGGAAAAATACCCCAATTCTTCCCCAAGCGACCCCACCCCTCTGGAGAGGGCAAAGGCCGCTCGAATTCCATATTCATACAGACACCGGAGCAGCCAAACAGGCGAGCAGAGAGGGCATATCAGCACGACGCGTTTCAACGGGAGGCGTGTGGCTGTAGCGTGAATGCGCGTCTATCTCGGGGAAATCAAGGTACTAGAAAAAAAGGTTGAGAGTTCTAGAGCGCCGTATTTGGCCTCGAATTGTGTGTAGCTGCCTCTCGGCAATAATCAAAAGCTGTACACTGCTCAGCTACAAGCGACGTCGAGCGGATCGTGGGTGCCCACGCTTGCCGCTCTGCAGAGGCGAAACGCGCACACACCAGTCGCTCTGCGTTACTTTGGGGATGCCCCTTTTATTGACTTGTTAAAGTTCACTCGTCACTGAGTTCACCAGAGCTCTCGCTGCACTTTGCATCATCAGCAGACGTCTCAGCAGCGGCGGCGGAAGCTGCGTCCTCATCGTCCTTGGTGTTTGCAGACTTCTGTATGTTCTCTCTGAGAGCTGCTGCAGCCTGCGCTCGCCTTTCTTCTGCGAAAGCCAGCATTTTTTCCACTTCATCGTGCTTCTCACAGGTTACCCACGCCCAACCGGCGCCGTATTCTGTCGCCGGAACAAACATGTGCACTCTGATATCCCCGTGCTTGGATAGGTTTGCTTTCAGCCGCGCCTGAGGATAAAAGCATCGCATACACGGCATGCAGAATGCAGAGACCGCAGGCAGCATGATGGATGCGGAAAAATGAAAAAACACGCAACGTGCAGCACACCTCTGCCGCGGCGGCGCTCCTCCTACTGAAGAGGCACTCAAGAGCGAATGTATAGCGAAATCGCTGAGACCTGAGTGCGCAGATTTGTTGCCCCCCGGCACGGACAGGCAGGCTGGTGGTATTATGCGCGGGAGCGGCTTGCATCCGCAGCATGAAACATGTGGAGCGAAGTAGTGGCTCTAGCAAAATACTCGAGGTAAGAGCTTCTGTTGAGAAGGCACGCTCTGCGGGTTCGGAAATAGAAGCCCGCGGGCATATAGAGGTAGCCCGAAAGGGAGTCGACAGAGAATCTGTACCTCCGTAACGCCGACTGGAATGTTCTTGATTGTCACTCTGGAGGCTGTGTCGGAGCGCGTCTGAGGAATTACTGGGCGCATGGTGTAGAAAGAGTTGGAAGCCATCGTGCCTTGGGGGAAATGCAAAGAGGCCCACAGAATCCGAACGACTCGCAGCAATCAGCTGTACGATGCGGAGGCACCAGGGACTAGAAGAAGAGCGTTACTCTCCGTATGACCGACCGAATTGTTGAAACGAAAGAAACTGTGAAGGGAAATCAAGGAAAGAAACTGCTTTTTGTGAAAGAACAGTCTTCAACGAGGCAGTGCAGCAATCGACGCATCGGCAGCAACGGCTGGTGGCGACCATTCGCCAGATGGCCATGAGGTACAGCTCACTCAGCCAGCTTCCCCCCTACCATCCGCCCGGTCTGTTGCATTGAATTTGCTTGCATTTCCCATGAATCTGTTAGAGAATATATTTATTAGTACACTTTCTTCATGGGTGCCAGTTTAAAGGCAAGCATACCAGCAACCGCCGCCGACCGCCTTACAGCTGAACGTCGGTTGCGTCCCCCCAAATGCAAGTTTGTTTTCTCAATACGGCACATTGCTCTGTAGAGACAAAAGCACCATTACAAGCAAAAAATAGGGAGCTCTAGAGGCGGAGCTGCTGGACGATCCGCCCAACAATTGTGGAATGCAGGTACATTGTACCTGAATAAGCAGCCAGTTGCTATTAGGGAACCGCGTACGCCCTCCGTATTAGCGGCAAGTGGGGGGCTCGCGTTAAAAACGGATAAGTTTAAGCTTGCTACTTGAGTCAGGCTCACACATGGTGATGCATTTCGCGCACAAAATTCAGTTTCTGCTTGCCGAGACTACCTGAAAAGGCGGCACAAAAGCCTAATTTCCAGCAGAAACGATTTAGCGGGGGTGGTATATTGCTACGAAAATTTGATTGGTAGCTTTTGTACGTTACTGTCGTCTTAGCTCTCCGCTATTAGAGGGAAGTCCATACACCTGGGGGATGGCTGCTGCCGTTACCCCTGATGCCACAAGGTCATACTTTCCACTGAACTTTATCATTGCGTACTTCCAGTCGGCCTTAAATAAAGCTTGTTTCAGTTCTAATGACAGATATATCCAAATGAGAGGAGCTCCCGCTCTGTCTGGAGTGGTGCTATTGCTGCTGCACTTTTCGGCAGCTGGTTCCACCATGAAGTCCAAAGGCCCAGATATATGCAAACAAGGGCATCGCGGAGTTCTTTTTCATATGCGAGACCACAGCGATCTGTCTAAAGGCTGCAAGGTTACAGTCGTGCTGAAGAAAAACTGTCTGAAGCTCCTCAGGTGCCTCAACACGAATTTGCCACGATTGTTGACAGAATTTACACAGTAGTGCGTCAGAGGGAATAAAGAATACAAAAAGATAGACTTGGGTCAGTTTGATTGCTTTTATCCTGTACCATTTCAAGCTACTAACCCAATATCCGTTTCAGAAGCTATTGAAACTCCAATTCACATCGTGCCAAACGACCAAACTTGCATCGCAGTCAAGCATGCTCAAGAGAAGCCCGATATACTCTGGTGAGCATGACAAGATCTAAACCCCTTCAATCTTTCAAAAAGCCAAATTGATGATCGTGAACCTTATAGCTGCGATAATACAAGCTGCCGGGATGAGTGGGTGAGCAATAGCTGCACATGGAAGGAGTGTACAAGCGCAAAACCGTTCTTCTCAGTGGACCATGATCACGAAGCAGATTCTGTGTCTGCACCAAGGAGCGATGAGGAATGAAGTAGCTGGTGATCCACCAGTAGAGGTTGAGCAAAGAGAAGTGCGTTTCTTGTTTAAGCAATAAGACCCCAACTCATGGCGTGTTGCAACACAGGTCCTGGAAAAGGTCATTGAGGAGCCCGAAAAGGGGGGAATAACCATTCATATTGACAAGGTGAAACATGTTCTGACTTTCCAAAACGCACAGCGTGCGCGTATTTCTTTTCTTAGGGCCAAATGCCAAAGGAACCAACTCTCGCAATTCATCCGCGCTTCCAACGCGTGCGCAAGAAAAAGTTCATAAATTCGTCGAGTTGATTTGCTACACTATTCAGCGAACTAGCTCGCAAGCGTTTGCGTTACAAACATTCAAAAAAGAGCAATAGGGCCTTTCTGCGTCTATAGCTTTCCATGGGGAACTTTCTATTCCAGTGACCGCTACTGCTCCACCGCATTGCTTCCCGCCAGCGGATCCTCTAGGGAAAGGTTATCCCACGCTTGATCCCCTATTTCCGCTTTGAATCCAAATGCATTCGCCCTGGCTGCAGAGGCACTCCAAGGCACTGCATGAATTACTCTGATTTCCTCCGAAAGTTGGCGATCTGCCCCTCACCGAGATTGGTACTTGTCCACGTTCGGGATCCTAAAGGTGTTCTGCGCCTCCACAAAACTTCCACCAATGCTTTTTGCAACTTGCTGCGGTTTCCCTCAAGGGTAATGGTCATCGTGTATTGCAGAATATTGATCCAGGTTTGTTTGGGTCTCACGAACACGCCATGAGCAGCTCGCTGCACCAGGTTTTTCATGGGGCATGTGCCTCATCACGCATCAGCATTTATCCTCAACAAAGCCATAAGCTTTTTCTGAGCACCTCCTGTAGACTCGGCTGACATAGAAGACCAGAGCCCTCGTCGGCACATTGCCAGATGACTGGCATATATCAGGCATCTAGGCTATAGGCCACTCTCAATAACGAACCAAAAGTACACTTGGGACGTCGAATTTTCAAAAAGATGGTGCTACACAGCAGAAGTTGAGAAGGAGGGGTGGGCGAAAGATGGGGGTAGAAGAAGAATGGCTGGAAAGACACGATTTTTGTCAGTGATATCAGTCATGATTGTAACGGCATCGCTTCGAGTATGCGAAACAAATCGGCTTTTACTTTCAACTCGCAATTCGAGTTGTTTTACCTGCGATGTTGGCTAACTCTGGGTTCATGAATAATTGACGAGGAAGATTCACTCTGCCGGGAAGCTGACGCAACACGAAGAGTGGATACGGGGAAGACCAAAATGCGTACAAAAAATTACATTGTGATGCGCCATGCACTATTGTACTCTACATTGTTCATCATAAAAAACGAATGTAACATGTGTCGTGCCAGGCGGCACACGGATTTCGCCAAGTACGCATGAAGCCCGTCACATGCGGTGTTCTTTGGGCGATGAAGAAACCTGCAACCAAATGCAGTGTTAGGGATCAAATGCAAAGCATGATATTTGCTGCAAAGCCGTGAGACCTCTGTTCCTAGGTCGAATTGCCGTGACACCTGCTTGGTATTGGAGGCACGGTGCAAGTTTGTACCGCATTAGCGCTAAAGCAGGTTTGCAGCTAGCGAGGGAGATAGCAGCTTCTGCTTGTGACTTCCGCTTCGGACTGCAGGAGCCCTATTCTGTACACTTAGAGGCCCCGGGAGTACTTGAATGGTGCGAAGAGCGCGAGTGTATACGCTTTTCTGGCTCGTTGCACAAAAAGTACGCTCCTACGGGTCTCTTGCCCCACTGAAACGTGAGAGGGAGTTCGGTTAAGCAGGCACCAAAGCGCGTGCAGGCTTGCCCCTGCTAGCTCCATGCCTCCTGGATTTGAACCAGGCAGGACTGCAGCGTTTCAAAGCCCATTTCCACTGCGAATTCCTGTGCGGTGTTGACAAAGTCTCTGAGGAGGCAAACACAAGCACCCGACACGGAAGCTTGCCCTTAAAGAGTCGTCCAGAGAGCAAATGTGCCACATGCTCCCGGGCGTAGGACTCTCTGAAGCTCACTGGCAAACACAAATGCGGCGGCGCGATCACACCGGTTCGACCGATTTGACTTACTCCCAAGTCTTTGGACTCAGACGTGCCTTGAAGGGCTTCCCACACCTGGAGTCACATCCATGTCAACAGCAGCACGCATGCACAAGGCACAAGCCACGCCGCAATCCACCCCGAATATGCCGCGCGTCTGTGTCTAGTGAAGGCTGCCCACAGCGACCTCGGGAACTCTGCACCCCAAATGCGTCAGCGTACTTGCATTTATCCCGAAGATGACTCACGCAGACGGCTTGGCAGCCAATACAGTACAGATCTTGCGCCTGCAGGACACACCCCGACGCGCGGACGCGTGCCATTCAGAAAAACGCAAGAAGGAGACAATCCGTCACGACGGCTCGGGAGAATTTGCAGCTTCCAGAGAAAGCCCTACACCGCGCAGTGCCCACCAGGAAGGCGTAATGCAATTCTTGCAGACCGCGGAGAAGATGCGCTTCAAGCACAGCGTCCTCCAGAGGGGCACTGCACGAAGGGCACTTGCTGCATACAGCCCGAGCACCGGCGGCGCACCCTCCGTATACACCAGCTTTCCTAATCGTGAGACGTGTAAAATGCCCTTTCGGTGAAACTCGAAAACCTCGCATCATTTATACACCTACTCTGCCCTGACAGCTCGCTGCATGCGCGTCCTGAAACACCAGCTGTTTTGGAGGCCCCTTATCGCCACCTCAAGAAACGAACGGAAACATCCCTCAGCACCGTTGAAAAAGAATCCCCCCCCTTCCTCCTCCCCACTCACCGCCCTTCACCCCCTCTCAAAAAGTTAAAACCCGAAAAACCGTAAACGCAAAAAACTTTGAACTCAAAAAACTTTGAACCCGCGACGCTAGGAGCGTGAGAAGCGTGTGCTGAGCAACGCCCGCTGCTCTCACCAAATTTTGATGGCAATCGCTTCGTGATCCTCTGTCTCTCCCGATTCTTCGTGCAATGCAGAGACGAGATCGACGTCTTGCACAGAGCCGCAGGCGCCACACTGCACATCTCTTACCCACAGACTATGGAGGGGGGGCTGCCACTGTGTGTCCAGGCCCTCCTCTTCTCCGGCAATCAGATACAACTCGTGCCGCCGCTCCTGAAGCGCAGAAAAGGGCAGTGTGCCACAAAAGGACGAAGGAATATACACGGGGGTTCAGCCAGATCTTGGCAAAGCTACCTACGTGCGCTGAGAGACAGACAGAGAGAGAGAGCGCGAGACAGGCCGCCCCTCCCAACTCCACCTTCCCCCATCGAGACGAAGCAGCAGGAGCAGTGAATGCGCAAAGACACTATATTCACACACACACGGCAGGCATCACTCAGGGAGCCGAGACGCGAAGCTGTAGCCTCGAAAGCTAGCGACATCGCAGGTTGTGGCCTGTGGGATGTTAGTGGAGGGTTCGTATTTCAGGGGAGGACCCACCGCAAGAGCCTCTGCCCAGCTCTGTTGCGTGAAATCAATGTTTTTATCTAGTTCCATGAGGCGACAAATAAACCGAACGGCGACGAAACGCCAAGACGAAGAGAGACAGCGAGAACCGAGGTGGGGAGGAAACTCTAAGGATCTGCGCACAGAACATGGCCAACAGAGGGCCCCCAGGAAGTCACCTTAGAGGCGCATGACAGAGAGAGATATTGACAGAGAGAGAGCGAGAGAGATATTGACAGAGATGGACAGAGCGAGATACCTACCTACCTACATACATACATACATACAACAAACGGAATGACAGCAGGAAAGACAGAGCTGGGGGTTGCGATGCACAGACAGACAGCCAGGCAAGCAGCAGCAAGAGCCGGAGGACTGTGCAGAAAGACCGTGCCATGAAATATGCAAGAAGGCCATTCTAAATGCGAGAAATGCAAAACGCGCTCACCTGAACGAGAGTTCTTTGCTTTGCCGCACGGCGCTGGCGGTTCCGTATTCTGAACAGATCAGACACATACCGCACACCTGACAGAGTAGATCATCCAAAACTCGACACGCAACTGTATTACTCATGAAACTCGAAAATACACGGAAGCCGAGTCGTTATGGTACGGTTTTAGTGCAGAGCTCGACATGGAGCTCCAGTAGACATGAAACTCGACATGGAGCACGACATGAAACTTTAATAGATGCGAAATTCAAATAGACATGAAAGTTGAGTAGATATGAAAACTGAGGCCTTAAATGCTCAGCGCGGTTCTGCGCTTCGTTAGAGCCTCGAGGACAAAGGAGTGCCGCAACGACACAAGGCGTTACTTTCTTTTCTACACCCCCTCCCTCTCTCTCCCTCATGGTCTATTTTTCTGCACTTCCTCTCCCCCCTAGCCGCCGAACACAGCGTTTTCGGAGGTATATCCCTACTCCGTATGAGTTCAACGGGGTCTCGGATGTAGTGCTTGAGCTTATCGAAGAAGGTTTTCGCTTTTTTTGGTTTGAAACACTCTCGAGAATCAGCGCAGTTTTCCTTGGAGTCCATGAGGCATCCCGCATCTTCTCCAGGCGCGAACCAGAGCCGCACCGCGAGCTCGGATAGTTTGAGAGCGATTTCGCCTTTTGAAAGCATCATGAGGCCGCTGCTGGGCAGGCTGCCTCCGCTTTCACTGGGCAAGAAATCGTCGGCATACGCACTGAGCTGATGCAAGAGTTGCAAAAGCGGCAGCTGAAGCGCTCTGTCGATGCTCGCTCGCAGAAGACAAGCCAGTGGCTCCGGCAGACAGCGCAGGCCTCCAAGCCGATCGCAGACACCCTCGCACTCCTCCTCATTCTCCCCCTCCCCACCAGAGGCGCTGCCGTAGCCACTTTTCGAGCTGCTTCCTTCCAGAGGCACGAACTCCCTGTATCCTACCCAGTCTATGTCGTCCAGCTGCAGCACCGCCACGTAGCTGTCCTTCGGAGCCACAACAAGCGAATCGAAGAGAGGGTGCTGATGCAGCTGCTGCAGCGTCTGCTGCAGCGTCTGCTGCGCTGCTGCTGCAGCAACCACCCGAGTCGACACGATTACACCGCGCAAGTTCGCGGAGATGATCTCCAAGTTTGAGCCGCTCGAAAGCTCCTTCAGCAACAACGCGAGGTACAACTCGGCGTGTCGTTGCACCTGTTGACACGTATACATACATATACATATACATATACTTACACATACACACATATACGTATACATACAGCAATAACTGCCGCAGCCAGCAGGCTCTTCTGCTTCTTAGCACCTACAAGGCTGGCCTTCCCCCTCTCTCCCCAAGCGTTCCCAGTGCCTCATCAAGCATATATGGAGAGAAGCAGCATGGAGGACAGGGCAGCGCACCTTGATTTTCAGGGCTGGATCAAAGAGGAGGGCCCCTCGATCACAAATCCACGAATAAAACGATGCCGGAATATGCTGTAGCAAACGAAGGGCAGCTCCCTGAGGCTCATCCCCTATGGCTCTTGATGCACCCCCACCCTGCTCCAACAGATACAGGCAGGCGAAGAGGCGCTGCAGTGCAAAGCCTAAGACCTAAAGCGCAAAAAGCAGCAAACGGTCGCACATTCAAAGAAGTAAAGAGCCGCAAAATATCCTAAAGGGGATAGGGACTTACGACGCAACACACAAATTGAGGCGCTGGGCAGCTGAGAGCCTCGATTCATTCATTCATGCATTTATTCCATTCATGCATTTATTCCATTCATGCATTTATTCCATTCATGCATTTATTTCATTCATGCATTCATTTCATTCATGCATTCATTTCATTCATGCATTTATTTCATTCATGCATTCATTTCATTCATGCACTTATTTTATTCATACCTTTATTTATCCATTCATTCATACATTTACACATTTATGCACACATCCATTTACTCATTCATTCACACATTTATGGACACATCCACCTATCCATTCATTCATACATGCATCGATTTATTCATGCATTTATAAATCCATCCATTTTTCCATTCATTCACACATTTATGCACACATCCATTTATCCATTCATTCGCACATTTATGCATTCATCCATTTGTCTATCCATTCATGAATTCCTTTATTCAAGACGAATGGAGGGTCAAATCGAGGGGCGACTGAAAGAACGTACCCTGAAGGCCGCAGGAGAAAACTGCGTGGGGGAGTTGAAGCCACCCAGTGCCTTGTCTGCTGCAGGCAGTGCCTCTGCTGCTGCTGTTTCTGCTGCTGCGCCTTCTGCTTCCGGTGCAGTTGTCGCGGCAGCCAGCGTATCCGCTTCGCGTCGAAGCCAATCAGAGGCTCCGAGAAACTCCGGGTCCACTTTTTCCGCGAGGCGCACGCTGTTGAAAATAAGCTGCGCGTATACACCCCATTGTGTTTCAAGCCTCCCTTCAGCCTCAGGTTTGTGGAGAACACGCTCCGCACGCCGGATTACAGACAGAGACAGACAGACAAAAAAAATAGACAGAGACAGACAGGCAGGCAAAGAAACACATACACACACATACAGACACATACACAGACAGACACATACACACAGACACACACATACAGACATACACACATACATACAGACATACACACTTACATACAGACATACACATACACACAGACACATACACACACATACAGATAGCCCTAGGAAGAAAGAGGTTATAGCAGGAAGTCATTGGTGTTGCGTAGGAGGCAACAGGATGTGGTCCAAGAGGCGCACCGAGTCGCCGAGAGAGAGGGCGTAGCATATTGCTCTGTAGATCCCAGGATTCGCGAAGGATGTTTTGCGTTCGCTTAAATCGAAGTCTTCATACGCTGAGGCTCCCAAAGAAGAGCACCCCAAGTCTGGCTCCTTCTCGCGAAGGCACAGGCCGGCGTCTTTGCTGCTCGTGCTGCTGCCTCCCCACAGAATGCCGCGTTGCGCTCTCAGAATTTGCGCGTAAAAACTGTCATAGAGGAAGCGGAAGGTCTCCCGGGGCCCCCGGGGGCCCCCCAAGGGGGGAGGCAGAGGGCTGCCTCCTTCAGCGCTTCCAGCTCTACCTCCAGAGGTCTCTATATCCAGAAAAGCCTCAGCGGCAGAACCCGCAGAGGCGTCTTTTGAGAAGGCGATTCCACGGAGCACAAAGCCCAACGGGCAGCACAGCGTGCGAGAGAGCCACAGCGAAGCGTCGTACAGCTGGCACTGCTGCAGCAGCAGCGTCTGAGACTCCCGAACGGCTAACCTGCAGCAACACACAGGCAGCAGCAAAACGAGACGTAGCGAAAAGACATCTAAGCCGTTGGTCTAGGTCCTGCTGCCCTCTTTCTTTATCCCCTTCCTCCCCCCTTTCTCCCCCCGTTATAAACCCTCCCTCCTTCCCTCGAGCATGCACGGATGCATGCGTCAGAGAGGGCAGCGGCTGTAGAAAGCAGGGCACCCCTTCCTGCAGCAGCCCTCTTCGTGAGGCAGTGTGCTCACAACTCCCCGTCTGGCAGTAAAGCTGCGCGCCTGTGTGTTTTTTGTGCCGCGAGGAAAGCCCTCCAGCACGCCAAGAGAGGGCTTATCTAGGAACCCACTCTGCAAAGGATGTTCGCGATAGCCGCGTCAATCTGCGAGGCACTTGCTCCCAGGAGATGATAGGCAGTGTCAGCTGCGGTCCGCGGGAAGGCGTTCGACTCGCCAAAGGCGCACTTGCCCATTCGCCAAGCTCGTTGAGAGGCAGCGTCGACACGAGCAACACCATGTACTTCTTCAGGGGGGCCCCCCCCTGCTGCTGCTGTTGCTGCTGCTGTTGCTGCTTCTGGAATAAATACTCCTCGAGGGCCTTAAGGGTTTGAGCAACGTCCTTCTTTTGAGCGCGCGCGACTGCCGCTGCTGTTGCTGCACTGCTGCTGCTGCTGCTGCCTGTGCTGCTGCTGCAGAAGAAGCGGCAGGGTGCCCCCTGTAAGGAGAAAGACTCCCCGAAAGCCTTCAACTCGGAGGCAGCCGTTGTCTGCCACACGCCAGCAGGCAAGTCTCTCCAGCTATTGTCGAACGTCCTCCGGCTGCTACTCCTACTCGTGCTGCTGCTGCTGCTGCTGCTGCTGCTGCTGCTGCTGCTGCTGCTGCTGTCGTTGGCAGCACTGTCTTCTTCTTCCTCGTCTTCTTGCTCTATTGCGTCTGCAGAGGCCCCCTTCCCATCCTGCTGCCTCTGTTGGTCTGCGTGCTGCTGCAACGCCGCATCGAGGAGCTCCTGCTGAACCCGCCAAGGGCTAAAAGACTCTCTTTCAACGACTCCCCCGACAAAGATGGCAGCTGCAGGCGGAAGCAGCTCTGCCTCGCCACCCCTTTGCGCTTCATAAACGGCACAAAAGATGCCGTCACAGTCATCGCGCGTGTCTAGAGGCCCTTGCGAACGCCGCGCTGCTCCTCCCCCCCGCCGTCGGCAGTGAAACACGTGAACAACGAGGGGAGACACCCCAGAGAAGTAGGCAGGAAGCGTGCTCTTGAGAGGCTTCGCCGTAGAGACCGCAGCAGCCTTCGAAAAGGCCAAAGAAGAGAACGCACCACTCGATTCCACCACTGCATGCAAAGGCAACACGCAACACGCATACATACATACATACTTACTTACAAGATTTTTTTCTCTCTATCTATATATCTATTTCTCTCTCTCTATCGATCTATCATTCTCGCATTTTCGCATTCTATCATTCTCTATCATGCCCAGACTCTCTCTCTCACACAGGCGCTCACGACGTTCTGTCCCTAAATCATGAGGCACATTGCTCAAAGGGAGCACAGAAGACTTTGAAAGATCAGAACCGAGGAAGGGAGATGATACATGCTGAAGCTTCAAAAATCACCATTCGTTAGATCCGTTGTGTGGGTTTCCATGACGTGCCCAGTCCTCGAAAGGAACGCGAAGTCAAGGGGCAACTGCAAAACAAGAATGCCAGAGGGTGCAGAGGGCTTCTAAGTCATTGTTGTTGCTTTTGTGCTCTCAGGCGTTGCGATTAAGACTCTCACCACGTCATAAAAGCACCCTAGCCAAGCGCTGACGGCAGGTGTTGTGTGTGTGCGTGAGTATATGTATGTGTGCGTTTCGGTGTGTATTTACATTTGTATATATGTATATGTATATATACGTATGTATGTATATATCTACTTATTTATGCATATATATACTTGTTTATGCATATATGTATGCTTATTTATGTATATATATGCTTATTTATGCGTGTACATGAATGTATATATATACATGTGTGTGTGTGTGTGTATGCATGCATGCATGCATGCATGTACGCATGTGTGTGTCTACCGCCGTGCATTGCGTCTTACATGTCTCTCGAAGAATCCGGCGGCTCTTTGGTGGAAGGACGCTGCCAAGCTCTGCTTTTGTTCAATGAAAACTTTCTCCTTCAGCGAGAGCTCTGCGAGATGGAGTTGTTGCAAGCCGCGAGGGAGCAAGTACCTGCCCGTCAGGGAGCGAATTCTTATGCCTCCGCAGTTGCTGCCAGCGATGGAGTCGGTGGTGGCTATGACTGGGGTGATGCAGTTTGCATATAGCTGTCGATAAATTTGCATCGGCACTGAGAAGAAGCGCGTAGACTTGGGGGTCGTAAATCGAAGGGTAAAAGATCCAGGATCCTAGAGGAATTCAGCAGAGAAACAGAACAACAAATAGAGGGCAAAACCAACATGAAACCCCCACAACATAAAGAACAAAAGGTGAAAAACATGCAACATAAGAAATATACAGCATGAAAAACTCAAAACATAAAAATTCACACAGTATAAGAAATACACAAGACAAAAAGCACAACAGAAAAAGCCCCGAAACAGGAAACAGCACAAAACAAAAAACACACAACAAAAAGCTACAAAATAAAGAACGAACAACACGACACAAAAAACACACACACCATTAAAAACACAACACAGACAACATAAAACCCTCATAAAACAAGGGTGTTTAGCTGATACTGCCACGCGCAGTCCATCGCGTTGCATCTAGGGAGGGGGAAAAGTGGTGTCTAGCGCAGCATGGAAGGTTCATAGGAGATCCACAAACACATCTTCCCCGTGGCGTAGAACGACGCGTAGAACGTGAGGCTTTGGACGCATTTTCTTGCTTGCGGCTTACCTCAGAGTCTCTGAAGAAATCAAGAACCTCCCATCGATTGGTGAGAAGCGTGCTGAAATCCTCAGCAGTTAGCCGAGCTCTCCGCATAAGCGTCTCTGCAGCCGCCAGAGTAGCCTTATTCGCAGTCTTGAAATAAGCAGAGGCTGCTAGCGAACGTGACACAGCTCCAGAAGGCGCTCTGCAGCCACGTAGTAGCTCCTGCAGCATCCGCAGCAGAGAGAAAAAAGAAGAAAATGCTATCTCACAGTCTTCCCTTAGGCTGGCATTGCCCATGACTCTCTGCCAGACCCTGCACGCGGCTTCCCACGACGACGCAGCGCTCATTATCCTACAGCGCTGTTGCATGTCTTCTGCCAAGAAAATGCAGCTTTAAAATGGCAAGATATGTAAGCAGGTATGTGTAGATCAGGTCTTTAGTTCATTAGTGCATTAGATCAATGAATAATTCATTAGATCATTGGATAGTTCATTAGATCAATGGATGGTTCATTAGATCGATGGATAGTCTATCGGTTCATTCGCTAGTTCATTAGATCATTGAATAGTTCATTAGATCATTGGATAGTTTATTAGCTCATTGGATAGTTCATTCGCGCGCTTGATGAATCGTTTAACATGAAGCTAACTTGACGCAGAGCCTAAGAGAACATTTATTTTTTCCTCCAAATTCCGTGAACAGCTGGAGAGGGAGGGGGGAAAATCCCCTGTCGAGGTTCTGCACCAGACACTGGCAGTAGGGCAGCTCGCCACTGACCTCTCGAATTTCCTTCCATCGCATCCGTTGAGAAGCAATCCACTTGTTGAAATCTGTTTTGTAGAGCTGAGCCTCGACTTTGCGTTGTTGTTGCAGCTTCCTTTGGAGTTCTAGATGCCGCTGTCGAGCAGCAGCAGCAGCAGAAACAGCAGAAACATCTGGATCGCCTGCTGCTGCAACATTGCGATCGTTGCAGGAGACGGTCTTCTGCTGCTGCTGCATCTGTCTCTCCTGTTGCTGCTGCCGGTGCATCTGTCTCTCCTGCTCCTGCTGTTGCTTCTGTTTCATCTGATAGACGGGTTTAAAGAAAGCTTCCAGCTTCTGTTGGCGCTCGTCGTTGGCTGCCTGTTGCTTCCGTAGCCACTGAGGCACCTCCACGCCTGGCAGAGGGTTGGTGATGCCTTGTCGAATCGCAGGGATGCAGATGAGCTTTTGCAGCTGCACATCCATCCTCTCGCCGTAGTATTTCCAGTCGACTACTTGCTTGAAGTCGTTCGCAATGAGGGCTGCATCAGAAGCAGAAACTCCCATCCACTTCTGCACGTAATGCAGTCGTGTGCGTTCAGAAGCCTGTAGCAGCTGGACAGGGATGGCACGGGCAGTTTTCTCTGCTCCTGGCGGAAGTGCAACAACGAGATATTGCGTTGAAACAGGTGCTTCGCTCAAATACGTTTCGTTCTGCAGCAAGTCCGCTAATCGCCTTGCCGTTGTTATGCTCATGCTTTTCGCGAGCGTCTGCTGCTGCACGCTCTTCCCCAGAACCTTCCGCGCAAGCAGCAGTCGTTGCAGATCGGCTTCCGTCTTCAAAGGAGCGCCTCTAGAACTAATTAAATGCCGATATTTCTCTCCCACCGCAGCTGCCAAGGCATAGGCCTCCTCCTTTGAGGAACCACGCATAAACACTGGAAACAGCTCCTGCTGAAACTGACGAATCAGCTCCAGCTCACCACGCCGCTTCAACTCAAAGCCCTTCAACTCGGCAATCCGATTCTCAGAGCCATACACCACATACCTTAAAAAAGAACATACACACACACACCAACACAAGCAAGTAAGCAAGCAAGCAAGCAAGCAAGTAAGTAAGCAAGTAAGCAAGTAGGCAAGCAAGCAAGCAAGCAAGCAAGTAAGCAAGCAAGCAAGTAACCAAGCAAACCCTGAGAAGACGCAAAGAAGAACGACAACAACGCGATTATCGATAGATCGCCTCCTCCTGGAGGGGCATCTCGTACCATACCCAAAGGAAAAAAATGCGGCAGTCAACAAAAGGGCCCCCAAGGCAGAACACAACCTCATACGAGACTAAAATACTACAGATATCTATAGGTATACAAGTTTATATAGATATCTATATTCATATATACATATATATTTATATATATGTATTTATATATACATATATATATTTATATATACATATATATATACGAACGCACACGACAGACACGGATGCCGGACAGAGAAGACGCGCGAGTAGCAGTAACGCAACAAGATTAAAAAAATACTCGCTAAAAAAGGCACTTTTGCGCCATTCGCGCAGAATGCAGGAAAAAGGTTTTTTTCGCCTTCCCCTTCTCCCGCTTTCCCCCCCTCCAGGAGAGGAGGACCTCTTCCTCAAAGACGCAGCGCGTTTGCAGGGAGCGCCAAGTAAGTCTTAGGGGGAAAAGGGGAGATGGATCGCAGCAGAAAAATGCAGCAAGCAGCACGTTCTCTTCTTGACGCACCGCTTCTTAAGGAGGGAGTCCGTTTTCTCGCTGGCAGGCAAAAGCATGCCTTTCCATGGCCCATCGAGTTCAAAGAAAACTTCGTTTTTAACTTTGCGCGTAAACTGCCGCGTCTTGGCGTCGAATGAGAGAAACTGAGGGTTCTGGAAGCGCTCATAGACGAGGCTATTCAAAATCCACGTCGGATATTCAAACCGTAAATTTCTTTTGGCAGCTCTTTCCTTGCCGCCGCTGCCGTCAGAACCCTCCTTCAAAGTAAAAGCATACTCCAGCGGAAACTGCTCGGGAAGAAGACACCATATTCCGTCCGTGTCCAGCTCTACAGTCATCCCCACGCCGTCCACCAACTCCCTACACATCCAAACGCACACAGTGCACATTGTGTATTCGATGCTTCTATCTTCATACATAATATATATAGGCACTTCTTTATACATATAGATGCATCTGTACATCTACATTTGTGTCTACATACACACATCTATATGTATGTACGCATCTATACGTATGTACACATGCATATGTATATACACATCCATATAAATACACCCATATATACACATACATGCACATATATTTACATATACATACATGCATACATTTACATATATATATATACACGTGTACAAAGAACCACAGACAGAATTTGTCTTGAAACTCGCTGACTCCTCTCTGCTGAGAATCGTATGTAGGCGGTGGTGCCCCTTACTTCAACGAAGAGGGAAGAGAGAAAAACACATTTGGAGGCCTGCCTATCCAGCTCCTTTCTCCTCCACGAAATAAACAAACAAACAACGAAACCAACGACTCATGCATGCAACGGTTCAATACCCATAGGGGGCCCCAGCGACCATTTGCGGTGTACAGACAGTGCGCAGGTGCCCGGCAGGCAGCGCACCGCCGCAGTAATTTGTATGACAAAAACATTTTTCATAGAGTCGCTTACACACACAAACATATATTCATCCATCCAGACGCGAAGTTGCACATTCACACACACATACACATATTAGCACGCACATTCACACACATACACACTTAGACATGCACATACACACACCTTCACACACATACACTCATTTACAGACACATACACACACATTCACACACATAAATACGCATTCACATACATACACATTCACATACATACATATTCACACACATAAATACGCATTCACATACATACATATTCACACACATTCACACATATACATACACATTCACATACACTCCTTTGCAGATACATACACACACATTCACACACATACACACATAGATACACATACACTCTTATACATGCATATACACACACGTACACTCCTTTGCATACACATATTCACACACATACCCCCCTACATTCCCACCTTCGCACACATAGTGTTAGCCATAGAGCGCGTCCTAATAAGACAGAACTTGCACCTTACTTGGCAGCCTGAATAATGTCTGCCCCCATCTTAGTAACTGCAGCCCCCATCTCCATAGAGAACCAACGGGCTCCTGGCCTTTTGACGTAGCCGTAAAATGAGTTCAAGATACACTTGTGAGCTAATTGTAGCGAGTCGTTCAGCAGCACCATGTCCTACACCACTCGCAACAACACTAATATTAAAACGAAATTTCAAAACATCGCATTTGGCAGCGCCTCCCCGTCGGATGGGCCTCTCCTGCGCATCTCCGATACATTTCGCGAATACATCGGCACCTTCCGCAAGCTCTCATAATTCGCACTAGTTGGTTCTGGTTGCTTTCCTGCCACCACTTTCAGAGCAGTGCCCCCCCTTAAGGCTTACTGCCGCCTCCTTTTTTTCCTGAAAGGATCCTCCATGAGCCTCCAGCTGCTCTTTCTTCCTCTCCGCCTCCTTTAGCCGCTTCTTGAAGACGTATCTTCGATCACGGAAAGCGCGCACTGTCTCGACGTAAAAAGGGTTCTCCCTCTGACACACGATCGCTTCCTCATCCGCCTCCTGACAACGCAATGGCCGCAAAAATGCATATACACAAATATACACATATACATACACAAATACACATACATATTCATACACATACACAAATACACATGCACATATACACATACATATTCATACAAAAATACATACATACACATACACACACATACACACAAAATAGCCTCAGTGCCACAAGCCCCAACAAAACTATGAAGCTCTCAATCACCCGCATGCCGCATGCATCGTTCGCATGTGTTTTAAGTCGTCTCAGCTGAGGACGGCGGCTATACTCCTCCAGGTTTGTTTGCATGTACGCGCATGCCCACGATCAAGCGCATCTGTTTTCTAAAAAGGTGTGTCTTCCTAGAATAGCTAGCTAGCTACCTAGGCAGGCAGGTAGCTAGCTAGGTAGCTAGGTAGCTAGCTAGGCAGGCAGGTCGTCACCCTACGTGAAAGCCTTCAAGCCACCGTCAACAAAGCGGCCATCTCCCTCCTTGGCTGCCAATAAAGGAAAGAGTTTTTGCCGTGCACCTGCCTTGAAGCAACAACGCTTCCAGCATCTTTCCCAACCCTCTATCCGTCTCTCCCTTTCCTTCCATCTCTCTCCTTTTCTCTTTCTCTTTCCCTCTATATCTATCTCTCTCTCCCTTTCCTTCCATCTGTCTCCCTTTCTCTTTCCCTCTATATAGATAAATATATATATACATCTCTCTCTCCCTTTCTTTCTCTTTCCCTCTACATATATATCCGTCTCTCTATCTCCCTCTCCCTTTCCTTCCATCTGTCTCCCTTTCTCTTTCTCTCTCTATATATGTCTCTCGTTCCCCTTCCAACATACCTTTTGTATTTTCGTCTTCTTGTGCGCTTTTTGCGAATACTTTTTCGCGGCTTTTAGGAGCGCCATGTATTTCTGCTTGTCTGTCAACTCCGTCCACGACTTGAGGCTTGCAGTATCTCCCTTCCCAATTCGATCTCCTCCCTCGAAGGCGTTGTCTTCTTCCTCCTCCCCGCCGCTGCTACTGCCACTTCCAGTGCTGTCAGCTGCTTCATGAGACTCGCCTTGAGAACCTTGGGGCGGCTCTGAGGCAAACTGCGATCGACTGCTCGTCTTCCAGCTGCCTCTGCCCTTCCCCGTCCTAACCTCCGCTGCAGGCTGATGCATGCGCGTCTGCAAATCCTGCTGAAGCGCAAGAATAGTGCCCTTCTCGGCGGGGCTTATTTCCAGCTTCCGCCTCCAAGGAAGAAATCGCTGGCATTCAGACGCTGCACAAAAGACACAGCGCTCGAGGCAACAATCTGCAGCAGATAGCGACAAAAAATCCGTATTTATAGTTGCCAATATGCAGCGAACCATCTTCTAGCCTGAAACAGCTAAAGACGAGGTTGTAAGTTGGTGCATGCACGAAAAGTAGAACGTCAACAGGAGTGCAGCAAAGAGAGAGAGAGTGAGCTAAAGAGAGAGACATATATATATATATATATATATATATGCAGAGAGAGAAAAAGAGAGCGAGAGAAATATGCAAAGCGGAAGACAGATGTACAGAAAGAAAGGGAGAAAATGAGCAAAGGCAAGAAATATGCGGAGAGAACAAGAAAGAAAGATGCAGAGGGAATGAGAGAGATAGAGAGAGAAAGAAATGTGCAGAGAGAACGAGAAAGAAAGATGCAGAAAGAAGGGCGGATTGCGCATCGAGAGACAAAAGACAGAGGAATGCAATGAAGGCGCTTGTTTTTCTGTTCTGACGCACCGTATTCATACCAAGGGCAATCTCTACATTGCTGTTTTGTTTTGATAGCTGGTGGCTGGAGGCGTTGCGAGAGGATAATATTGGGATACATCGCAGCAACATCGAGATGCAGCAGCAGGGGAAAGGCCTTGAGCGAGGGGCTGTCTCGGAGCATCTCGAGTCGCTGCCGTATGTCGTTTACGTTTTCTTCCCAGTTCACAAAAGAGGCAGGCGATAGAGGAGTCTCCTTAGCTTCTGAATCGAGCCATAGACCCAACACGGAGTCAAGAGACTGCAGCAGATCGTCATATGCGCGTGGCTTCAACGAGAAAACCTCCTTAAGATCACTTCTGTAGCTGTAGACATGCGTATGCACAACAATCACTCTTCATCTCATGCCTGTTCAAGTTCAAGTCTTGTCAGAACACCGCAGCCCTCCTCCTGTCCAGAGAGACGAAAAGAGAGGGAATAAAAAGAGAAAGTGAGAGGAAAAGAAAGAGGAAACGAGAGAAAATAAAAAGAGAAAGTGAGAGGAAAAGAAAGGGAAAGTGAGAGGAAAAGAAAGAGAAAGTGAGACAGGCCAGGATGAGACTCTTTTGTACTGTGTTCATGTGTATATGTATATGCATATGTGTATATATATTTATATATGTATGCACGTGTATATATATATATATATGGCTGTGTGCCTGGCAGCTATGCTATGCTGTGATATTCTATGCTATGCTCTGCGTACATTCCGCATTTGAGAGATTCTACCCTGCCTCCAACGTAGCTGTCTTCGAGAATGAGGTGCAGCTTTTGCGTCTCTGGATGTCTCCAATACTTCATGAGCTCCGGTTTGTGTTTGTTTGGGAAGAGAACACTGCCAGCGAAAGCTTCTGCCATCAACAAACTCTCGCAGAGGGTCCCACTACCTTGTCTAAGAACCATCTCGGGCTGCACAGCGAGCGAGAGAAACAGCAGCTTTGTCGAGTTTGAGCGAGGTAGGAAAGCAGCAGCAACAGCAGCAGCAGCAGCAGTAGCAGCTTCTTTCCCCCCTGCCTCCCCTCCCTGTTCTTTTCCCTGCCGGTCGAGCTGAGCGAGCAAGACTTCGACCAGCGCATTCTACGGAAGTTAAAGGCAATGCAGATTAGCGCAACAGCTGCCATAAACGGCAGCGTGGGGGAGGGATGGGGGAGGAAGAAGGGAGAGGATGGGGGAGGCAGTTGTTGCAACTTTGCATCATGAGCGTGCGTCGTGGCTTACATTCATGGGGATAATGGAGCTCATAGCAAGCACAAATGAATGAATGAATTGTTCGTACAACAAATACGTGGCCACGGCATCTGAAACCGAATACACTGCAAGACGCTGCGGATCTGAAGAAGCTAAAGGCACCTGCGTAGGGAATGCAAAGATACACAGAGCGAGATACCCGGCTATAAATATAACACGTGTACATATATATATATATTCTTTCCATACATATAATATGTATCAATAGAACATGCAAGATCCGCTTCCAGAGGCGTAGCGTATGGGGGGTTTCAAAGAACACCAGAAAAAGCTGAATTCGAATGTTGAATTATTTACACGAGGATCAAGAAGAGACGACGATACACACACGCGCGCATCCAGTGATATACGCAACACATGGCATATATATATATATATTAGAGGTTTGCTTAAAGACAGAATGCGGTGGCTGTAGAGAGAGAGTGGAACAAGGTGGAAGGGGGCAGCGCTTCATCGACAGAGAGACGACACATTTAGTATGGGCACCACACGAAACGGCTGGCTAATAATTTGTGCGAGGCTATACACAGAAAATAAAGATTTTACACAAGAGAGAGCATGCACACAGGTATATTTGTGTGTATGTATGCATATAGGTATTATGTTTGTATACGATGTGTGAGAAGGTTAGAAGGAAAGAAGATAGGTAAGAAGGTATGCGCGCGTAGTATACCATATCTTCGGCGTCTACTTCCACCGGATTGAAGCGCAGTTTTGCTTTGCAGACGGCCTTGAGCGTGCGGGACCCCTGAAAAGAAGGAAAGAGGCAGGAAGTGTAGCAGCATGCAGAAAAAAAGGAGAAGGATGCAGCGCCAGCAGGGAGGCTACGTAGTCTACTGGTCGGGTGTACCTTGACGGATCTACTTATGTGTGTATTTACACAGAAATATATCATGCACTTAGATTAGCAGGCACTGCATTGGCGAATCGTGCTGAAGTGATGCAGATATATACATCGAGAGAAAGAAAGAGACAGAGAGAAAGAGAGAGAGAGAAAAGAACGACCAAGGGGAAAAGCAGTGTTGTAACTGCAGAAAGCTGCCTCCTTCTACAGCGTGACAGACGGCAGTATCCAAGCAAGCGAAGCATGCATTGATACTGCCGTCTGTTCTGTCGTCTGAGGGAAGTTTCTCCACAAATGTGCTGCAGCGTCCCCTCCGGAGAAGACTGGCATTTCAACAGACAGACAGAAGCTGGAACGGCAGCACCAAAGCCTTCAAGGCCCTATGAATTCGCTTTCTCTCCTCTGTTTTTTCTCTCTCTTTTCTGATTCTTCTTCCTTTCTCTCTTTTCTGTTTCTCTCTCTCCCTTTCTCGCTCGGCACCCGCGCGAGCGAGCGAAAGGCTTCCCGTGCAGCCCACACACCTGAGGAAGATAAGAGTCTCTTTCTACCCATTTGAAGCAGTCTAAATGAATGAGAGGGCCAGCACCAACAATTGCATCGTCAGGAGGTCCAACCATGAGGCCTAAAGATCCCGAAAGATTGAGGCCGTTCAGCTGAAGCAGACAAGGGCAGAACAAGAAACACGAAACAAGGGGACTTAGTTTCAGAAAATCTGTGCGGCTGCACAAGGGCAAAAGAAGCAGCAGGTACAGCAGCTGAAGAAGCAGATACTGCAGCAGAAGCAGCAAATACATCAGCAGTAGCAAATACAGCAGCAGAAGCAGCAAATACATCAGCAGTAGCAAATACAGCAGCAGATGCAGCAGCAGAAGCAGCAAATACATCAGCAGTAGCAAATACAGCAGCAGATGCAGCAGCAGAAGCAGCAGTAAATACGGCAGCAGATACATCAGCAGTAGCAAATACGGCAGCAGACGCAGCAGTAAATACGGCAGCAGATACATCAGCAGCAGCAAATACGGCAGCAGATACTGCAGCCTCCACCAAGACGATGGGAGAACCTCCTCAGACCCTCCCTTTCTCCCCTTCTCCCCCCATCCCCCGTGTGTCTGTACAGCGCAGACGTGAAAGATTCTGTGTGTCTCCAGCTGCACCTCCCGAGGCAAAGAAAAAGCTTGATACACGAAAAAGCGCACGGGAAAACGGCAAGACAGCAAATAGAGGCGTGCGGCGTATACCTGAGCCCTTCGGAGTACATAGGGGAGATCGAAAGAATCGCCGTTGTATGTGACGATGACTTGAGGCTGCAGTTTGATCACGTGTGCGATGAAGCGCTTTAAGACGGCTTTTTCATCTGCCTCATTGAAGACAACGAACGGCCCAGGCCCTTTGAATTCGGTCGTGGGAACGAAGGAAAAGGGGGGGATGTTCGCGGAGAGGAAGGAGCGATTTACGAGGAGGTAACCTTGCTGATTGTGCATGTAGGAAATGAGGATGATGGGGTCTGTCTCTTTGTCTGGAAACTTGAGGGGAGCTTTGTAGCATTCGATGTCAAAGGCTAAGATGCCGAGAGGGGCAGAGGCGGAAGTTTCCAGAGGCTCCAGCTGCAAGACACGTGGAGACGGAGGTCGGAGCAGGGAGGAAGTGAAAATTGTGTGGAAGCAGTTAGAAGTCGCTTCATCATGAGGCAGCACTGGGGAGAGGAGAGGGGAGGAAAGGAGGGAGGGGGGGAAAGGAGGGGGGAAGGAAGAAAGTAAAAAAGGAGGAAAGGAAGGGCGCCATGACAGAATAGCTCGCTGCAACAGAGACAGCGGAGAATGCAGCAAGGCGCTGAACAAGACACTGCAAAGCATAAAGAGGCTCTTAGAATCTCACGTGGAGTTCTGCGTGACTGCAGGAAGAAGCGCTGGAACGTGTCAATCGATACCACCTGCCACACCGGATGTTGAGATCAATTGCACACCTGAAGGGCGCAGAGAAGCAGAGATAAATATATATGGATATCGATATATTTATATGTATAAAGACATAGAGCATAGGCTGCACGTCGTTTCATGAAAAAAGTTGGTGCAAAATACAGCGGACAGAAGCGTGGCGTGGTGTGAAGAGGCCACGAGAGGGGGAGGCGTCGGTGGAAGTGCACCTCAAAAAGGGAGAATTATATTATACACAAAAAGAAAAATGAAACAGTTTGAAGATGAGGCGTTGGAAGCAACGGGCGGGTAAGAAACACAGGGGAGGCGGGGATAACAACAAGGTGAAAACAACACACACACAACAGCAGCAGCAGCAGCAATTAGCAGCAAAGCACGAGAAGAAGAAGAGCAGCAGCACTTCCCAGCAAAGCACAAGAAGAAGAACAGCAGCAACAGCAGCAATTAGCAGCAAAGCACAAGAAGAAGAAGAGCAGCAGCACTTACCAGCAAAGCACAAGAAGAAGAACAGCAGCAGCAGCAGCAATTACCAGCAAAGCACAAGAAGAAGAGCAGCAACAGCAGCAGCAGCAGCAATTAGCAGCAAAGCACAAGAAGAAGAAGAGCAGCAGCACTTCCCAGCAAAGCACAAGAAGAAGAAGAACAGCAGCAGCAGCAGCAATTAGCAGCAAAGCACAAGAAGAAGAGCAGCAGCAGGAGCAGCAGCACTTACCAGCAAAGCACGAGAAGAAGAAGAGCAGCAACAGCAGCAGCAGCAATTACCAGCAAAGCACAAGCAGAAGAAGAACAGCAGCAGCAGCAGCAGCAGCAATTACCAGCAAAGATGAGTGAGTGCAAGGAAAGCGTAAACCATACAGATGAATATATACACATGGCGCATGCACGGCAGAGGCGACAGCGGGTTTAAAAATGACTTTTAGATTCTGTAAAAATCGCGAAAGAAAGGCTGCAGCTCGACCAGCTGTTTCAAGCCTAGGAAGCCCCCTGTATACGGCTCTCCTGCAGCAATGAAACAGCCTGCCAACTGACCTTGTTAGATAGACAACGTCTGCTTCGAAGATTTCATCGATCATTTCTGTGGCATCCGCGGCAGCAGAAGGTTCCTTAGCTGCCCCTCCACGACTCCTCGAAGAGGCATCGTTTGCATCTGCCAGCTCTTTCTCCTGCCCCAAAGGGAAGCTGCGCAGGGAGGTGATAGAAGCTTTCGCGAAGGCAGCGGCGTTTTGGCGAACTGAGTCGTGAAAGACACAGAGAAAACGGCAGGAGACAACGTGCATGCCTCTAGAATGGGAAGCACTCTGCACGGAAACGGCTAAATTTATTTTAAGGAGGCATCATGAGGGCAGGAGGAAGCAGCAGCAAGCAGAAGACTTCTCTACAAGCCGCAAGACATGGACCCATCAACGCAGCAAGGCGGCAGAAAGAAGGCCTCATGGCTTTATAGGAGACATACACACACAATAGAGAGAGCAAACGCAGATTAAAACAAACGCAGAGAGACAGAGAGACAAACAGACAGAGACTAGGAGGGGTTTACCAAACAGACAGAGAGAGAAACATGCATACAGAAAAATACAGCTACAAACATACAGAGACAGAGAGAGACACGCAGAGGGGCATGGCAAAAGGTGTCTATAGAAGGGGGTTAAGAAGTTGGCGTCCAGGTGTAGATGTTTGGTTGCATACAAGCGATACGGCATGTGATGCGAACGATGCGTAACGTGCTTGCGGATTAAGAGGCATGCAGAGGTTTTTGCATCTAAGTGATGACTCTCCGGATGTGTGGAGAGGTAGGTGGTACACAGCAGATCGAAGAACACTCTATGTGTATATATACATATATATACATAGAGAGAGGAAGCGAAAGAGAGACAGAGAAAGAGAAGAGACATGTGTGAAGCAGGTGAGAAGGCAGCCCTTCTGCGAGGGTTGCTGTTTCCCTCCTTCTTTCTCTCTTTCTCTCTTTTTTTTTCTCTTTTTTTTCTCCCTTTCCGTAATAGACAGCGCATGTACCTATCCTAGCAAGGTCTTGCTTTGCTTCCACCAGCTCCTTGACGGTAGGGAAAGAGAGGCGGAGGAAATCTCGCTTTCGCTTCAACGATCCGAAGGCATCACAGGAAGTTGCAGGATCACCAGGACCATACCGCGCTAAGTGCGAAGGATCTGAGAGGTCTTCTACAGGCGCTCGAGTCACTTCAACCTGCCAGGCAGATGCGCAGGTGCAAAGACACAGGAAAGCGGGGATGTGCAGGCTGCAGTATATGCGTTGTATGGCCATGCAGCAGAGAGAGGGCACTGCCACACGGAGACAGGCGCAAAAAACACTCAAAAAAAGAGGCATCCTGACGCATGCGTTTAGATGCAGCCTGAAACGCAGGGGCGTGTTCCGTAGCCGCCGCCTCTCGTATAGCGGCATTTTGGCTTTAGCTAGCAGGGGAAAATCGAGCACTTTCTATAAGGCCGAGATATTTTTTTCGCCTTATCAGCAACGGCAAGAAGGGAATGCGGGAGAGCGAAAGAGAGCAGAGAGACAGCCCCTAAGGAAACTTTTTAAGAGGTCAAGAGAGGCATATATATATATATATGTATATATATATATGCATATATATATATGTGTATATATATATATATCCGAGGAACTTTATGAGGGTTATATCGTCTCTCTAAGGCCACAGCGGGCAGTCTGTAGGCTTTCTGGAGAGAGAGAGGCTGCGATTTGGAGGCAAAAAGAACGCACATTGTACTTGCAAAGCCTTTCTCCAAGCGCTGATGCTACAGCCTGCCAATCGTCAGGCCCCTTTCTCCGTAGCGCAACGCAGAAGTGGGGGCGATGCAGCAGGGTAGTCCTAAAGACACCCCCGTCTGCAGCTACAAAGTACAAATTCAAGCCTGGGGAAGCAAAGCAAGCACACTGAGCACAGGAATGCGCAAGAGAGATGAGCGGCAGGCCTCCCCATGACGGAGCAGAGACTTTGCTCGAAGATTCTTCATGAAGGAGGCCATGCGCGAGAAGGCGTGGTAGAAAGGCTGTTCCGCGACGAACAGACTCAGCGCGGCGAAGTGTGAATGCAAAAAGAGAGCTGCTCGTGTGTGTTTGGTGGGAGAGGCGAACCTACCGGAAAAAAGCTGTTTTTTTTCTTTAGACGAGTTTACTTGGGCCGTTGTTTGCGTAATGTTGTATAAATATCCGACCCTCTCACCCTCAGAAGCCCAAACTTCGACGCCAAACTGCCGCTCCAAGACTGTGCGGCCAGGCACTGCACTCGAGCGTTTGTGTGGGAAGAGCGCCTTCTTCCCCTCCGGCAAGGCATCGCGTCTGCTGCTGCATGGCTGCCTGAAGCGGGGAACCCCCGCAGCAGGCAAGCGTGTCGTCCTCTCCTCGGGGGGGGGAGGCGGGGAACATGCAGCAGCGTTGGTGTTGGGAACTGGTGCAGAGGGGGGCCCTCGTGAGAGGGAGTCATCCCCACCAGCCGTGCCACTACTGCCTGCTCTGAGAATCGCACGGCGTTGAACGTAAGGACCCGTTCGCATCTCCTGGCGAGAACGTCGCAAGCCTCCTCGGGAGGCCCCTCCTATGTCCTCCAAATCCGCACTTTCTGCGGTTCCCCAAGCTGCATTGCCTGGGGGCCCACTGGAAGCTCCCTCGGGGGGGCCCCCCCCCGACCTCCCAGCCCGACTGCGGAGGCTCATTGCGTCTGCAACGCCATGCAGTCAGGACGCACGGGGGCCCCTAGAGAGGGAAGGGTCTGGAAAGGGGGCCACCCCTTTCAGGGCCTTCGCACGCGGGGGCCTCTCCGGTATAGGGGGCCCTTTGCGTTGCGCCACGCCGGTGTAGGTGGGAGTACCTGTATGCATGTGTATCTGTGGGTTGTAGGGGTGTGTCTGTATGTGCATGCATGAATCTGTATGTATGTGTATGTGTCTGCGGGAACAACCGATGCGCAAAGAAGGAGGGAGAAGGACGGGGAAAACGCGCTGGGGAGGCTGTCTGTCGCGGATTCTGGAAAGGAGACTGGTTTGGGGCAGAGGGTTGTGGAATGGCTTTAGGAACCTGTGTAGGACAGGGGGAACGCGGAGAGATTTGAAGGGAAGAAGGGCATGCAAAGGCGATGCTGCTTGGCGTGCCGCAGGCTGCGGTGGTTTCGATGGTGATTCGGTTAGGCAGGTACCTTGTTTTTCTCTGCTTGTGGGGGCTTCTGCGTGCAAAGGCTTTCAGGAAGGCAGAAGAAAAACGGAAGACGGGATGTCGAGAGTTGGTGAGTAGTAGGGGGGCTTCTGGGCACGAAGGAGCGATATGAAGTGGTGGGGTGGGAGGGGGGTGTTTATATATCTGTGGCTTCTGGGGGGTCTGTCTGTCTGTCTGCCTGTCTGCCTGTCTATGTCTGTGTGTCTATGTCTGTGTAGCATGGGACTGCTGCTACTGGTTGCAGTATGTTTTTTGTGTGGAAGGAGGGTGGCGACGTGCGCCGCCTGTGTGTGTGCAGTAGCAGGAACGCACGTCGAAATACGGGCCCGTGTGCCCGCTAGAAAGCCCCCCTTCTCCCTCCTTTCCTTTAAATGTTATTTTAAGGTTTTTTTAAAGAGTTTTAAAGCGCTTATTTTACCCGCGGACAGGCGGGATTTCGCTAGATTTCACCGGCAAGTCGGCGGCTGCTGCTGTCTTCCCAGCAGCGTCATCATCCCATCCGTTCAAGAGGGCGTGGGTGCTGCTGCACGGCAGTGGAGGGTAAGTGTGTATATGCAGGCCTGCCCTTTGGGGGCTGCACGAATATTGATGCTTTCGCAGCGGGAAATCGAGACTTTTATGACTGAATATCTTTGTTTTCTTGTTTCTTTTTTCCCGGTAGGAGGTTTTAAAGGATTGCTTCATTATTTCCTTGCGCACGCGCAAGCAGGGGGGGGCTCCTCTCCCCTCCCGCACTCGAATGTCCGCCCCGCATGTCCCGGCCGCCACTGCTGCTGCTGCCACTGCTGCTGCCACTGTTGCCACTGTTGCTGTTGCCGTCTCTCTCTCTCTCTCCCCTGCTTCCTCAAAAGACGTGTGCTTCGTCTTCGGATTATTTGTTGCAGGAACTGCATTACGCCGCCTCCGCCTCTTCCCGCTGCTGCTGCAGCAGCAGCCTGCTCCACTTGCCCACCGGACCGCCACGGGCCCCCCTTCGGCCCCCCCTTCCCCTTCTCTCTCCCCTCCAGGTATTTCAGGAGGCCCCTGTGTAGAGGTGCGTCTGCCCTGTGTGGCACTTTGTGCACTCGGGACACGGCTGCCGTACCGCGTGTCGCCTCGTGCAGCGGCGGGGGCCCCAGTCCAGCAGCAGCCGGTAGAGGAGCCTCCCAACACTTGCAGCGCGAAGTGCGAGAGAAAGCAGCCCTCCACCGTCTGCTGCTGCCGAAGCGTCTTCTGCATCGGCGACTTTTTCCTGCGTGCTTGAAGCGGAGGGCTGCCGGCGTGCGAGGGGCTCCTGCGCGTTCGCCGCAAGGCCTTCTATAGGATGCACAGGGACGGGGAACGGGGGGGGGGGTGGTTATCGAGGAGGAGGATCGTCGGGGGGCCCTGCAGCGAACGGTCGTGGCGGGGGCCCTTGGCGAGGCGGCGAGGGGCCCCCCCCCGCTTCCTCTCCGTACCCGTACGACCGCGAGCGAGAGGGTGGTAGTGCCTATCGCGAGGGGGGGTATCGCGGGGGTGGCGGAGAGCGTAGGGACGGCCGCGACTTCCGCGGAGGCGGGGGGGGGGGCCCAGGCCATCACAGGGGGAGCAGAGGAGGAGGGGGGGGCCCCTATGACCGCCCCGGCGAACCGCACCGACAGCGCGACAGCTACCGTGACCGGGAAGGAGGAGGAGGCCCCTATCGCGACTACCGACGAGATCGCGGAGATCGGGGGCCCCCTGCCCCCTCCCCCGCCTCCGCGGGGGGAGGGGGAGGAGGGGGCCCAGGGGGCCCCTACGACAGGCGGCGCTCACGCTCGGGCTCTCGCGGAGGCGGTGGTGGCAGCGGCCGCTCTCCGCACGCAACGGCACCGCGCAAACGCCTTAACAGAGACATCAGCACGAGTCGGGAACGCTCACGCAGCAGAGAGAGACGCCGCAGAAGGCAGCAGGCGGAGTGTATCCGGAGGGCGGGGGGGTTCCAGAAGCTTGCAGACAGTGAAGGTCACGAGCCGATCAGACTTTTCTGGGATGGCTTTCAGTGGGTAGCGAAGGCGACGGGCGCTTTGGGGCCCCAGCAACTCGACGCAGCTGCCATGAACAGCACTCGGAAGCTGAGACGTCTGTACTTTGGGAACTTGCCCCTCCATCTGGGGCTCACCGAGCAAGTTTTCCAGCAGATGGTGTGGGAGGAAATGAAGCTGCGAGGCTTCTGTTCGAATCCGAGCGTGAACCCGGTGCTCTACGTGTGGTTCGCAAAGGACAAGGGCAACTACGGATTCGTCGAGTTCAGCTCCGTCGAGGAAACAGAACGAGCTCTCACCATGGACGGCATGCTCTGCCTAGGCATCCCCCTCAAAGTCTCGAGACCTAACGACTACACCACCACCTCTTCAGCGCAAACGCAGGCTATGAGCGTCATGGGGCAGCAGGCAGCAGCGATTCTTATGGGGGGCGCTGCGGCAGCGGGGGCCCCCCCACCCCCTGGTCCTCCTCCAGGCCCTCCTCCTGGTAAGCAGGAAGGCATACGCATAGCTGCTTTGAGTTGCAGAAAATCTTTTCTTGCCACACACACACACACACACCCTCCAAGGCGCGCGCTCTACCCTTTATGTCTCAAGTATTCAAAAAAATCTACCCATTCCAGTGTCTAGACACAGAGAGAGAGAGCGAGATCGGTAGATAGATACTTCTACACACGGTGTGCGTGCGCGAGTCTTTCTCCGTTCTTTGAATGCTGCCCCTCCGCATCCGCAATGCCAACTGTGAGACAGGGATACATGTTTCCTGCTGTCATGTTAGCAGCGGCGGCCTCTCCGTGCTGTCCATAGCGTACTCAGATGCCCTCTAAAGGGCTTCCTTTTAGCCCCTATGCAGTTGTTGCACGCTGTGCGTATCTTTGTCTTTGCCGTGGCAGTGCACTTGGCGCTAGGATTTTTTTACCCTATAAGCGCGCATGGCTATGATTACCGATCCTCAGTTCAAAATGGCATCTTCGTGCTTCCCCTTGCCTGCCCCGATAGGAGGCGTACAATAATACGCTCTTCTACCTGTATTATCAAAGCATTTTGATGCCTACTATCTCCACATACATATTTATATGTATATGTGCAGTTTCCTCGCCAGGCACTGGATCGATCTATACATGCAATACCCGTCCGCCCCATGGCGTGTTGTCTGCATGCTCGTGTTCATAAACCTCACAGGATGCGGCGTGTTGTATGCTGGCGTGTGTGTGGATTGACGCCCCGACGCGTGGTTTTCCAGTTTTGCCTTGTTTGTGTGCCTCGCTTCTGTCGCGCTTACAGGCACCTCTCGGTACATGCGGATCATTCAAGTTGTCGAGACGGCGAAAATATCCTCGGAAGAGGACTACGAAGACATCTTCGAGGACGTCAAGGAAGGCTGCAGTAAATTCGGAGACATAACGAAGGGGGTTATTGTGACGCCCCAAAACAGAGGCAGCACTCCCTATCTTTTGTGCGACGTTTTGCTAGAGTTTGCCACTGAGGCCGCTTGCGATGCATGCATCAGCAACATGGGAACTCGAAAGTACGAGGGGAAGCAGATTACTGCGATTCGGATCGATCAAGAAGAGGCAGAGACTTTCGCAATCCCCCTGATGCGCGGTCATAAGTAGAGGCGAGCAGCCCTACTCAAGAGCTCGTCCTCCCCTCCCCCGTTTCTTCCTGCCTTCTGCTCCTTTTCCCCATGAGGGGCTTCTCTGTAAGGGGAGGGGGGGGCGAGACACCCTGCCTCTCTGTCACCCCTTTGATCCGATCGCTCGATCTGCTCTTTCGCTGTTCCCCATTTCTGCACCCCCGTTTCACCACCCTTCCTTCCGAAAAGTTTGGACGGTGGAGAAAACATTCCTTGGGATGCCTCAAAAAACGTTTGACACTGCGCAGAGAGAGGGCGACTAGGGGGAGGGGGGGAAAGACACGGTGGGTTGACGGGAGAGAAAGGAGGGCATTGCTTTCATAGTTTTTTTTACGGCGCACCAGTGGGGGGGGAGGGGTGCAAAGGAACGCCGTTCAAAGGATTTGAATGCATAGAAGGGGAGGTTGAACGAGAAGGTCACTTCCTTTTGAATCATAAACCCTTACACATACGCCTTCGGCGTAGTTCTCGAGGCTCTTTCAGCCTCCCATCGCTAAGCGTCCTTTCTAGATTCTCGAGCAAACGAGATACGCAGGAGAGCGAGGGGGCAAGGTAGGGGAGTTCGTACTCGCTCCAGGGAATAGATATAAGGCAAAGAAAAATGCTGGCTTCTGCTTTGTGCCCAAGACGCTCCCCAAAAATCGGGGGGGGGAGGGGGGCGGAGTCTGTGTGTCGCCGATACGCCTGTCTCCCTCTCGCTCGTTCGCTCTCTGTGTGCAGTTGTTGTCTACATCCCCCTCACTGCCGTTGCCGGCTAGGATGCCGCGTGTGCCTTTTGTTCGACTGTCTCTCCCTCACTGTGGGTTGCAGCCTCCCGCGCTACTTTATAGTTCTCAGAACAAGCACAGGGTGTCCTCACTTGTCAAGTGCCATCGAGGGGCCCCCCTCCTCGCAGGCATTGGGGGCTGGAGAGGGCTTTTGCATGCGCTCGCTCAGCATTCCCTTGGTGATTTGGGTGCCCTCGAGGTGGCTTAGAGGAGCTGGTCACGAGTAGTCTCATTTCTCGAAGTACTTTAGCGTGCTCGGCAGTTTGTGTATAAATTCCTCAGGACCACGTGTCGCCAAGACCACATCCTGCATAAAATATTAGATGCTTTGGGGAGGGATGAGGGCAAGGGCGAGGGGGATTTGCAATCTTGCAGCGAAGAATTAGAGCGCCGCCCCTGTGGAAGGTAGCGCACGCTTTCTTCCCCGGTGCTCGCTTGGGGGTGGCTTGCGTAAATTCGCGCATGCTAGCAGATTCACTCATGGTGTTTATCGAGATTGAGTGGCATCACTCCGTCGTACTGCAAGTGGGCTGTGTCGAACTGACTGCTCATGGAGGTGTGCCGCCTTGCACGTATTCATTCATGCACGACCGTCCTGTTACAGGTGACGCAGCTAATGAGTCAGAACTTATTTCCCTTGCCAACTAGAAGCCATGCGTTTTCCTTCTGTCCTCCGAGGGAATAGTGCCCGCGAAGCCTGGAATATCGAAATGCCCTAAGCTTGCAGCAAGAGTAGCTCAACGCACGAAAGCTGGGCTGCCCAGCTTTCGTCATCAAGTTAGCAAGTCAATGATGCACAACATGATCAATCTTCCAAATGATGAAGGGAGAGGGAGCATCGCCCGCCGTCTGGGGGCCCCCTGGGGAGCGTCCCTGCCCCCTCCTGGGGCCCCTAAGAACGGAAGGAAGACTTCTGGTGTCTGCTCTGAATTCAAATATATAAAAGAGCTTTGTCGTGATACTGAGCGTGTGTTAAAGGTTTTAGCATCTTGAGGAGTTTCCGTTGCTTCTTTTCCCGACTTCACTCAGAAGCCTTCCCCCGCTCCCCGGATACCCTTAAGGGCCTTCATAGGACGCCTCTTTCCGCCCGCTCAGTGAATCAGGGTGACTTTAGCCCGCGTAATGCTCCGAAGCGCGCGGCTAGAAGTGAAGAAACCAGCAACAAGGGCTCCAAGCTACCAAATCACACAGCCATCTTCCAGGGAACTGCAGGCGACATAATCCTCTAAGCATGTATTTATGTCTGTATCCCTGGACGCATATGCCTATGTGTGTCCCTGAAGATATATTCATAGGTGGATCCCTAAAGCTGTGTGCATATGCGTATTTCTAAAGATGTATACTTGTGCTCATACTTGAAGGCGATCCTCGGAGCTCCAGACCCCCTCATTGACCCCTCCAGAATAACGACTCCGTTTAGGGCTTAGAGCTCATAGAAATGCCGCCTCCTGCTTCTTCCCCGTCTGCTTTCGCGTGGCGCTTCGTGTGGATCTATTTTTTGGCCCAGCTGTGCGAGTACCTTCAGGGCCCCTTCATGTTTGCGGCGTACAGACAGTACCACAGTCTTCCCCTCGAACGCGTAGGGCTCTTGTTCTTCACTTCAAGTCTTTCCAACGCACTCTCCGGGTGCCTGCTCGCGCCTCTGGGCGACGCGCATGACAGACGTCTGGGGTGTGTCTTCTTCTGCCTCCTGTCTGTTGCGGCTTGTGCCCTAACAAGGGCAGCGCTACCCTTCTCGTGGCTAATCCTCGGTCGGCTCCTTGGGGGCGGTGCGACGAACCTTCTAGAAACTTCTTTTGAGGCGCTTTTAATATGCGACTACCGCAAACGGGGACTTCCGCAGCGGCAGCTCGAAGCGACACTCGCAGCTGCAAGTGCAGCAGCAGGCGCTGCTGCCGTTGTTGCCGGGCTCAGCGCTGCTGCTGCAGCGCAATACGGCCCCACGGGGCCTTTTATTTTGGCAGAGGCGACGGGATGGTTGTGCCTCCTCTCCATCCTCCTCTCCTGGCGAGGTGTCTGTACACCCCAGACCCATGGCGAAGAGCCTGGCGCTACCGGTCAGCAAAACTCCCCATCAGGCCCTAAACGGTTCGACCCCTCTCCCTAGCTTCCCGTAGTCGGCCGCCTTTCGGAGCGCCTAAAGGAAGTCGGCTGCCTGCCCCCTCCCCTCTTCCCCCACCCGTTTCTGTGCCTCAGTGGTCCCCATGCATGCACTGTTGAGCGCTGCAGAGGAAGGCCTCCCTACAGAGAGACACCCCCGACAAGCGCCCAAAGAGGGCCTTACTTCGCCGAACCTCGCTTTCCAAGAAACGCGTCTTAGCGCTACCACGGAAGCAACTACCACAGCGAGGAGGGAGACGGTGGAGGGGCTTCTTCTTAAAGCCCCACAAGGGTCTCTTCCCTCTCCAGATCGCCCCCTTACCGCAGTATCCCCTCCTGAAGCCTTTCAGCACGCACTGCATCTATTTGCAAGCCAAAGCGAGGTGCGCCTCTGCGGCCTACTGCAAGTGGCTTTCGAGGCGCCCTTAGACCTTTTCGTGCTGCTATGGACCCCAGGCATTCCCCAGCAAATGAATCCTGGCATTGCCTTCGCCGCTCTCATGGGTGGACTCGCCACGGGATCTTACTTGTTTTGCCACGTAGGGAATGCCCTCCCGTTGTTGCTGGTGCTGCATGCGGGACGGCTTTCAAGGCGGCCACTGCTTTGACTACGCGCTGCTGAAAGCTGCTTAGCCCCCATTCCCTTTTTCCTGGTCCCAACCCGACTAAAAATGCGTGACTCTTTCCACACGGCCATGCACAACAGCCCCTGCACAGTTCATGAACGTAGTGGCCAGCCTTGTGTACATATATATATATATATGTATCTGTATATATGTATATATATATACATGTATATATACATATGTATGTATATATATACATATATATATATGTATGTATGTATATAGTCTCTCGCCACGCCCCTCCTGGTGCCACTACCTACTCTTCTCCTCCCCCCCCTCCCGCCTCACTCCTTGCCGCATATATCACGATGGGAGGGGCCATCTGCTCTTATTATTGCCACAGCCCTACAGACCATCTGGTGGTACTGGCTGCTCTTCCGATTCTTAGGGTCCTTCGTGTTTTGCTGGGGCTCTCAGGTGACGCGATACTTCCGCATGGAACTGTATTCTGTTATTGCCGTCGCTTTCCTCACGGGAGCAGCCTCCCTCCTCCTTTCGCTTGCATCCCCCACAGCAGCCCACCGATTCCTCGCGTATTTGGCATTTGAGGTCCGTCTACAGGGATATGTGGTCTGAGATTCGAAGGTAGCTGGATAAGGAGCTTGCAGTGGGGGGCTACAAGCGGTTACGCCCTAGGGTCTAGCGCTTTGTGCAGGTAGCCTTCTTGCATTCTTCCACCATGGGGATTTCGACACTTCCTGCACTTGGCCTTGTCGAAGGGTCTGCTTGCTGTCTGTCGTCGTAGGTGGTGGTTGGCGTGCTGTTTCCAGCTCTTGGAAGTCTGAGATCACGGCTCTTACCAGAGGCCTGCAGGGCATCCGCTACAAATCTGCCTCGGGTGTTCTTAAGCTTTGCATTTCTGGGCTTCCTGGCGTGCAAACCGACCCTCCACCCCAGCCAAATGATTTCTCTCAGCGCAGGCATCATGGTCCGACAAAAGTTCGACAGCGAAAATCCTAAATACTGCAGGCAGAAATGAAAGGCTTTGGCAGACCGGCTGAGGGGCTGTTAGCTGCGCGTTGCTCCCTGTCAATTAGTGCTTTTTGCGTGGTGTCCTTTTCGTTGGATTCTCGTTTCAGTCCTCGTGCATCGCCTTTCACATGTTGCGCTGGAGTTGCTCAGGCTGTCGGCAGCCTCTGCGCCTATTCCTTTGGCGGCACATCTTCCTCAGAGGAAGCAGCCACCAACAAAGCGGGGAGATCTACGTTTTAAACGCGCAGGATTTAAAGAGATCGAAAGGACCCGGACTCCCCGACAAGCTCGTACAGTGGTGTTCCCCATGCATCCCTGCCTCCCTTCATCGCGCTCTGTTTCCGCGTGCAGTCTTCGCTGCCTCTTCAGCCTTTTTTCAAAGGAGCAGAGCGTTTCCCCTCCGTACAACCTTTGTATCTTCATCTTTTTAACTTGTGGCAACGGAAACCCCCCATCGGACAGGCACCAAAGAAGGTCCGTCCGGAAATTTCGCTTGGGTACGCACTTCACATGTGTCTTCCTGTATATGTACTTTTCTGGCGGTGCACCTTTGCCTCACGCATGCATCACCTTGCACGCCTTCCCTCCTCCTGAGGGGCTGTGTAGTTTTTGTAGAGCTTGGGCTGCCAAGCCACGCACGTAGGGCACAGCGTGACTCAACACAAAAAAAGAAGCAAGGCATCAACTAGGGCCCACTCCTTCGCACCCTCCAGAAATCGTCTATCGTATCAGGACGAAGCGCCGAGCTTACAAAATAGCATGACAAAGACACTCACATTGCAAGAGGCTCTGAAGGGACTACATCGCACGCCCTTCGCCCTTTGGTGGTTCGACAAGAAAACACCCTTTCACGTCCTCTCCCCGCCCTCAGACGAGTCATCACCTAACTCTCTTCTCTGGTTTTCCGCCTGTTACTAGGGCCTCATGAACCAACTCTTTTTAACTCCGTGGGGATCGCATCACTTTATTTGGTGCCACATTCCGTGTTGCGGCACAAAGTTTTGAATGAAGCATACAGCTGCGTTCAAATATGAGGACAGACGCGGCTTCTGCAGACGCCAAGATGAACGTGCGAATGTGTTTAGGCTCGCAAACATTATTTCAACACCATGGAAGGCTCTCAGCAGACCGTAAGAGACTCTAAGGAAACAAATAATCGAACATCAAAAAGTTGCGGTTGGTCGTGTTACAAGGAAGGGTTGTGGCAACTGTTTTAGCCAGAAACCGCTTCAGTTGAACTCCCCCACAAGGAAATATCTAGAACAGAGTTGTAGCTAACGCTTTATTGATGAATGCTCGGTTTCGAAGGGCCTCAAGTTAGGAATGCATGCAAGCTGTTCCCGTTATAAGGTATCAAAATTCAGTGCCTAGGCGCCTTGTAAGAGTTAGTGTAACATGCAAATCGGTATTCAGTCTCGGTTTTAAATCCTTCTCGCAAAGGCTAACAGGAGTACAAGTCGGACACTCTGGTATGGAGCTTGCCATTAGTGTCCAGTTTATGGTGAAATTGTTCGGGAACAACAACCTCTACCCAGTCTCCCTCGTCACCCGGTTGTGGGTAGTTAAGATTCATTTCAGATGACTTGCTGGTGGTGATTTCCACGTTTTTGCTTTTCTCTGAAACGTAAATATCGACCTTTTGACTCTTGTCGATCGATATTGAAGGTACTGTGCCAGTCACCTGCAGTTTGACTTTCTGGCAGTTCACAATTTCAATAGTAGCGATCAGATTGCTCACGCATACTCGCATATTCTTGCAGGAATCCAAAATCACTGAGTTAACCTTCGGCTCAACTTGCAAAGCCAGGCCATCGCAGTCTCGCACCTACAGGCGCCATAAGCACACCACCAACAAAGCACGATGCGCAGCACAGAACAAACAAACTGCAGTACGGATGCAGACCTCAATACTTGCCTCGATTCTCTGCATGTAGTAAGGGACCGTTTTATCGTGAAATATCACGGCCGAATCCGTGCACATAGGATATGCAAACTGGTTACACGAGGCTAACCTGAATCTTGTGCTTCATCTGGGCGTCTTTTATCGTTTGAACACAGCCAGGATTCACAAAATTCTCCACGAGCCATGTGTCTCTTTCGAGCACAAGCTTGCCGGGTTGGACCCGTCCTACACAAGATTGACAAGAGGCAGACAGAGTGTTTACGAGAAAAGCATCGACAGAAACGCCTGCCTTGGGAATTCTAATTTCGCTGTGGACTTTGAACAATGGGACTGACGTGTGGACCACTGCCACTCAGCTAGATCTCCAATAGCAAGAATACTTCCGGGAGTCCAGCCCCGATATGCCAAACAGCATAATTTTACAGTGGGAAGCTGTTTAAAACGCCTTACCTCCACTTGCGCCACTCATCGTGAGGGAGCTAGCAGAGTCTTGACCTATCTGGCCACCGTGAAAACGGGCGTTAAAACAGAGACTTGGATGTAGATCCACTGGCTCACTTGAAATCAAGTTATATATCTTAAATTAAACAAGATCATCCATCGGTACTCAGTCAAGCCCGGCTGTTTAGCAGCTGATGACGCATCATCAGTGCGATGCATTCGACGAGACTGCAAGCTCCCGATGAAACGCAGTCGGAAGCCTACTGCGTGGTATGAAGATTCCTGAATATTCTCCCCTACATACGCAATTATTTCATATATCTGTAAGGAAAAGTGTAGTAGGAGAGCTTTAAAACCTTATTGAGGCAGCTTGGTGACGGCAACAGTAAACGTCAGCCAGCTGCAAGTTACTCCTTGAGTCTCTCGCAAACAAACTTTTCCCACCGATACATTACCGTATAAAGAGTCAGAAACCCAGAAGTTTTCATCTCGCGCATCATTGACGGTTGGTAGTGCACACTTACACGATTCCCAACTACCACAGCTCCGGAGAGTGCTAGTAATAGTGAGCATAAGTGTTTTAATAGATGTGGTAGCTGGTACCGACGAGTAGTAGGGCAGCCATTTCATCGCATCACACCACAATACGAATCAATATATTGCAGTGTGCAGAGTTTCCTACGTTCTCGTAGATACAGTTGCAGGGTAGGACTCCAGCTCTCCTCAAGAGAACACTGGCCGAATGCCATGCTCTTGTGGGGAAGCTTGCAACACTCAAAAGTATCAAGCCGCATCTACGAGCCTAGCCTTTCACTGTGACAGTGCAATACTGTAGCATGTGAAAGCTGTTCCCCAGAACGCCCTGTGTATAAAAACTTGAATTTGGGGCCAGTATACCTTGCATGCAACTAATCCTGTTTGCTTGAATTGTCATATATATGCGCATGAAATTTTTACTACCGGAACTGTATAGCGTGCGCTAAGACTCATAAGAAATGTACAAGGCTAACCTACAATTAAACACTTCTTACCACACTGGCAATAGTTAACAAAGAATTGGTTTAAAACTGACTATTTAGTTTGTCATCCCCTGCATCTTATTCATTTCATGGTACTGTAAGATCAATACAAAAAGACACAGTGTTGCGTGCTTGCGTGCTAGATGCTAAGTCCAACAAGGTCTGAAAATCCTCAAAAAACTTTGGGGTACCAGCAATGCGCACCCGGTTGACCTTTCCTCCTTATGCCGGAAGCCTGGGCGAAAGCAGGCAGTGGAAGAAGGGACCTCTTTTGATAGATAATAGCTTTTTATTTTGTCTGTGTTGTGTGGATTGGAGTGCCTCTCTACGGATAAATTGAAGTGGGGCGTTACAGGAGCAACAGCTTTTCATTGGCAATGAGTGACAAAATCAGTTGCAGTTTCTCCAATAAGATCTACTGACTAAACTGGCTGGTGCAGTTGATCAGCGTTGCTATTCATACCAACAGGCTAGTTATACTTGAGTTTGACGCAGTATTACATAAGACATCACCAAGGGTCGCCATGTATTAAGGATGCGGAGTTAGGCTGGATGACGCGTTTTTGTTTCCTAATAGAATGGCTCGTATTAAGCCATAGCATTCCCGCTTTTCTCAAGGCAAGTAATCACTTTGTGTATTACTCCAAGATGAGCTCAATACATAACACTGCCTTTTGCTTTGATAGTCAAAAGCCACTGCAAAATTTGCTCGCTGGCACTCCGTTTGCACAAGCAAACTACTGCAGTCCACCTAAAAAGTACTAAAGGACACTTTACTACCCTTGCGTTAGATAACGATAGAGTAGACGATTCAAAGATTTCAACTTGAAGCACAGGGGCACGGGTAAGAAAAAACCTCAGCAGTAGCGCGCAGAATGCAACAAAGACATATACCAACCGATGCGCTCATGTATTTTTAACGAATAGGTACGCCCGAATGTCCGTTGCCATGATAATTGAGCCATCGTTCATGGCACTGAGCTCATTAAAAATTGTGTATCGCTGGCTCAACGTACACTTCAGAGAAGCGGCTGCTTGCCACACCATGAAGAATTGCACATAAAGAGTTTTATAGTGGGGCGAAACTACGCACCGCAGCAGCCAGAACCCCTAAAGCGTGGCGTTGGAAGCACCATGCTTTCTCTCCAGGATTCCTCAGACACCACATTGAAGCGTGAGCAGCATCTTTGAGACCCAAACATCTACTTTGCATCAGTGTGCACATCTGGAGCAGGCTCTCCTCCCTCCATAAGATGCGCCAAAGCCTCATACGACACTAAATTCTCAGTATCTCGTAAGGTCTTTTACTTGCACAGCGTAGTCGATGCGTGGGAATCGCACAAGGAATGTGCCGCTTGATAACTTTTGAATGTCAGCATGAAAGCCCGCAGCTGCTAACACGGGGGTCATAGCCACAAGGGGAAGTAGGGCTTCGATGGCACTGTCTTTGCTGACGCTTGATATCCAGGAAGCCTCTGCAGACTCGCCGACAGATTGCAGCGGCTCCGAGTTATTCCAAGCATCATTTTCGGAAAGTTGCTGCTCTTCGGCTTTGGCAAAACCTTGTGCGTCAGTGTTCGGGGCCTCCAAAGTGGAGCCCGCTTGCGGTGTTGCAGCTGTGACGTCTCCATTCGAGCTTCCGAAGCTTTCCGTAGCATATTCGGTTTCTGGTGCTTGTTCCTCAGTCTGAGTGATGATCAGTTCTTCGCCAAACACTTCTTGGTCAGTTGGCTGCGTTGCCTCAGCACTATCTCGAATGGCATCCACCTCCGGAGCAAAATCTACAGCCCCAGTTACCTGACCGCCGCTGACATCGTCTGCAGCAGACGGGGCGCCAGATTTAACTGCAGCTTCAATAGTTGTTGAAACGTTCTCTGGAGCATGCGTTCCTGGCGGATTCGTTTTGAAGAACATGCCCGACAGCAATGACGGCAGCAACATCTTGCACTGAGCATGTAGCACAGAATGGGTAGTGAGTGTCAAAAAAAGGAAGGGTGGAGGGACAATCGCGAGTTTCATTTTGAACTGTAAATGCCTTGAAAGGATAAAGCCACTTGGTGCTCCAGCAGTTACATGAGCGTCGAAGTGTACAGTGCAGACTGAGACGCGAAAGTGGGACATCTGCTGAGCTGTCTAGACAGCACAGAGTATCTTTCTTCAGGGACGTGTGGCCCTCGTCATTCTAATGTAAATGCCAATCAAAGTGCACATTTTCATTCATATATCAATGAATGACTTCGCTGCGCTTGCCATTACTGGCAGAATGCCAATAAAGTGTCGTGGCTGGGTTATATGCAACTGGGAATGATCTACCAGTTGACACCTACGAGACGCGTCTCCGAAGATGGCGGGTGAGTCCTACTGGTGTAGAAGCTACTGAAACCAGCATTCTTACTACTTCTAATTGTTAGATCCCCTGCATCCATCACAAAACTCTAAAGTGGGCGTGCAGTACACTTGCTTGGGCAGGCGGATACCACAAAGACTACCTCCAGTTCCCAGCAGGCTCTCAGTTGAAGCTTTTAACAAACGATCCAATGGTGTATCACAAGAGCAGTGTTGAGACCGCTCTCTAACACAGGAGGGTTTCCCAATATTACGTTGGGAAGGATAGCTTACAAGCCGTACAATTGATCTGAAGCACACTTTGGACCCTTACGCGGAACATCCTACTGAATCTGCAAGCATTCGATCTCGAATTGCAGATCAGCATTAGGCGGGATACCCCAAGCAGGAAAACCACTGGCTCCATACCCCACTGCACGCACACAGCAAAGCATAAAGCGTCCTACTGGAAACTAATGATCATTTACTTGCAGTACACTACGGCTGCTCGGATAAGCACAGGACTGAAATGCTATGCATACTCTTAGCTGGAATGTAAATCATGCGGGCCTCCCCTAGATGCATGCCAAGTACTCCTTGATCCCAACCAGCAATCACTTGGCCAAGACCTGCTTGCCAAGTAAAAGGCTGCGAATGAAAATTTGTCAGAGGGCACATGTAAGAAAAGGTGGGATCGGGCTAATACACGATGAGCATGTACCTATGTCACCAAAAACGCCCGGGGGGGGGCAGATCTAATGTCTGGAGGTGCATTACTAGCATGTGTCCCGTGACACTAAATGAGCAGAAGGGAGTTCACCAGCGTCATAGACCACCACTTCAACCTTAAGTGGACTGAAACGTGTTTAGGAAGCACCTGCTGGCCTGGATCCTTCGTGGACCAGAATTTTTTCGCGGAACCGTCAGCCTGCAAAACGGATCCGGTTGCGTGGACGGTGACGCGTTGGCTCCTTGCCACTGTGGGGCCGGATCCAGCCTTGATGATGGAAGTCTTAAGCTCTGTCAGTGGAGCCATTGTAGGTAATGGAGGTTCCGTGAAGGTTGTATCCGGATTTTGCTGGCTTGAGGAGGGATGTTGCGCCGAATGGGCAGTGCGTGCGGGAGCCGAGGGTGAGGAACGTGGTACAACAACCCCTGACCACACGACTAATGAACAAGTGAGGCCGCCAACAAGAACAAAAATGAGAAATACACTTACAAAACCAAAGAGAGTAAAGCGAGACTCCTCACGGGGGGCAATCTGCTGCTTAGATTGCTCTCGCGAATCCACTTCATGGGGGGTAACCCTGTGGCGCACGTCTGTGGCATTGCGGGAATTCTGCTTGCGCAATTTTTCCTCCATTATTACCAAACTATATCATGCATGAATCACTGTTTCCATTCGAGTGTTGAGTACGCATTTTGAATGCAGACACAGAATGACATTCACTCTCTAGCTTTGGCAATAAGCCATTGGCAGCCCACTGCAGCGTGCAACAAAACGGCGATTTCCTCTTTCAGGGTGAATGGTAGCATCATATCCATATTCAGTATTAAACCGGCCATACTATGAGTAATTTGCCTTTATATGTGGATGTGCAAATAAGTTTCCTTAGTTTATTCACTGGTATGCTGTAATATTAACTACCGGCACTGGGCGTTGCTTGCGCTACCGAGGGCGCATCTTCATTTTATGCCGGCTCAGAGGATGGGTGCAGAGTGAATTGACTAGAAACTGAAGTACTATGAGCGTCAAATACTAAGGTTGCACCTTGTAGTGCAATATTGCTAATAGCGGGGCGTACGAGACTTCAGACTAAGTAGCAGTGGTTTTTTCGCTCCAACCAAGGTGTCGGTAAGGAAACACTTCGCTCTGGAACTCAATACGAACTTGATAGAGCGCTATGCAATGGTTCCAGGAGAACTCCTGCCTTTTCTTATGCTCGCCACTGAAGGTTTAGGTTTTCAACATGAGTTGATAGAGAGACTGCTAGGGTGCCCGTTGCTCCACCCGTTAAGCACTCAGAGTATTCGATCTACAAGCAAGTACCCGCACACAACACATAGCACCCAGACACAGAACATTTACTTACATCATTCTTACGTAGCTCTACCATGTAGCAATTAAGTTTCATGAACAGCCAAACGAAATCCTAAAATTCTTTTTTGCCAAACGAAACATTAGAATTTCGTCCGCGACCTTTTGAAGTGCAGCAGTCTCAGCTAAACGAAAATCTTTTCTGCTACACTAGTATATTTAGCTAAAAATCAATAAACTTTTGCCTGCTGATTTATCTGCTCGTATGTCTTATCTATTGCAGAGTATTGTTCGCTCGAACCTCGACGAGCAATATTCTGTGCGTGTGCACTGAATGTTGTGTGCAACTAGTTATAAAATGCTCAGGGAGCACATCGCATCTAGCAACGCTGACCCTAACTGTCTCGCTGTCCTGTTGAGAATCCTGCGTGGCGCGTGCATTGGAAGAGGGGAGCTTTAGGAAAACAGTCAACAGAATTTAATCAACTTTATACGGTGTAGGAGTGAATCGTCTTTCTACGGAGGTCATAGATGAACCGTTTTCTTCAATGGTACTGTTTAATCCAATGCAGCCGTTATTCCTCTCACGCTGCAGGGGTATTTAAGGTCGCTAAAGCAGGTCTCCTAATTTTGTTCAACTCATGTTATCTCAGTAATTCGATTATCGTCGGCAGCAGACTGATAACAAATGCCCTTTGCCGAAGGAAGTTGACGCTGGCATTTCCCTTTTCAGGCTTCAGGGGCCGCTTGACGAATACTTGTGTATGCAGGAGCTCTACAGCCGCTAAAGAGGCTTTTTTGGCAGCCAAATAATGGTTGTGGATGTGTAGATGAGTTCATGCAGACCAGAGAGGTGAGACGCCCGTAAGTACAGGCTAGTACTTGAAGGCTTCAACAGATGGTTGGAGATGTACCTCATCATGTAATAAGTACATAGGGAGAAAGAGGTGCTTCCTGTGGCATGAGTATCAGAGGGGTCATCAGTTCACCGGTGGTTCCTTCTACACAAGGAAGGCCATCTACCTTGTAGAGTTGTGAAGTGAATTGCCATTAGTATTGCGGGTCCAATTTCATTCTTCGCGGCTGAGTAGCCGTCTTAATTTCTAAGATGTGGCCTAGACGTCTACAGTCTATCAGGAACTGTAGCCCCTGACTAAGGTTAAAGTATCTACAGCATTGGATAATAATGAATCTGCATTACTAGAATAATTGTTCAAAGACTTTCTATAGCTATGCCCCATTCCACTTCAGCAGCGCCTTGTGAAGAGAATGAGCTAAGCGATGGACAGGGCTCGAAGGTGCGCACGGGGACAAATGTATATTTCAGCTAGTTGCTTGTAGCTAAAGTAGCAGTGATACCCTGTGGCGTAAGATTTACGTAAACTAGTGACAATAACTGGGTAATTTTTAAAGGCTACCCATGGTAGGCATTAGCTCTTCAAGGCAAAACATGCCTTGGTCAAGAAGGCAATTGTTCAAGAACGCGAGGAATATCGTTTGTGCGACTAGCGTCGAGTAAAGCAAAACCATGTACTCTTCGAAAGGCAACAATATTGACAGCCGCTCTCCCCTCAATCACTAAGGCTGCCGCTTCTAGCCCCATTTCACCAAAATCCCCCGCACCGTATGCCGTGGGTACTGAATGGTCCTAGGTTCCAGCATCTTTACTGCTCGACGTGGATTGTCGCCCTCCCCATAGGTCATTTGCTTCCACGCTAAAGCTAATTAATAGTTTGGAGAGCTTTGAGACCTCTCTGTGAAGCTAATATTGCTTTGTTAGATAATAATAAACGATTCCAGCCACCTCATAACAAATGCCTTCTTTTCATGACCTTTTGGCCCACCTAGTTAAAGCTACAGATCCATCAGAATCAATTTCTCTGCTCGAAACACGCTGTAGACCGCCGATTTTTATAATTCCGTGTAGGTCTCTCTCGAACGTTGCACATGCGTTCGTGTGCACTAGCCAGAATCTCATTAATTTCCTTCACTGTTGCAGAGGCTGCCGATTTCGAAACACCACGTCCAGGCTTGGATTTGAGGGGGGCTCCTCACTATAGAGTAGGAGTGCGGTGGACAGGCAGATGAACGAACGTAGTTTTGATTGTGAACGAATTAAACACTGGAAGGGATATCAAACAAACCTTTTGGATTTGTATAAATAGACAATTGCAAATTTTGTGCGGTTAGCGAACTTAGTCTGTCCGTCAGCCTCAGGGTGGTCCACAGCGATTACACTGTGGTCAATGTGTAGGAGGGTTATGAGCATGCAGTAGCACGCACTCACGTGTTCCCGACCTGTATCTGTGAGACTACTCCTTAGAAATCTGTTGAGCCTCCAGATATGAGTTTGAAATGATTGGGATTGAGTGGGCTTATTCGATGTGTATCGTAGCGGCAATTATATATCCGACGGTTGACCTCCGGCAGTACAACAATACAGTTCACACTCACATCATTCCAGACTCTTTTAGAAACCGGACAGTTTTGCAAATGCAAGGTTTAGGAGAATTACGGTGCTTCATTGGCTGACGAGCTGGACAAAAGAGTGCATTTTTCCTTTCCTCAGGATGCACGTTTGGCCACCAGCAAAACATTTGAAAACTTCCCGCTGTAGTGTGAATGCACTAGCACTCGAAAGAATATGTTGATGTGCTGTGTACAAACTAGCGCTGTCGAGCAAAGGATAAATGCATAAGCCATGGGTTTTATACTTTGCTTTGACCCACAAAGACCAATATCAGAGTGGTAGTACTTCACGCTCTAGCCTTTCTGGATTTTGGCAATAAAAGCAAATAAATGACTGTTTAAAGCATAAAACTCACCCAACTTACATGAAAGCTGTGCGTTAGCGGCACCAAAAGTAATTGCTCTGCACAGCAATGTGACGCTGGGACTTCATGCGAGCGCGTGGATGACCATGATGTTGTGTGATGCTCTCCATATACTTTGCTATCAAGTTGTATCCCAATATGCGAGTAAGGCATCGAGCAGCTCTACAATTATCAGAATCCTGAAACCTTTTGTATAGTACATGAAGGTCATATGGCCAGTTTGGACACTACTTCGTCGCCCATGTAAGTAAGGAAACGATCATTTTGCTTTAGAGGAAAAACACCCGATGGTCTGCCTCTAGACCTGTTTCATACTTAGATATGTGGGCAGCTGTCGTGCAGAGCAGGCACCGGACGACTTGCAAGTCCCCTGAAAACGCTTTCATGCCGCGGTACCAGCCTCCTCTGTAGAGACCGCGCACTTCTTTTGGTTGGAAAAAACAGATATACGAGCAGGGGATTCGAGCAGCCAGAGCAAAGATATTCGGGGAATACGGTGCTAGCCAATAGAACGTCTCACCGTTCCTGAGGGTGTGCAACGGCAAAGGCCATTCCTCGATAGCATGAACCTGGAGCAAGTTTTTGTGGACGAAACATGGAAGTCCAGAACACACTTACGTGCTTGCATATACCACGGTGTGATTTGGGACAGCTAGAGTGCACGCCCTAGGTGGTAAGGGTGCAATTGAACAGTTCGCCGAAATACTAAGATGGCATTCATGTATACAGCCATCCACCCCTCCTTAACAAGGCATCCGATAAATTAGCCTCTACAGCCTTGCTGGTGCATAGAACCGTCCAATCGGCGTACATGCATTCTCTAGTTTGCCGCTGCGAATATGGAAGGCCCTTTAGTGCCTCTCGTTAGGGTGAGAGGAGATTTGTAAGAAAGTGTCAGTGTATATCAAACATTGAATAGACTGTCGATTTTTCTAGTTTGTAGAGTACTTTGCCAAGATGAGGCATCGCAAGCGTATGGTTTCTGGTAGCCTTATTCAGATTATTGAAGTCACCGCACACGCACCGCCTACCATCCATTTCTGGCATCGACCCAGGCCCTTGCCCAAATGCGCTGCTTGATTCCTGCACGTTTGCCGGTTGCAAAACCTATCCGCTTGCTACACAATCTTTTCTTAATGCTGTGAAGGCTTCCGACAGTGCGGAATATACCTTGAGGCTGACCCAGGAATCACCTCAGTAAGCAGCGCCGACGACCAGCCAGTGCTCAGCCAGCTGACAGCTCGTCATTATTTACCACAGGCGCGAGCCTCTCTGCATACTTTCCTTCTGCTGTTCTCCAGCTTAATGTTATATCGAGTTCTTTAGTAAAGGACCAGTTGCAGAGTCAGCAAGACGAAACGTATGCTCAGAACCGCCTTCTCTTTTGGGACGCCGGCATGGAAAACCTGCCTAACAATCAAGAACGAGTCCTATTTTCTTTACGAACGATGCAGTAGGCGTCGTTCAAAAAACACGAAGCTATATCTACCTAGCGCCTTATCGCACACGAACTCCATCATACGCGCGCATGCGGCCAGAGCTACGCGCCTATGACGGGGTCGCTCATGCTGCACCTAAAATCAAGTCTTGGTCGCGGGCGAGACATAGAACTCACGCACCATGCTGAAGTCAGCAAGTTGTGAATTGAGGTGGCCTGTAGCTGCTTGCTGTGGTTATGTGACTGCTTGCATTCTGTCACCACTCAGCCAACCTAAGTCTTGGGGACTGCACAAAACAAATGAATAGGTGGAATCTGCTTCTGCAATGCGTCCATATGTAAGAGTTTTGATAAGTGTCCAATGTCATGTAACACTGACAAATCTTTAAAATTAACATGAACTTGTATCGTCGCGTGATTAACCTGTGGTCAAACAGGAGCTGAAGTGCCTCAACCGGCGTGGGGGACTTTCAGTTTCCCACAAGCACTTCTCCTCACCACTTAGTCTGCTTCCTCTTAGCTAAGTCGCACTGCTTGAATTTCTTGCCTTTTCCACGCTTTTGCAACTTCGAATCTCATAGCCGAATTTCTCACAATAGTTACAGGTCGGCTGTTGGAAGGCGTCAGTATGGACCCAAAAGGGCTTGTGACCCATTCACTTCTTTTCTCGTTGACCTAAGGCTGTAGGCAAGGGCGTTTCAACACAATCTCGATCTCAATAAGCTTTATACTCCGTTTTGGCTCTGCCTCTTTAGCCAGAGAAGTAGGCTCTACGCTCATTTGATCTTTAAGCCTAAAGTGACCCATCCTCTTTGGACGCACCACCCATCCTTTGTTTTAATCGCTACGCTGCTGCGCAGTCTGCGAGCAATTTGCGTCAAGCCCCGGGTAACCCTGATATGAGTCACTAGTAACGCAGCTGGTCTTCTACTTTAGGGCTTTTTGCGGACCAAAGAGTTTTGATTTCTCGATATACCGCTCTATCAGTGGATTCCCGTGGATACCTTCTCAGTGCTTCCAAAGCCTGCTGTTTAGCCATTCCTGGCAAAAATCTATGCGTCAGTGATGCATGGACGGTTGGACTCTAGGAATCCCTGCAGGCAGGCGGCTTCTCCTGCATGGATAAGGCCACGAATGAAGTGCTGTCCTTGCAGTAAGCAAGCCGTAAGAATAACTAGCTTTGCTAGTCTGCGGGGTACAAAGCGAGGCACATGTGCAATCGGCCGATAAACTCTTCGAATACTTATCCATCCTTGCGGCCGTAGTACTGCTCTGGTCAGCAAAGCCTCATCGACCGATCCATAAACGACTTATCGGCTGACAAAATATGCCTATGTGCCGGTATTAAAACAGCTGCGTCTATGTAAGCTTGCAGTCTGTCCTTTGCTACCCTGCCGGGCCCCGATCCACCTACCTTTATCGCCAGAGGGTTTTGTTCGCAGACTGTCGCTAACGAGCACACAGTATAGAATTTCCAAATAGCTTTATTACATGCAGACAGGTGTTTTGGGGTAATGTGACGCCAAATTGCATCCATACTCAGTGGATGAGTGGGCAACAGCTGCATAGAGCCCTTGGGTACGACCACATGGAAAGTTCTGTGCAAGGTCTCCATGAAAGGTACCTCACTCCGATATCAATGCAAACTTAATAGAACGTCATTAACCGTTGCTTAAGAGGGCTCCATCCCTTTCCTGTCAACACGCCACAAGGCTTCAGCATGAGGGGGAATGACCGTTGAATGCACGCTGCCGACTTCTCTAATGACTCTGAGAGCTTACAATTAGACCCAGCATCAACCGCATATGCACAATACAATGAGCGTTCCTGCATCGATATAGCACCAGTCTTCAACAAGCCATAGAAACGGGCAAATAGTAAATTTATTACTGCTCTTAATACATAATGAACGCACGAATGGTGCACTAGAGAGTGCATAAGTGTACCTCAGCCCACGAAACTCCAACCAAGACGTTCAGGAAGACACAATTCTCCCCAGGGTCAGTATGAATATGATTAATGGCAGTTAAGCGTTTCCCCAAAAGGTTTTTGTCTTTCATTGTCTGCGCCCCTAAAAACTCCCCGTATAAGGAGAAAGGGGCAGCCAGGTTACGAGTAGATTTACCTCGTGTTTAGCGGGCTAAGCTGCGCATAAACGCTTTCCTTGAAACTAGCCGTATCTGACAGGGAACTAAAAAAAGCTTGCTGATTGATTTGTTAGTTTGTTTAACCTAACTACTGTGTAATAGCCCTATCTCAGTACTATAAGAGACAACGTTGTGTGCGTGTTGTAGATTCAACGGGCAATTCGCTTTGAAAGGGCGGAATGCTCTGAGGGCCCAATCAACGTGTACCCTATCCGTCCACTTTCCTTCAAACTGGACTCGCTTGGGAGAGAGGGCCTACCATTCCATCAGTTGTTTCCATGGCGAGATATTTCGCTCGAAACTCGATGTAAACTTCACGCCAAACAGTGGCGTGTTTTCTTCAAGCACTCCTTCCTTACCCTGCCAGCATCCCTCGGGCGTCCCATATGCTCTGAAGGCAAGGGATACGGTGTGCATCGATACACCTTCTGATCCCACCGAGTAGCCACAGCTAGTTGAATATAGCACCAGGCTCATATGCGCAGTGCATCGCTTTTTATTGTATCGAGCCAACGCTAGTCTCCAGCTTAAGAAAACAGAAAAAAAGCAGAAGCCAATATATTATTTCTATATTATTCCTTTATCAAAATTAAATAGCTATTAAGGGTGTAGTCAATCTTCTTAGGGCCTTGTAACTATCCCCAAGTCCCAGATTCATGCATCACAAGGCGCATCGACTGATTTCTCATGGGGTCTTCTTGTGGAGACAATAGTGCCAGCGGGATACTTTCCTGTTGGATCTATCTCTTTTCTTTCCTTATGTGGCTGAATGATCCAAATCTCTACTGAGCTTTGCCATCTCCCACGGGGTGCATTTTGGGGTTGATCTATTGTATGGCCTGTGTCGAATGGGGCGGGTCCTCGCCCCACCTGAAATTACACGTCTTTCTCGGTGTTTGTCGGATTTCATTGAGAACTTTGTCATGAGCGTACTTTCTTGCTTCAACATACATCAAGGAGATGCCATGTAATTGCAGATTCGTCAATTAGTTGGCGCTCAGGTTCGTTGTGCGCACATCAGGCGATGAGATCTGAGAAGGCAGTGAAGTCTAGCAGCTAGATGACTGTCTTCTGTTCGAGAGAGAAATACAGATTCTTTTAGGCGCATAAGGCGTGTCTGGCAATTGTATGCAGCGAGTGGTTTTAGCGTTTACGTTTCACATGGAGTGTGCCCCTGTATGCGTCTGATCGTTTTTTCAGAGATAGATATCACTGATCCTTTGGGATAATTAGCCGTGTGATAAGCTGACCTGACCGTAGAATTGCAGATACTGCAAGCCTATGTGATTGTTCTGCTGTGATATATTCAAATCAGTTTTATGGGATCGTGTCGCTGTCTTCCTTGTTGAGTGTTTCTCCAAAGACAATGCAGTGCACGGGCAATTAAGAAGAACCGAATTGCTACGAATCGAGTGTACGGATAAGGCGAGTTTGCCATAATGGTGAATGAGACCGCACGGTGATTCACATGCAAGCCTCCCGTACAAAAAGGACCATCCACAGCCACTCCCAGCAGGCAGCTCCACAGAATTGGTAAAAATAGAAAGGTAGACCACTAAAAAACAGCAAGAACAAAAGTCACTGTCGCTAGAGTAGAGTATATCTTTCATTTCCGTAGAATCAAGCCTTCGTTGTCTGGCCCTTCCAAGGAAAGCTGGACTGACCACGCTGGGCCCGCACAGGACTAGGACAAAAAGGCAAGGAGCACGGAGAAAAGAGCAAAAATATATCTCACTTTTACTCAATTCTCTAAGTTCACTAGGGTCTGAAATAATGCGCCTCCGATGGTTTGGAGTCCAAAGCTTGAAACAGCGCCGACGATCCTTGATGCTTCTAGCAAGCTAGTCACATGCCTGATGGTCAAAGCACAAGAGGATCACTGAGTGAGCAGTACCTGTATTTCTGCGGTTAATGCGATCAGTCACCCTTTTCTGCATTCATTCCCGTGATGTAGGCAGCATTGATGGGGTAGGGCCCTTCGTCAAAGTGAGTTCGTCCAAAGGGCACCTCGGCCGTTCCATAGGTCGGACCGACTCCGGAGCAACTGCCCTAGTTGTCGCTTTATAATGAGGACCATGCTATCAAGATTCTTGAGGCAAGCCCAGTTGGGCGTTCTTAAGCTTCTTGTGCCACACTTTTCCCTAATTGCTATTGCGTTGATCTTGGAGCTGGTTCGGGGCAACCCAATCCACAAGCAGATATTCCCTTTTATAGGGAAGCCATCTGAATTTTCTCTAGAAAGGCTGGATAAAGGTCTTTTAGCCTCCGTTGGTCACGATGAAAGTGTTTCGCTACTCGAGGCCCGAGTTGGGGAGGCAGCAGAGCCGCAAAATAATGGAGTAAGCGAGGGGCCAGAACAACATGAAACGCAAACGCATTCAGTGAATGGAAGTAAGGCGCTGTTAATGTTAAACCAATGTGATGGCATTACCTTCCTGAGTTAGTTACTTGTCCAGCAAAACTAGGACGAACACGCAATTAAGTGCATATATTGGGGATGTAGGAGCAGACCAGCGATGTAGGGATGTTTGATGTTCTGTGATACCAGGCTGCGAAGACATTTTCAAGAAATTCGAAGAAGGTATTTCACGATGAACTGTATGCCTGCTTTACGACCTCAGCTAATCCAAAATTATTGAACATTAGGGAACGTGTCCTGCTTTACTATCGCTGATCAGATTTCAACGCCAACAAACATCAGTTCAATACCATGCTTGAGACTATGAAGAATGACCATAGTCTGGAGGAGAAAAGCTGCCTAAAGACGGTTGTTCATCCAGAAGGTTCTTTTCTTAATGATCCTGAGTTATCAACTGTGAAAAGCTCTGTAGAGCTCCATTTTGGAGCAATCTGGATGTGGGACAAAATCGCACGCATTCTTCTCAAGAGCCGTAAGTTTATATTCGCCCCTGCACTTAAGTGTATGCCTTGTGCTTAGATCTTAAGGGCGATGTAGATTTGTATTAGCAATAGGGAGAAAATTACTGTTTCGTTTGTGTGTTTGCAGCCCAGTTGCATATTATGTCGAAACGCTTTTGGTCAGGTACATCGCATAAGCTGTCATAGCTGCGATTTTTGTACCTTTTCAAAAGGAAAGAGTTCGACGTCTGTATATTTTGCCATGGATACTTTCCTGGTACAGGTATCCCTCCCCCTCTAGGCATCGGTGATACAGTCAAACTACTTCAAGACGGCTCCACGATTATGATGCGTGGGGAATACACTGTTACCGGTGTTCAAAATGACGAAGTTTCCATAGAAAAGGAAGGAGAGCGGCTTACTGTCCCACGCGACCGCCTAATTCTCACGATACAAGACAGTGAGACTTATTCGAACCCAGCAGTTTACAAAGGATTTTCTAATGTGAGCCGTCGGTTTGCACCTAAATACTGGAATATTCTAACTGTATTCTCTTCTCAGGACATGTTATGATAGCAGACAAAGTACTGCGCAATGAGATTAAGAACTTGAATGAGGATGACCCCAGTCTATTGGAGGATATGGAGGAGGTGTTTAGGTTGGCAGGAATCACGGAGGCATTTCGAAAAACTCAACGAACCAACGATCCTCGGCATCTACAGAGTGCAATGAGAGCCTCAGAGCTATTTCACTGTACGTTCAGAATCGTAAGGAGTCCTCTACCAACCCTAGTTCTCCCCGGTGTGGCACCTGATAAGTGTCCTTCATATGCTGCAATGCTGCAGTCTTGAGCTTCGTGGATGCCGTAAGAGAACTACCTGGCATCGAGGCCAGACAGATTCAAAAACCTTCAAAAAGAATATACAAACCGGATCCATCAGAACTGAGCAGCATTTACACCGCAAGAGCTGCAGTGCAAGGCAAGCATTCCTCGCACCTCCAGAATATGGGCCCCTCAAATATCCATAAGCAGTCCTTTTCGCATTATGTCCTCGTGCGTGTATAATTTGCTTGTGCAGCATATGAACTACTTCAGCTGATTCGAGGTTATACGGCTTTAGAGGGGTGCAGGCCGCTGACCCACAAGAGCCTCTACGGGACAGCGAACGAGCTTGTATTCCGAATGATTGAAAATGCTAGATTTGAAGTTTTAGACATGGAAGGCCAAGACATTCTTTATGCGGTCCTTGAAAACCAATGTAGAACAACGGCCGCCTTTACCTTTCCAGGAAATCGGCCAGAGTGGACCACAGTCATTCCGAAGTGCTTGAAAGTATGGGAGCAAGCGAGACGTGACTGGTCCCAGTTAGGTGAGGCAAGAAAACATCACTGTCATAGTTGTTGGCCGTCATGTTTGCTAGAAAGGTGCACTGTGTGTCCTCCAGCTAATTCGAGGCTTTGTTTTTCGTTGAATCGCTCATGCCGCATGCTCGCAGTGCTTTCAAGGGAACTAGCACAGGACCGTGAGGATCTAGCATCTGATTGCTCATTAAAACACGGTATGCTTGAAAGGACTTTTCCTTGTTGGAAAATTGCATATTCACGACAACATAGGTTTGACCTAGTCAGTCTTTGTGACTAACGCGATATATAAATGAGACTGCTGGTCTTGTTGTGCTTGGTTCGCAGGGCAAGTCGCCCCTGGATACTTGGAGGGATGTGATGAACGTTGCATGAAAAAAGTACTGGGACGCAACTTCTGGTTTGATAAGAGCAGAGTTAAAAGGCGAAGCATTGGAAAGGATTTCATTATTGCTGGCGATGGTAACTGAGCAGCCTCTAGCCAGAATGCCAGTTCGGCCATTGCAGGAATTGGTTCCTACACTATTTTCCAGGACCCCCGTGTCTCTTGGTAGCTGTTGCCTACTATTTCTCGCTCTCCTTATTCTTACTACTGCGTTTTAGTGATGCGAACTTGTTTGTTTCAGCCCTACGCTTTGCAATGTATTACGCTGCTGAGACACTCCCCTATCTTGACCTTGTAGGGGGTCAGACGTGGAGGCTGGGGCGCATATTCGACAACGTTGCACCAGTCCTTGCCGATATTGGAAAAGAAGCTGACCTGCTTCTATGTCTAGGAGATCTTCTAACCACAGAAGCTGGGCAGACAGTGCAGAGGGCACCTGGTATGACTGGTTTTGGCCTACCCCATCCGCAGCTTTTGGCGCTGTACACGGCAACCGACCTCCGGCATCACGCGAGCATCGCAGGGGGAAATCTGAAAAACTCCAAAAAACTGCGCAAGGCTGCCAAAGGCTCAATGAGTTTCACCGCATTTTTTAAGGTACTTTCCTGTCATATTAATGATGATGCTGAAGCCCTCCACAAAGTTTTTGGCCCCTTCGCATCACTCGCTATCCGTATCGGTGAGTCCTCCAAGCTCACCCAACTCCCTGCAATGTTGGCTACTGATTAGCTGAACACACTTTTCTTAGCTATTAAGTGCGAGCTTCTAGAGGATGGCGCTTGGTGCTCAACTAGGAGGTCTCTGGTTGGGTTTGTCCCTGTATGCGTTATTCACAGCTCTGTTCCTTCGCATCGAGATTGAGGAACAAGGACGTAGTGGGTGGAAAGACGCCGTTAAAGTTTTCTCTGTTGGTTCCTTTGATAAAAAGCTATATCGGAAAGTTGTACAAAGAATGACTCACAATGCTGGAAAATTCATTACTAAGTTTATGGAAGGATTTGGATACGAAATCACGGGTAAAATTCGGAAAATAAAAAAAAGAATCAAGGAGCTTTTCAAGCGGAAGCCTAAGGCGAACGCCGAGACGGCAAAGGTGCAACACAGTGTTGGGCACAGTTTTGCGAAACTCATACTCCTAATGTGGGTAAGTGGTTCCAAACACCAACTGACCTCTACGACCAATAGAAGCGACACGTTCTACAACGCCAGGCTATATCAAGCTCTAACAATCCTAAACCATGGTATGTGTGCAGTGCTGGGCCCTCTTGTCTTCTGTACCAAAAAACGCTTGAAAAGCTCGAGCCTGTACGTGACTTCGTCATTTAGGACTGTTAGTGTTGTCTTTGACCACTGCATGCCGGCCTCCGTTTATGCAATTATTGATGCTCTTTGACTTTTCTAGTGTATATACGCTGCGGTTTTCACAGGCGTAGACCCAATGGAGCTTATTACAAAAGATATAAAGCATGAGTGTAAACGTACCAAAAATGTGGCCCACAAATACTGGGCTCTACTCCGCAAAAGCTCCACGATTTCGCGTCTCGCCGATGAGCTAGGTGCAGCCATGGCCTACGGATTCCTACATGGCCAGTCCTACTCCAAGCTTTCCGATGCAGGGCGCTCCCTGGGTCCAGCCTGCAGAGGGCAAACATCGCTTGATCTCCTTCAAAATGACGCCGAATACCTCCAAATTGTACAGCTCTATCAATGCATGGAGCTGCAGCGTGAGCCGCCTCTTGCCTCTCGAACCAGCTCTTTTGGCTGTGTGCGAAACATTGTGAAACAAAAAACAGTGTTGTTCAGGGATATTTTTATTGTGCAGGTCAAGCGGTCGCAGTTTTAAAATTAGCACTTGGGAAGATCAGAATGCCACCAGCGGATATTATACGTAGGCTATTCTCTTTCCTTAAGCAGATTCGGGCAATCCGCAAAGAGGGTGCTAAGGGTCTCTTCGAGGCATACTTGAGATGGGTGAAAGAAGGTGAAGCATCAACAGAAGTGAACAAGTGGAATGACAGCATCGAAATGTTTGAATGCTCATGGCACTCGTCACAGAGCGAACAAGATGCCATGGTCCCTAAACCTAACAAAAGTGATGAGGAGGCTCCTGTCTCGGACCTTGCATTACAGGATGTTGGAACATGCGCTGGTAAAGCCTCAACATACCTGCAGGCAGCTTTTTCTAGCCATGTTCACTACTCAGCCACACTGTTGAAACTTTTCGTTCGTGCTATATACTGTGCTGTGCTCGTTTCATATGGTATTTCCTTTGCAGCAACCGCGAATGCAGAGCTGGACCTACAACAAGGTCAGGTGGACGCAGTATCCAGTAGCATTCTACATTCCACCATGCTGTGACCTGTGTATGGTTGTCGGCGCGAGAGTAGAACAGTGATCTTTCCCATTAGCGCATCTTGCTTTCAGAGCCTACGGCACAGGAGGAAAGTGGTGGGAAACTACACACGTTGGTCACACTATAGGGCTAAGTATGGATTTACACGCCTTTGTACTTCATAGAAAGCAGAGGTGAGCACCAATTATGTGAGGATGAAAAGAAATATATGAAGACTGCACTTGAGTGCTCCAGATATGTGGGCACTCGTGGTTTTTTAAGATGAATATGTTTTAGACATCCGTATAATTTGAGTGAGCATTTGATAACTAAAGGCCCCTTGAGTTCTTGCGGCCACGCTCGCAACAGGGATCAGTCGCTGTAGTATTGCAAGTCGCCTGTTCTCCATTAGTTTACAAACGCGCGAGTTATCCTTTCTGCAACCTTATCTACTCGGCAGATGAATAGTTGCACGAGACAGCCGACCGGACAGTGACTCCCCCCGATCAGCACAGACCGACTGTGTCAGAAGCTGTGTACAAATTCATACTGTAAACTTGCAGTCTAGCGGTGCAGTGAAAAAAGAATCATCCCTCTTGGTCCACTGCTCAGGTAGAGTGCATTCATTCTACGGCTTGTCTTGTGGCTGGATTAGAATCTCATACGTAGTTGGACAGGGCAGCAGCTCAGGTGGTTTTTTCTATTCACTTGATTATTTCCTTCGCTAGAAAGTTCAAGCTACTATATCTAAAAGAGAACATAGTCACATGCGTCCCCAATGAATGTGCACAACATTGCAACAGTGGGACTAATATGCGGAGTTGTTCCATATAAGTGGTAGTACAGGCTCAAACGAGCGGGTTTTTCGCCTGCATGCATAAGTATACGCTTTCATGCAAGCAGAGTAAAGAAACATAACATGCAAACACGGCGAAAAGGTTTTTTCATGCGGCCGCCGCACCAATTTTCTTTCCGGCAAAGCAAGCGGCATCTTATTGGCTCTGGCTCATGGACCAGCCGGTTCGCAACTGGCTGCTGCTAACAGTATCCTGCGCTTGTCCCGCCAATAATCTGCATGTCCTCTAGTCCGCCTTAAAAGCCAAAGTGCCCCTGGATCCACAAGGAGGTGCTCAGACTGGAGCTTCTGCAGCAAAATCGGATTCTTGAATAAGATCACACGCAGCCTACTCCTCACTATTCGCTAGGTCGTCTCTGAGAGCCGAGGTACCTTCCTTGATTCCTTCCGAATCGCACCTGTGCTGCGAATCTGCCGCAAATATTTCCCCAAGTGCTGTGGCGGGGCAATCGTTCTCTCCGTCCCCCGAAACACTCGTTCGTCGCCGCACTAGCTCGCCTTCGAGCTGAGAGATGAGAGACTGAGAAGCCAGGAACTCGGGGGACTGCCAAGAATTTCTAGCCAAGGGCCCCTTGAGCTGCTGCTGACGAATTAGAAAAGCCATGTTCTCCTTTTCTAGCCAGACCTTTGATTCATCCGTAGAGCATTCCTCTGATAGGCTCATGGCCTCGAGTGTGGCACTGACAGCGGGGGGTGATGAGGATGACGATTCAGCAGCCTGCCTAGCAGTAGGGCTTTCTTCATCAACGGTTGCCTCGATCTCACTTCCGCACACAGAGGCATTCTTAAAATCTCTTTCAAGGCCGCTTTCTCCCGGGAGCGGGGCAGAGGACTCATGCAAGGCATTTGTTTCTGGACAGTTCCACGATGCGTGACTACCCTCAGTAACAACACGTAAAATTGAATCACTGGCGTCTTCCGAGTCTGTTGCACCCACCAAGAGCTCCTTTACCACGCGAGGAAAGCACTTTTGCTCCTCGTTCTTGCTTTTTAGCCTAAACTTCAGCTCCCGCAGCGTGAGCTGGCTGCGTTCCTGCACGATAGGGTCCTTATCTTCGAAAGCTGCTAACAGGTCCGCTTCCTCTTGGAACCGACGCTTGTTGCTGCTGGACTCCTGCCCTACTGCTGTATACACTTCGAGACACTGCACAGGCTCAGCAACTGTTGACTGCGACCAGCAATGTGTCTCTTCTTTAGCATCGCTGCACTCGAGTGACTTGGGAGGAACCCCCTGTGGAGCGACAGGTGATCTTGAAGAATCGACAGGTCCGGGGGCCTTGCCTGGCAGCCGCAACAACCGCATAAGTTTCTCTCCTTCCTCAGAAGCCGCATGCAGGTGGCGAAGAACTAGCTGGACTGCACTACATAACTTGGCATCTCCAATGCTCTGTTCACCCCCAGCCATCGCTGATGCGCACCGAGGGCCCCCCGTGGTAGTGCTCTCAGCAGATCCTGACATCATCGCCCTCCAACGAGAAAGCCAAAAATAATTCCTATCTCTGGTGGCGTCCGCGCTGCCCTGCATGCCCTCTGCCTTCCATAGGAAAGCATTTGAGGGGAGGCGAAGGATCGCAAGAGCTGCAGCAATGTTACGACTCATCGAGGCAAGTGCCGTTCTGGGAGCCGGGCTCAAAACTCCAGAGAGAGGGCTGCAGGCATGAAGTGCAGCCACGGGAGGCGAAACAGCACACGGTAGCAAGTGTAGCGGTTCGGTGGGGGACCCTCTGATGTTCAGCTGCTCTTCCATATTCTTAAACATCCACGGCACCCACTGAGGCTGCGGCAAGCGGACCGGGCAAGATGCCCAATCTTCCTCCAAAATAATCCGCAGTGCATTTGCTGCCTCTGTCGCCACTAAAGTAGCCGCAGCGAGGTCGTGCCTGAGTTGGTTCAGTCGTTGTAATAGCCACCACGAAGCTCTTATTCCGTCAAACACAGCTTTTAACACAGCAACAGAGCCAAAGACCCCCCAAACCACCGCTCTGGATACGTCTACAGTCCAAGAGTCCAGGAAAGGAAATCTATGCAAAGCTTCTCTGACCTCAGAAGCCGATGGCTTCACCCGCGGTGCGCTTGGTTCGCATTGTCTGCTAGGAGCGCAAGAGGCAACGGTTCTGCAGATGCCAAGCCTAGAGTTGGAATTTTTTGTAGTCAGACTTTCTGGAGTTTCTTCGCTCCTCAGCACTCTTCCTGCGCGTTCTACTTCTTCACCAAGTGACCGGCAATCAGCTGAATTTTTCTGCTGTTGCGCCAGTAGAGTCCGCCTCAGGGTGCAGTTGGTCCGCCGAGTCAGCTGTGGTGCAGCTGTAGGAGGCAAAAGTGCTCTTCTCCCCCCTTCACTGTGGATTTTTTGCTCCACAGCTACGCAACCCCATCGGAACCGGGCATCTAACGAGAACAACAAATTTCTTAATGCTATTTGGAATCCTGTGCATATTCTCGAGTGCAGAAGCCAGCTTCTGGTTGAAGCGTCTTTTAGAGAACGAATGCTGCCGTCGAACCGACGATTGCCACAGGTGGATCCATCTGCAGTTCCCCAAGGCCCCAAGGCTATGTGGCTCGCCCAAGCAAGGTGACCACCTCCTGCCTTTGGCCTCAAAATGTTATCGTAGATGTGGCAAAAGGCGCGTTCCTGCCAATCCAATACTTGGTAGAGGCGAAAGCGCAAGTGAGAAGCAGGAAGTTCCTTCATTCGAAGGCTACTAGACAGAAAACACCCAGTCTCCGGCACTGTTCTGTATGGGGCCGCCGAGCCCAAAAGCTTTCCAAAATACGGAGGATCAACAGTGATTTCTGGCTCTTGTGGCTGTGCGCACGAATCCTTCCGCAATCGTTCATTTTTTCCAGTGCAGGGTAATGAAATTCCAGCAGTACCAGCGGAATGTTGCTGCTGCGGCTCAGTGCAAGTCCCCGAAAAAGCTTTGACGGTGACTTCAAGTTCCTGAATCCACCTGGAAATAACATCGCAGAGAACGGTCTGCACAATGAGGAGTGAGAGCGTGTCGTATCGAAGTGCGGAGTACTGCAAGGCAGCGAGCGAGACAGCCCCCAATGGACGCGTGCTGATGTTTTGGCAGTACATCACACATGCGCAGCTTACCGTATCGCTTCTCTGACAAGTTTGTGCTGGAGCTGCATATCAGCAAGCAGCTGGTAGAGAAGCATGCAAAAGTAGCGTGCTAACAATTCCATCAGACCCCAGAGAACCACGCAGCACGCTGCCATGCCCACAGGAACCCCAACAAGTACGGCGCTGCTTAGCCGTGCAACGCTACCCGTCACAAATACTGCGGCAATGACTCCTGAAATTAGTGCCACAACGCCAGCAGCGCATGCTTTGATCGGAATAGATGGTAATAGGAGACAAGGCGACGACGTTTGCCTAGATATCCTCGCCTTCACGGACTCTGCTGCGAATGAATCCTGTATACAGCTTGCAGCACCACCTGCAGTGCTCGCAGGAGTTTCATTTTTAAGGCTCCATTGTGAGAAGAAAAGACTTTTCCTCCTGTCATCAGCCCTGAGCGATGTAATTGCGCGCACCGGATCTAGGTATCCGTAGACTGATGCAGCCGTCTGTAGGTTCGCGCACAGTCTTCTTATAGGGTACGATAGACAAGCATAGATTGTATGGGTTGCTGCGGCAGACACTTTCAGCCAAGCAGCTTCAAGCTTGTCCCCATACGTCGAAAGACTCTCAGGAGCTTCGATAGGCCACGCGCGACGCACCGTGGATCCGCCGCATCGAGACAATTGTTTGTACAATAGTTGATGGCACTCCAATCGATTGAGTTGAGGGCTACCTGCGCCGTCTGCCTCTTCCAAGCTCAGCATTTTGAGAGACGTTTATTACATAGGCTTGCCTTGCCATGCGTGTGCCTCTAATCCTTGCTATGCCCGTCTGGCATCCTGAATTTGCAGACCCCTCCAGCTGCTGAATTTTCTGCCGACGTTGACCTCGTTAGTGCAAGCTTGATTACATGAAGGTGAAGCTTAATGGGAATGTAAGGTTGTACCTTGTAGAGGAAGGCAATGTAAAGAAGAGAACAATAACCGGGAGCTCAAATAAAATCACGTAGACATACACAGTGCTGGCCTTACGCAACTGCTTCACATCTTCCGATACTGGCGTCCCCCTCAAAGGCTAAGTCGAAATCCTTTCAAGAAAAGCCTGCCGAAACTAAGAGCTGCACTAGGAATCGTTGATGTACCAGCGATAATTACAACCTGCAATGGTCTGCAAGACCACGGCCGCAGAATTGAAGCCGGTGCTCGAACACATTGGCTGGGTAACCGTGATGCGGTGGTTCGAAGTGGACCACTGCATAAAAAATATATTTAATATCTGGTAAGGCCAGCTACAAGGCATGAGTAGAGAAAAATGCCTTTCTCTGTGACAGCAGTCAATGCATGCTCCACCGTTCCTGCTGACGATTTTACCAGCCAGCGCAGCATTAAAACCATCCGCAAAGATACCCATAGCTTAATAATACGTTGAACCAATTGCTGCATACATTTAATAAATTGCTTTAATTGCTGCATCTTTTGAATGCATAATCTCATTCTTAATACTATGTACCCAGCAACGGGATTTGCAAACGTTCGTTCGCTGGCAGGCGCGCCCGTTGCTCTGCCAAACCATATACTTGGTACACGGGCTGCGTTGATGTAAAAAGTATGATTTTACAGTGGCCTTAATGGGAATATCGAGACAGGCAACCTTCTGATGAGGAACTCGGGAGGATTGGATTCAGTTTTTACAGCTGATCTCCTGATCTTGCATCTCGAAACAATTAGTAGAAACAGGGGCCTCCGAGGGGGCCTTGGGGTGGCCGAGTGAGGAACTAATTTATCTTAACCCATGCTGATTGACCATGTCAGCTCGATACAGTCTTAACGCTATCAGGTGTTGAAGCTGATCATGGTACGAAAAAACTCCCGCCTGCTCGTTGTCATCGCAAACCATTCTCCTTCTACCATAAGGCACCGCTTAATTCAATGCACAACTCATCTCTTCTACCTTTCAAAGGTGGAACAAATGAAACGGTGCTGAATTGTGGGCCTAATTTCAGTTGCGTAATCAGGCGACGCATGTCACGAGTGCTCTGTGTACGAGTGTCCAATAGCCCTATGCAGCTGTAACAGATTGACTTCATACTCGATTTTCAGAGCGCAGCAAAAAATGTATGAGGTTGATCATATAATTACTAGTGTGCCCTGCACCCCACGACAAAAGCTATAGAAAAGTGCTACTTCGGTTTGGGATAATTGGAAACCATGGGTTATACGAACTGTCTAATGAGAATACAGATTGCTCAAGCCAGCTAAGCATACACAGTTATACCATACTGCCATCCGATACAGCGAAAAGTAAATTCATTGCGGGTGAGAAGCTCTTTGCTGGGCCTGTATGGATACGAGGATTACATTCCTCGAGGACAAGCCGCTCCCTTCAAGATTTTCAGCTGTGATCGCGACCGCTTTTTTCTACTTGTTCGCGCTGCACAAGGCCACTCTTAACTATGGACACGAATGTCGGATTGAAAAGGATACGCGTTTGCAGATGATGTATACTGGTCGTTATCGCTGACAAAGCGAGCAGAGGCGCAAAAGTGCACAAGCCAGAGCACCGGTGATATATCCTGAATGCATAAAAGCAACACAACACGAATTTCCGGATACTGAGTTGCTCGTGCTTGCAGAATCCTCTGTAGGGTGTTAAGCTTAAAAGCAAAAGAGCTTTATCTAAGCAGCTCATAAATGCATTCATAATAAGTGACGAGTGACACATGCATCGAAACTGCTCATCTTAAGCCCTTCGCAAGCATTCAGACAATCAAATGTTGTTTCACTCAAGAGTAGCAAGGTACAACTACATTTTTGTGGAAGAACGGATGGCTTTTGAGTCTATTAGTAGCCTTATTATGAGCAAGCTTGGCTTGAGGCTGTACCTCTAGAAGTACGTACCTCACTACATCAGAAAACATGTCGCTCCGGACTGCCCATCGGCCCAACAAAGCAAAGGAGATCTCAAGCATGCCGTGAATAAATAGGCAAAGAGAAAACAGTGAAACAATGATAGACCCCAATGACACTTTGCTTGTCACAACGAGCCAGAGGAGCAAAGCCACTGTTCCAGTTACAAGGATGAGGGACAGCCACGCCTTCGCAGAAGGGCTGACAGCTTGAAGGTCTCCTAGCAAAGCTCTTATGGTGACAAATAATCCAGATGCTGCTATAAGGTACACTGCGCAGTCAACATCGGCGGACTGTATGGAGCTGAATACAATCAACGCATACAAAAAATTGAATGGAATTTAAAAAAGATATGTGTAAACACGTCCACTGAATGGCCAGAGGAGCCTCAAGGTATTAACAGGTGAGGTTGAAAGCTGGAGTGCGAGAAAAATCATAAGTCCGCTGCCTTACGTTGCAACGCAGGATATGATGCCCGCGGCAAGAAGGGGGAATCGTAAAAGGCGAAGTACAATAATGACTTTGTGGTGCCATACAATGTTGCACCGCTGTTCCATCTCCCCTCTCCACCAAGAAACCCACGATTCCTTAGGAACTCCCAACTCCTGCACAGACGTATCGGATTTCACCCGCTGCTGGACGTGGCATCCGCGGTAGTTTTGGGACTCAACTAGCCATAAGGTACAAACTGCTTGAAGCATCACTACAAAGATTGTTCGGTACGGAAGCCTACGCGGGAGGACATCCATGAATTCCAGTTTCTGAAATCTTGGCGCAGGCGTGGATAGTAAAATCCTAATGGGTTGAAGATGAATGGTACTGAATTAATCGATATGGCCATCAGCAAAATCGGCCATGTGTCCAAGAAAAGGACAGCTGTGTCTAAATCTGCGTACTGAGAGAGCAACACAGGCAAAACCCCTCGCCCACAGGACGCGGCAATAGATGATATCTGCTTTTCCGTAACAAAATGCACTTTGCTCGGTGCCGGCTAGAGCGGGCTCCTTATATAGGATAAGGGAGTAATTAATTCTTTCGCATGGACACCTAGTGACTGTTTACAGAGTACACTACAATCAGTTGTGTCTATGGCGTATGGCATTCACTGAATGGGGAACTTTTTGTTCTATCATCCAGGCAGATACGCTAAGTTCCCAATGCTGCTAATAGAACTGAAACTTCATTTATCTTTCCTAATGCAGCTCAACGTTTGCTCACCATGGCGTATACGGCAAGGAGAATAAAAATTTCCAAGCCGATTGAAAAATGGGTGAAATAGTAAAACATCCAGATGTCTTTTAAGGTCGCTCGCTCGATGACAAAACCACGCCCAGTCTCCTGATATTTGGCACCTCCGTAAATTAAGACATGATCTATCACGGACGCTTTGGTGCAGGCTGCAGAAGAACGCAGGGCACATGAGGGACACTCATAAGTTGCGCCACTGTTGTAGGATTCGCAAAGTGCGTTTGACTTCATCGCGTTTCTCAGAAAGGCAGAAGCATTATGCCCTGCCTGCTTCATGACTACATCCTGTATGTTTGAGAAACCTACTCATAAAATTGTAATACATGATAGCGAACTTGGTAATGAGGTCTACCAGCTTTCGCAATGCCGAACCCAGGCCCTTTTCCAGAAATAGCCATGGAATCAGCGGTAGCGCAAGGAGCATCCCAAGCTGGAACTGAATGTAGGCTGCTGGCGTCAAGACGTATTCCAGTGCACTTTCAACAGGTCCACTATAGTTGTACTCTGTGTATTAACGGAAGCACAGTAAACACCTTAAATGGCTTTTCTTACAAGGCCACCGTCGTTGGCTAGTACGCAAAACGACGCTTGCTCTCCACTTTTGAGCGCGTATACACCTAAGTGCTACTGTGTTTACAGGTTAAATTGTCAACTTCAACCTACTTGCAAAAGCCAAGAAGCATTTCGAGTACAGACAAACGTATGCAGCCAACACCAAAATGACGGAGTTTAAAAAAAATCCGGGGCCGGTGAACCACAAAGATAAAACTCGAAAAAAGTCCATGTTCAAAACCAAACGGTTTAAGTCTCGGCTAAGCACCTGCTCTCCGTTACCGCCAGCAACTTTCTTTTCAAACATAACAACTTGTTGAAGGCCAACATCACGACCCTTGCCGCACTGAAGCAGACAGCAAACTCCCAGTCTTCGCAATTGATTTTTGGTTGCTCGCGTGGTCCATTATACGCATTGAACGGTTACCGGTACAGGGGGCAAGCTATTGTCTGAACAGCAAGTCATTATATGTTGACAGTATGCTGTACGAATGCAAAACCAGCAAGACAAGAGTGCTTTCACCCCTACGGTACTCCCAGGCAATCCATGCTTCCTGCGTCGGACATTGCCGTTGTCTCGCTGAAGATTACTCAGCGCATACCTGAATGTAATCAGCATGATGTACACTGTAGCCGCGGGCAGTACAATTGAACCCAGCAAAAATGTCTTCGGAGAGGTTTATTCCGTTGGATGCCTTTGAGCAAGAGCCGCAAGTTTGCACGAAGTAGCGGTCGAATATGTCTGGGTGGCCGTAGTGCATCCGTACCTGAGCACAGAAAAGGTTTCTACGTATCTGAATCTGAGGAAGGAGGATAATCAGGGAAGGTCAAGATATCGTCTACCAAGTACAAATGGCCGGCTTCGTGTGTCCATTTCATACAACCAACCTAAAAAGCGAGGCACAGTGCGTCAAGAAGTTGAAACGAGGCTCACGCACCCTAAGAGGCGTGAAGTATAGGCGTTGGTTCGTAGTTGTGAAAAGATTTTCTTGCAGAGCCATGTAACTTGCCAAGCTTGAGACGTTTTCGGTAAAGATATGCTCTCTGAAACCTACACAAAAGGGAAAGTTATCAAGACAGGCGGGGGCAAACAGAAGTGTTGCGTCTGTGTGAAAATCGATGATTGTTCAAAAGGGGCATCAACGAGCCAGCAATCTGTCTATCGTGATTCAGCACACGTATCCAGCTCCAGAGGGCCAGTAGCATGCCTCTCTCACCCAGAATGCGCATGCGGGCATTAAGCACAAACTCCTGCAGCAAATTTCGAAGCTTGATTGCCTCCTCGAGATATGACTCCATATTCATGTCCATCACTTGCAGAGTGTCCATCCGGGAAAAAGCAATGGCTTGATTTTGGTTCTCAGGCTTCCCAGGACCAATGATGGGCATGCGAGCCCACGGCATTCCGCATTCGTCCGTAATTAGTGGCAGCCTTATCTTGTAAATTGGTTCGAGCCTCAGTGGACCCCGCCGAGAAGGCCATATCATGCCACTCTGTTGAGAGTTGCGCCGTTGTCTGGATAAGTTGCTCGCCTCAGCTTCAACCCGTGCTTGGTGGCGCGCAAGCCTGTTCTCGAAGAAGGCTACACGCTCTTTCATGGACAAAAATCCCGTGTTCTGGACTGCGCGAAGGCTGCTGTTGCTTCTCTGAACAGCAGTTCCTGACTGATTCGCTTGCTGCGAACCCCCTTGTTCCTCGGCCCTCAAGCGCTCCAGCCGTTGACTACCATGTTCACTTTCAGCGTCTCTCCTGCCAGATGGACTACGGCTGGTGCAAGGGGCCTGTGGGGAGAGTCCGCATTCTGTTTTGTGCCACGGTTCTTGCCGATGCAGCAGCAACCCCTCCGGAAGGCGAGGGCATACGCCTGAACTGGGCTGCTGGGAGTCAGCAGTGATTGCCTCTGCTCTAGGTGTAGCCAAAAAATCAGGGGCACCTGGAAAGGAATCAGAGTCGCGATCAGCTTCCCCGCAAACAGACTCTGCCGTCATGAATGCGGTCCACCGCAGTGCACCGTCCTGCCTTGGATGCAACGTGATGATAGAATGCCTCCTTGACGGTATGGCTTGTGCGTTTCTGCGAGGCTCTGAAAGGCGGCTCGCGCTCTCCTGGTCGCGAGTCTGCACCGACACTTGCTGGTCATATTCACCGACACTACCAGCGACTTCGGATTTCAAGTCCCATGGTTGGCTCTTCTGCTCAACAAAGCAGGAAGCACGTGGAAGAGATGCAGCTCGAGGGAGATCACGAGAGAAAGTCAAATCCACTGGAACCATGTGATTTCGCGCAAGATCCCGGGCGAATTGTGCCTCCAGTAGAGTCGGCTTTGAAGCCACGTCGCTGGCTATACCTTTCGCGGTGTGTAGTGACCTTTTCGCTGGACCAATTAGTCTGTCAGTGGAGCCAAGTCCTGCACGTCGTGCTTCATGTTGGACTGAACTGTTGCAGCGCGAGTCATATTTGCAGGATCCCCCTGCACAGTTTCCAAAATAACTCCCGGTCGGTCCGCGGAAATTATCCGTTCCTGGACTGGTGCCGTGATTGATCGCCGGACAGAATTTAGCCTCTCTATCCTGTTTGTTGATACCCACGCTGCTTGTCGGGAGAGTCGCACTGAAAGCCAATTGTAACGTGTCAGAGTGAGCAGTCTTTTGCAGTGGACTCACTTCAGCTCCGGAGGGATCTTTGGAATTGTCCACAGGATCCCGAGGCATGCTTTGGCACAGCAACGAGAGTAATGTCTCTCTCGGCCCCTCCGCAACTTCATGCAGTGGAGAATAAGCATCGGTTCTTGAATCAAGTTCGCTGGTGTCTCGTTGAGGGGATGCAGACTTTATGGCGCTCCTGGTCCGTGCAGCAAAAAGAGACCGGTCACACTGCTTCTTCTGGTACAACCAGTGAATAGCACGCGATATCTTCGACTCAAAATCACCGCCACCACCACTGCTCCTACCAGCATACTCGCCACTCTTATGGGCCTGAACAGACGGAATCGGCCTCGAGTTCGACTGAGCCTCAAGAATCGCTTGTCGTCGGGGGGTGCAAAAGGGATCGCCTTCGTTTTCATGCGTACCGCTGGAATTCGCTAAATACTGAGAGCTTCGTTCGAGGTTCGATAGTCCCTGTCCTAGTATCTGGCGCGTTCCTGCAACTATTGACGGTAGAAGCGATTCAGCAAATTCTGCCCGCACATGTCCCTTGGAGTCCAGTGGAACGCCTCCAAATACACCCTCTTGAACTTGTACGACCTTTTTTCCCCGCTCGTCTACTAGATCAGTAGGCGAGTCACTACTCACGTGTGGTGGAATCTCAGCAGCTTCGAGCCCTCCGCTGCTGCTCTTGCTGCTGCTACCCCCGCTTCTGGACTTTATTTTAACCGAGGCACCTGGATCCATGTTAGCACCAGGGGTACAGACAGGTATACGCGGCGCTGGGACCAGAAGATGGGGAATTCGTGCCGGATTAACCTCTCCCTCGGCTTGTCGGACGAATCTCCCCGCAGCCGTCAGTTTGCTTATGTTTGCCGATGCTGGGGCAACAATGCGCTCGCCCAGTGGATCAATATCGGCTGTCAGTCTGTAAAGAACGCTGATTTTATGGCCTGTAGGCCTCCCGTCTAGGGTGCGCTCGTGTTCAAGCGTTGCAATTCGTAGGCTAGGATAGCGCACCATTAGCTTGTAGAGAGCCACTTTTCGGAGCAGCTGTGCACGAAGGGATGGAGACGGCTCGCAGCCATCGGTTGGCATCTGGGCATAAAGATCTGTTCCAAACTCTTGAGCAGCAACCACATACTGGTACTTTAGCTGGGCAAGTTCCTGAGGGACAGAAAACACTCAAGGGGGATGAGCTGCAAATCAGTGCGCTGTGGAGGAAGCCAGCTACTTGTGACCAGTAGATTTAAAAACATTATTTAGCTTACCCGGGTCGACTGCTTTACTTCATACGGAGGTGGATAATTTACAACTTCCCTCCACAAGGCCCCTTCAGGACTCCTAATAATCTCAAGCTGAGCCTCGTCAAGCCTATTTGAATCTCGACACAAGTGTATTTCTTCTGGAGGCGTTTCCTCGAGGTATGCCTGATTGTGTTAGACGCAGAACGGCCACGCAAAAAGCTATCGCCAACGTATGTATCATGGGTAAGCAGTCATCGCCCACCTCCTCCCCGTAATCCATCCATGTTGTGTGGTACACTTGGTTCTATTTTCTCCCGTGGGAGTCCATAACTTGTGAAAACGTCCAAGAGGCTTAATGCGCGTGCTACAACACATGACTTGCCTGCATCCGAACAGCCTGTTCATAGTACATAATGCCATGTACCGTCCGCATAAGCACCTGGCCTCTACAGGAGGCCCACTCCTGGAGCATTTCGCAGAAGCGATCGTACCTGCGCAGCATCAGCAGCGCACAAGCAGAGTATATAACATAGGCTTCTTTCCAGGCAAATCGCTGTAAACACCTTTGCTGCCTACGGTAGTCTCAACTCCCTCACCGATGCAGCAGGCCACATTGTTGCATTTGGGCACGGACGTCTTGTAAAGCCAGTTTTCGACGCTCGGGAGAATCGGTGACACGATCCTCTATTTCTTGTCTTATCGTAAACATATCCCTATCACGGTCAACTCTTTCAATAAAGTTGTCAAATTCCACAGGATGCAAACTACGAAGCAAATCCATCTTGCACACTCCCTCATCTGTACGTTTCTCCAGATCCTATGCACATGCTGGCCACAATTATTTGACTAAGGAGCATAAGACGCCGCTTGAGTATTGTGTCTACTTACTTTCAGCGCCAGACAGTTCTTTTTCTAGAAGTGTGCTAGGCTTTATCGGTGAAGCAGTTGCATACTTGCAAATCAAGGCGAGTGTCTTCTCTGTAATATGGAGTGAGAGTCATCATCGAAACCATATGTCGGACAAGTGGCGTTTCAGGAATCCTCATGAGAAGCGAATTAATGAAGGTACCAAACCTAGAATAGCGTTAGAACATAAGGCATGCAAAGGGCAAGAGCCCATGTGCACGATTCGGAGAAAGTTTGAGCGTAAATGAATTAAAATACTAGCTTTTCTCCGATCGCCTTAACACAGGATATGCAGAGCTTTTTCTCATTCCTCAACGTGTTTTTCTGCTCGCTCACCTTCGCTGCGTTTCTGCACATCTGAACGACGGGTCATCAGCCTTGAGAATTTTTGCAGCCCTTCGAAAGAACAGTTTCACTGCATATTCCGTGGATGCTATCCTCTTTGAATTTTCCTGGCCTTGAATCAGGAACCTTGCGTCTTCGGATCCGTTGTCTCCCAAGACAACGTCTGCGTTCGCCTCCCCAAGCTGTGCGTGCAGCGCTCGCATCTCGGCCAGTTCTTCTGGAAGGAGTGGAAGGGCTGCACATGGCAAATGTATCATAGCCAGCTCAATCATGGTGTGGTGCGCGGGCATGCCTGCTTTGCTCGTCCAGTCGAAAACCACGAAATCTTCCCATTTCCGGTTGAACTCACCTTCAGACGTATCCCTTTTCTCTCCTTCGTTAGCAAGCAGCAAAAGGGAGGTGTGGTGCAATGAGATCTGAAGTTGCTCAATCATGACGGCCACTTCAGCACGCTGTAGAGGAGCCGGCAATATTGAGGGTATATCCTTGATCATTGAATGAGATCCAAAGCATAGGCTTACACCTCTGACGTAGCCTTGAATAACTAATGGAATATTTGATCCACCGAGTTCTTCTGGATCGCTGCTTGGTAACATAATCATCGCCAGCAATGCCTGCGGCGCAGGAACGGATGCATTGCTTTTCATGCGCATACATTAATAGCGAGTTGATGCATAACAGCGTCTTCCGGTTTGTGATTGCCTACCTTCTTCAATTGAACATTTGCTTTCGTCAAATTCTCTGCATCAGTTGATAAAGAAAAGCTGGCCTTTTGAGCGAGAACAAACACATTTTGAAGCGCTTTGGATAGAGGTTTTAAACCTTGGAGGTTGATCCACAGTAACCGCGTTGGATCCTTCTGCACCTGGAACCGCAAAAAGCAGCTCTGGGGCAAGGCATGTATGAATACCCATGCGCTTTCACCTTGCTGACTTCTCAACGCTGCCTAAAGTGTAAACGAAGGTCGCAAACCGACCCATGACCACAGATCTTCCATTGCACGAACTAGTTGTGGGCCTTCTTTGAAGTATCTTGCGACGTAGAGCATCAAAGCCTCAGAAATCTCTTGGCACGCTTGCAAATGCATCGCTTGCTCAAACCTGTAAAAATTGGCACCAATTATTTTACTCAAAGGTGCAGCAAAACATTCTACAAATTTGGGTTATGACTGTAGCTGTATAGAGGGAAATTTCCATTAGACGCTATGTGTATCCTGTCCTTCGATTCAATGGCTTTAGTGTTGCGAGAGGGGCCTCACCTAGGGTCATTCGCACTTAGATCACGCGACAAGTGCTGCTGGAAAAACTTTTTGGCTAATGCTTTTTTACTGCAAAGCCGGAGCATGTTACCGGTAACCTGGTAATGAAAGTCCTCACAACTTTTCAGAAATGTTGTTAGCTCGTTGCAGTACACAAATACAGGGTACCGGACTGCAGAATGGCGCCAGTCAACTGTTGCATTCTCACATTTTAAATGCTGAGCACAACACAGCAGGCACATCAGGATACGCAATAATTATTCGCTCAACTACTTTAAAGAAGGTAAGACGAAGGCACCCTAGTTTAGCGAGATAGCTCATGGAGGCATTGCCCCCCGTAGGCGTACTAGGTCTGAGAGGCTCTCAAACTCAAGGGAGATGCTGGGAAGCTCATTAAATTCCAACTTTTCCTGCTCAGCATAGTCTATGATGTCTTCGTCGCGCCAGCTCTGTATGATCTCATTCCATAAAAATCCAAATCTCTTTATGGCAATCAAACTACGCGTGTGTTCATTGCGTTGTGCTCCTCGACATTTTGACCTGAAGAATAATACAGCACTAGTGCATCTCCAGCTCGTCAGTCTAGTCAGAGAGAGTAACTGAGAGCTATACAACTGATGGTTAAAGATGATGCACGGTGGAATACGTTGCAGCAGCTCACTGCATCATCGTCGTGGCCCTCATTTCTGGCACCTGCATCCATGCGCACGTATTCTTTGCATAAGAGTGCGGAATACAGAGGACATACAGTAGTCAACGTTGTCGATACAAAGTTGACTTGATGGTTGGGTATGAAATGGCTTCTGCTCGTGATCCCTCTGAGAAGCTAAAGTCCTAGTGCCATAGGCTGGCAAGAGCTCACCATGTGCATATATGGATCCCTGGTATTTCCGTATTGAGCAGCAGAACGCCGTAGCTTACTCTCTATATTCATGTGTGCGAATGAGGAACTCCGCATATGTTTTGGCTGCATATCCGCTCCATTAGTCATTATCCTGCGAAGGGTTCCTCTAGTGAAAAGCCGTTTCACATTGCTTCTTTGGCGTTGCACTAGTGCCATATGGGGATGCAATAACCCAGACGCTGAAGCTGAGCAAAGTGCACGGAATATTCCAAGAATACTAACCTCAGCTTACATCGATGCTATCGGTTTTAATTTCGTAATGTAGTTTTGACATTTCACGAGGCATTTAGGGTTTGTGGCAGTGCCTTTGGGCCCTGGTAAGCCAGACGAATAGGTCATACCTGCAAAACTGGATTTAAACCCTCTTCTTCTGTCAGCTGGATCTTGAAAGACCACGCTAAGGGGCAGCATAGGTAGCAATCGCTGCTGAATTTTTCGGGAATTGGTTATGTATCCGACACGCCGAATGTAACCGTCGATGCTCCCATATATAGCTCCAAACAGCAGAAAAAAAATCTATGCGGAGGCAGCATGAGAAACACAGACTTAATGTTGCCACCAATTTTTGCTCTCGTATATTTTATGGCTGAATAACTTGAATGATGAGCAGACACATCCAAAATGATGGTTTAGCATCCACTGAAGGCTTCTGTTTACGGCATCCTGAACCCACCTGCAGGTCGAAGAGCCAGATGAGGAAAACTGGCGCCCATATAAAGCCTTGCAGTATTGCAGATACGTGTCCAGGCCAAACGACCGCAGAATTGACGTACACCGGGCGGCAAGATACGTAATCAACGTGGTTTGACGCCGCCACGATTGGTGGCAGAATGATGTACAGCCAGTACAGTGCCTTGGCAATCATGGCAAAAATCCAAAACAATGAATACCTCATCTAAGAAAACACATAGCACATTGTAGTGTTTTCCAGGGAAACTTTTGATTATTGAAAAGTAACCAGCGATATCACATTTGGCTCCGTGCTAGTGACTAGGTCGATCATGGGCCATCAGATTGATCCTACCTACACCTTTCGGAGCAAAAATCATAGAGAGCTGTCTTTTCACACTCGAAGCCTTACCACGTTAGTAAAATTTTCTGCAAGGAGAGGAACGCTGCCAGTAAAAGTGGATGGCTTGCTTAGAGGTGCCAGCCACTTGTTACTCCAAAGCATGATGAAAAAAGGCATGCGGTCACGAACGCGGATGTACAGAAAGTAATGCGCCCAGTGGCAGATGAAAAAGCTCCAGTAAAACACGCTTAGCAATCCTGAGCCATGCAAAGAACAGAGATAGCTTGGTTCTTCGCAGTCGAGTTAAAATCTACCTACTTGAGGCACGAAGACTGTGACATATTCCACGGGGTCGGAGTATCGAGGCAGAACAAGGGGTGCCTTGGAGTTGCCAAGGCACACGACACACAGTAAGTACCAGAGTTTCAAATCATACCATTCCATTGCAGCTGGGGTGATTCCAGACCGTTGAGACCTACTGCCACCAACGCCGCCAAAACAAATAACAATCGGATTGCATGCACTGGTGCCCATCTCCATATGACTTGCCAACATCTTGACTTTGTGAAAGTTCCAATATTGAGAAGCATCAGATCGAAAAACGGCATCATCCCGTAAGATAAGATGGCCACCAACGTCATGATAGCCCACTGTCTCCTGACAGAGTACATTGCCTCTGAGTACGTATTGAACACAAGTATAATCTCAATGAGTCTCTGGATGGAAGTGTCACTTAAGTCTTAACACTGCAAACCAAAGGTCCAATTATGTGGAGCACGGTATGCACCGTGTTTACCCTAGAATTTAGTCACTGTAGTGCACCTTGACTTGGAGAGTTGGCCTTACGTACAGTTGAAGGGATTGGACATGGCAAAACATTTGAAGGTGATATTTGCTCAGTCCAGAAGCAATCCTCACTGCACTTTTGCATGCCCAAATGTGTTTAAAATTTTTGTCTGAGAAGACTACCTTCGACGTTATAAGGGTTTCAGCTATTAATTGCTAAAGGAGCTGTAACGAACCTTCGTTTAGCACTGCGTAGAGGAGGAGGATTCCTGCGAACGTGGTCACGTGCCAAGCGAGCACACGCCAAAAATTCCGTAAGACCTGAACGTATAATGGCACGCGCTGACGCGTGTGCACAAAGCAAAGTTTAGGTCAGCAATTCACAGTCCAAGACAGCGCTGCTTTTGCTTGGTTGTCTGCTTCTACCACAGGAGGCGCCGGTGTGCTGCAGGAAAATTGTTCGAGCACGTTGATAGACTCCGCTCGGCTAGTGCTCAACTGACACTATGTGAAACCCTAAATCAAAACACTCACTTGGGCATAGGTTCTGTGTTCAATGAAAGTTTTCACACCAGATCCGGGTTTGGATGAGCAGGATAGTTCGGCAATGACAGCATTAAGATTATCTCTTGAAACCGAAAAGCCGATTGAAGGACGCTTCTGTGGAGGTGATCTTGACTGCGTGATCAACTTATTCAAGTGTGATCTTCTTGGCGGGGACAAGTAAATTGCATCTCCAGACGGTGTCTCTTTTTGATTAACCTCGACGTCAGTCGCCGGTCTATCGAGTAATTCAAGGCATCGGCGGTCCCAGAATAGCTCGTTGAAATCGTCATACAACAGCCTTGCATTGTGATCAGGAGTATGCAAGGCCGTCAGCATGTACCTGAGGGGTGCATGTCGGTATTGAGAAGAGTGTATCAATATATGTCAAGGCCTAATTTCAGGAGGTAGTGAGCCACTAACATGGAAAAGGTGGGATATCTACACTCGATAAGGAGAAGCATCTTAAACGCAGTGGTTTCTTACCATTGCTCATCTCGTATGCGCTGAATAACATCGCGAATGAGATCGCAAAAATCTTCCTCTGGCTTAAAGTCTTTGTCCCACGCCATGCACATCCAGTGAAAAAGCCAGCAGAGAAGCTCGGGTGTGTGCCGAAGATTTGCAGCCTCTGCCCAGAGTAATTTAAAAGTTGCTACCTCGAACATCATCTGCTGGAGCTCTTGACGTATCTGTGTCGTGCAGAGTAGGTCGCTCTCTTCGGCTGCACCCAAACCAAAAACATGCTACATGCCAAGTTCTAGCTGTACCAAAGGTGAGATTCCAGGACTTGAAAAAAAATAAGTGAGGCTCTCGGACCCTTTCGTCGCTCTAGGTATCTGACCTGCGATATTTGTGCCTTCCTTGCAAGCCGGAGAACTGGTGGGAGGGCAGTCTTCTGCACAGCTGCCTTCAAGCCAAGGGGGATTTCTCCAAGGAAAAGGTTCAGCTCCAAGATAATCGCACCACTTATAATAGTTGGCAAACAAGCGAGAATGATACTCATCTAAGGAAGCTACCAGCAAGTCCGGTCCTAGGCACGGGCTCCCAGAGGGCGTTTCGACAAGAGAGAGGTTCAGAATGCTAACGCACACGTCCTCCAATTGATTATAAAGATTATCTATTTGGAAGCGATACTGCCTTTTCACGACATACCAAATGGTCTGATCTATTACGTAAGGCGTCTGGTGAACGACTTCACCGGGCGTAGCTTTCTGCAGCAAACAAGGTCGGAGGATGCTAGTGCAGTTTAACGGCGTCACCTTCAGATCTATTGTTTAAAAACCGCAATGACTGTACACTCACGTAGTAGTCCAAAAGACTCTCCTGGTAGCTTTGGGGTGGAACTCCAAGTTTGCTTGCGTAGTACCGGGAGTCCATACGGCATAAGAACACCAGAATTTCTCGCACATACCGAGAAAGAAGGCTGTTATTCTTTTGTTCAGCATGCTTATACTCTCCTTGTGCTGCTATTTTATCAATTCTTCCAACTGGATGATAGTCAAGCATGCGGCTCCGATGTAAATTCCGCCCGTCAATGTACAAGATGTTTGATTTCACTAACCGATCACAATCCGCGATGTTAACCCCCCCTAATACCACCATTCGTGGCTCCAACTGTACATTCATTGCTTCTCTCCGTGGTAAGCAGAATAATGGAAGCTTCACTCTTGGTTAGTCCACATGGCTGGAATGCCACAGCGCGCCCACTGCGGCAGTTCATACGCGCATCCAAAAAGGGCCGTACAGGTCACTTGAAGCTTTATGACTGAAGCGAAAGCCCGCCCTTGGGTGACTTCAGAAAGTTTTATTGCTGCTCACTCTGATTTCCGAGTAGAAGGCACGTATCCTTGCGTCTGGAGACGGTCGCCCCCACGTGATCGCGTCTCGCCTGCCGATCGCCTCCACATATCTTCCCTGGCTGATTACCCCTTCCACCCCTGAATGGAAATAAAGCTATTAAAAAATAAATCAATTGTATATAAGCGTGATTCGATGATTCTTGGTAATTTAACAACAGTGACAGAGCGTTCGCGCTTATCGGGCTGTTGCGTGCCAGTGTCGGAAATCTCGCTCGTAACTGCAAAAAATGCGGCTCCTCGACATATGGCATTATTTTTTTGTCTTGAATCTGACATTCTCGAAGGAAAAATATAAGGAAAAATCAAGTGGCTGAACCTCCTGCTGTGGTTCTCTAGCATATTTGTGTATAAGGGGGTATGATATGAAGGAAAGTTGGAGGACACCGATACAGAATGTAACTATTAGCCAGTCTTTTATGTGCATTATCCGGTTCAGGTAGTAACTGTTGTGAATATATCATCATACCACACCATGCTGGTGTTTGCGGGCATATGCCTGTGAAACTAGGCGGGGGCTGTAGCGGCTAGGGCCAATGTGTGGGTGGTTCATCACACCTCCCTTCGTCTGACGCTGGCACGGGCAGCTATGAGGTGACAGTCAAGCAACAGCTGCTAGAGCGCTGATTATCCCCCAGGACTCTCAGTGAGTCTACCCGTATCACTTGAAATGTGATCCAGTCAATCTGTTGAACGGGTCGAGCCGATAGTCTAGCGGATTACAGCACCGGGTTCCACCCAGTAAAGCGCGCAGTTTTGAATTTCGTAGCTGTCGTACAATTTACGACGATTATCCCATAGTAGCAGTATAACAATGGTTTGGGGTTCAGATGCCGATAGCCACCCAGTGAAGCATGGAAAAGAGTCGTTATTTTTCATTATTCTCAAACAAATGATAGGTACCTGTCAAATGAAGCGTGCATCATAACGATTGCGATTCACACTAGAAACATTCACGACTTCGCCTTCGGAGCGGCCAGGGCTTGGTTAAATAACTCTAGAAAGTCCCTGACTTTTGGGGAAGTCGTCTTTTCAGGCCAATAACATCCGTAGATTGAGTGGCGTTACAACGCAAAGTCAAGAGCACGGTTTGCGCATCGGGGACTAGGAAACGATGTTCACTTCACTTCCTCCTGTCTGAAACGGATGCTACTATTCACAAGCAAGCTCTAGAGCATAGATAAGGACGGTGGGTATTTGAGGAAATCGCACCGCAGGCCGTTCTGAACCCCTTGCGTTGTCTACCCCAATTGGGTTCCTCGACCATTCATCAACACACAGCTTTCATAAAAGCATCCCTGCAACATGACTGAAGCTCCTCAATCTAGTTAGAGCACGCGCCACCAAGCCCCTTCAAGAGGCCCACTACAGAATCATCTGTACGAGATGACATGGCACTCTAAGATGGACATGACACTACAAGAATCATCCAAAGGCTCTGGACCTGATCTCGCACTACTCATTTCGTTTGCAGCATTTGGGGAGCTGAGTGCCTCGCTGGGGATGGTATCTAGAGAACCCATGTCAACTCTAGAGGAAATGGATTCACTTGAACTGCCAAGAGATAATGGAGGTGAGGCGGAATTGAGCTGCGTGTTGTGCAAGAGCAGCTCCCTGGCGCGGCGGCCTTCTTCTGAATCCTCTGCTAGCAAGACATCCAGCATGTCATCACTACTTGACTTCATCAGCGATGCATGGCCCGTCGGGCTGCACACATGTGCACCGCAAACACGTAGTCCACGAGCAGTGCATAGAGAACCTTTCCAAGTGCATAAACAGTGTCCATTTGAGGGGATCGCTTCCTTGTCTAAACTTGTACTAGTTCAAAGCGTACATGCGGCCTCGGATGCGGGCGAAGCGACCAGAATGGCGCTCTGAGTCATGCCAATTTTCGTCGGCATCCTTATCCTGCGTCGCGCAACACAAGATTAGCATGTAGAGTGATACACACTATACGCACATAGAATAAGCGTGGACTCTGCTAAGCAGCCAATATATTTACCAGGGGCACGCAATAAAACTTGACTTGAAAGCAACAATAGTCCTGTGCCATCTTTTCCAAAAATCTGTCAAAACTGCCATACCTGGATCTCTTGCACGGTTCCAAGTGACACAGAAGAGCTGCGGCGAATAACTTCGTTGTCACTCCCACCCGAATCGCCGGTCCTGCAGATCAGTTGGGTAATAGACTGATAACAGCTGCCCTTGCGTAGGCCATTATACTATATCTCCCCCGCCAAGGCTCATAAGACCCGTGAAAACCCTTTAAAAGCCATGAGGGCCCCAAATTTCACGTACGGGCAAAGGCAGCAAAGAAGGGTGGACGGGCCTCCATCGTTCCTTTTTGTCACATTCGAAGACCGGGAGTCGCTGAATACTGAGCTAGGCTGCAACGAGAGAACAACCCTCACTATCGAAGGACTGCCACGCGGAGTGACCAGCAACAAACATTGGGAATAGCCCAATGCGAAATAATAGAATCAAATGAAAACAGACTGGCGCTGCCCTTTCGTGAGCTGCTGATGCCGAAACCCAATCTACTTCGGAAAACCTGATAAATGCGACAAGATTCTATGCGTCTCACACGTATTTATTAACCAGCGTACTGTCTTTGAGACCGAGCTTTGGCTTCCCATGTTTGTATCTTCAGTTTCGCCATCAGATTTGCTCGCCGAATTTTGAAGCTCTTCAGCTGCAGACAGTAAGCTCCGTCAAGCTCATCCAGGTTAAAGTTCAACAAAGCCCAGATTGTTTGATAAGCCAGTAACTGTTGGGCCATTGGGTACGTACCAGCAAAGTTGAATTTGGCGTATCCCGTTGCCTTTCGCACCTTTTTCCTCGTGAATTCTGGCTTGACCGGTTGGTGCGACACCTCTTCAACACCATCACCTGTATCCTGCACATATTTTTGTCGCCAGATACACACGTTCATAAACAGTCCCCATAAAATCACACAAAAAGCCGAATAGTCAGCTAATAAGCGCACAGTGATTCATGTATCCTGCCTGGGCACCCCCCCCCGCACGCAGCTAGTAGCTTTTGTCCTTATGCTGTTGCATTGCTCCTCACCCTGTGAGCTACCATTGATACTGAATGCCTGAACTCCACCTTTCCCTTTCCCGCAGCGGGGACTTCCCATTCTGCATCCTTTTCTGCGGTAACCCAGCTAGACAAGCATCATTAGACATTGCTCTTTAAAAGTCTTATTCACAATCTTCGAGACCGGGAACGGCGCGCTCGCACGGCGGAAACGCACACTATCCACGACCGCCCTATTCTCAGCTTTCTACAGAACAGCATTCGTGAGCCCACAGAGCCAAACCGAATTGGCAGCCGTACCAACTTCAACGATATCTTCAATGCGGTTATCTTCCGGCTGCAATCCTTGAGCCTTGGCTTTCGATGCTAGCTTCTTAAGATTGTCAATGTACTCAACCTTATTCAAACCCAAAAGTTCTCCTGCCTGAAAAAACCAACAAGGGAGTAATGGCAAGTTTGTAGAACCTTGCTCTGGGGGCTGCGCATTCCGCAACTGACGACGTAGTACAGTACAGTAAACTGGTCTGCCCATCCACCTCTAATCAGCCTCGAAAGAGCTCTATGCCAAAACCCTTACTAGGTACTGGCAAAGAGTAGCCGTATTTATCCGTAGAACACCGTGGGAGAGAAAAATACATGCCCTCTTACCAGAGTGCCCGCCCTTAAGGAAAGATCCTGCATACGGTTGAAGAAAGATGTCAGGCAATAAAGTGCGGCAGCACCTTCAGGGCTCGACAAGTCAGCTGTTTCAAAAAACTTGCTGAAGGTCTGCAACACAAAAGCCGTGGCCTCTTGCTAGCCATATTAATAGATTCGTAAGCATTGCAGCCAGGAGACTACCCGGGCTACAAATACCGAGACCTAGTAGTTACTAACGAGTTGGTCACTTTGGCGCCGTCAAGCAGAAGCCAGCCGGGGATCCAAGGAAAATGATGTCCAAGGAGTCGATCCGTACATTACCTGCAAGCTCGTGGTGGTGAACTTTTCCAGGTATGCAAGCTCCTTCTGTAGGGTCTCCGGGGTGAAATCGTCTTCCCCCAGATCCATGAGGCAAGTGCCCTGGACCGGCGCATACGCCAGGCAGTACAAGTCCTGCAGTGGCAGATCGGAGATGCAGTACACTGTTCGCAGCAAAAAGTTAAGGCGTTGGTGATCAAATCGCATCTTAGAGCAACATATAAACAGGAAAACGGAGCTGTATTCTGCAAGGGTGTACCTCAAGCGGCATGTTCGAAATGGTAATTGATTGGCGCGGAAGAGGAAAGCTTCAGTTATCGGAAGCTAGAAGTTTTCTCCTCCAGGGAACAGTTTACAGAGAGGTGCTCAGTGAAGGAAGCACCGCCAGCTGTGTAACGTGAAATCCAACCGACAAAAAGGGTGCCTCCTGCTGTTAGTCAACTTGGGCAGAAAACTCCAAAGGTACCAACTGCAAACTGAATAGCTAAGAGATGCATGCAGAGAGTTGGTAAACAAAGAGATGGAGTCAAGCAAATGCTAGTTGTTGGGGCGACACCAGTTCCAACAAGTGCGCGTAGAACGATTTTCACCACATTGAGGATAGCCCTACAGCGTGGGTTAAGCTGCGGCCTCCAGCACGGCAGTAATCATACAGAGAGTCCCTAGAATCCCGCGTCGGTGGATCCTGTCAAACTGGCATGTGTCGTCTTGAACTGCAACAGTAGTTAGCCCATAAGCACTGTGGGTCTACCTATTTCACAAAGCCACCACCAGATGCTGCCCAAAAGTGCAATCAGAATATACCGAATCCGTCCTTTGGGTGACTGAGAGCAGTGTTCCAATCAGCTGTGTGCTGCTGTACCCCAAGCTGTACGATATTAGTGTCGTGGGGCAGTGATTTTCCTGCTCCAGTAGGCACCAGCTCACGCTGAGCAAAGTTGCTTGCAGACGATTTTACTGTGGAATTGCATGCGGAAGTGGAAAAAAATGGTCTGGTGCATATATATGCAAGTCACACGCACACCACTCATTTCAAGCCATCGGCCTTAGGGTGTTCCGCGTTCACTCCCAGGCCAGTTCAACTGCTTCCCAAGCGTAGAAGAAGGCTAACTAAAGAAATTAATGCACACGCGAGCCATTCCCGGAGGGCGCGAAAGAAGCAGGCCAGACCGCCGACAGTGGGCGCCCCCGTGCCAGGCCATCGAGCCCTGCGGCCGTCATTCCTGTAGCTGGGGACTACTTGACTAGCAGGCATGGGGCTTCCAAAGGGGGTCAGTGCTTTCAAGGGTAGTTACTCAAGCGATTCTGCTGGCATTTGAGAATTATTCAGGGTAAAACATACCAGGCTCTTCCTGTTTCCGTATATACGCCCCTTGACGAGCTCATTGCAGCGCAGCTTACCAGGGGCGCGAGTATAAATTGGGGAGACGCTTATTTCCGAGCTAATCTGCAGTTTTAATCGGAAACCTGGAAATCTATGAATGGATTCTGTGCACTTTTTCACTTATTGCTATGCGGTGTTCTACAGGACGTTTTCAGCCATTCGTCGAACTACCATTTCGTATCAGGGGGCTGCCAGCAACTACAGTTACAACCAATAGTCTGGCAGGCCAAACTTCACCTACACAGAGAGCAGAAGTCAGAAGGTGGTTGGCTCATAGCATTTCATTTTATTATATGGCAGATTGTTTTATTGAAGCAAACCAAATTGCACTCGCGCACTTCCTACTACACAACTCATTCTTTTCAAGTATCAGTGAGGTATTGACTGTTTCTATAGTTTGTTCCTACATCATGCTTTCTATACAAAGCAACCCTAAGCCAACAGACAAAGAAGCACTGCATTATACGAATGTGCAGCGATTCATCTGAGGCCGCTGTAACAGCACAAATAATAGACACATTGCAAACTTGAAAGAAAGCTACACAGTCTTTCAAGAGAGCTCGTGTCTTCCTCTACCCGCCACCATCATTGCTCCTAAGGTAAAGCTATTGTAGCTCAGAGTGTGACAAGAACCAGGCATCCCACCACATCCACAAGGAGTGAATGAGTGGAGGCCACTGCATTGGACCATGCAGTCCTGACCAACTGAAGGCTTTCATACACGGTCTCCGTAGAGAGACACTTCACTGCACACTCAGTACAAACATTTTAGAAAGTTGTCGGCAAGCTTCCAGAGGAGCTCCCCCACTTTCGTGCCCACGCCCCTCAGATATCCCGTAATGAGGCGCAAGGGATGGCAAGGGCGCTCGTATTGGCACCCTCAAATCAATACAGGCACTTACGGGTAGTTGCACATAGTATACAACCAGCACACATGCTTCTCCTCGTAGCGAGTTAACAGTGCGTAACAATAATTCAGGTATACAAAATACATACAATGAGCCAATTTTAAATAACCCTCAATGAAATGTGACGTGTTCTAGGAGATACTTTTGAGCGTAGCTTCTGCTACAGCTCCCCCCTCTCCCATCTCGATAAACACGATCATGTGACGCATGCCTGTTTATTGAGAACAAAAATGTGCAGAAGAGCAAAAGATTTCTCACTATCGCCATTCCCCAAGCACACAGAAACGCGAAGAGTGCAAGACACAAAGCAAAGCGGCCGTCAGCCGCTGCAATGAATTCGACGGGAATAAAGACACGTAGAGTCCCCAACAGCGAACAAGCGAAGAAACCCACACAACAGTGGCGGTGTGATGGCTGGCTGTCGTCGGATCGCTGGAACGTGGGTCACCTGCAGCAAGAACCCAGATGAAGTAGACTGTGTGAAGGGAATCAAAATGCCAAAATGTGCGATATTTTACCGCGCTTCCTACAGCAATCTCCGCACACCAATACAAGTAGTGAATACAATACGATCCCCTTCAGAGCCCCCCAAAGGCCTAAGAACTAGTGTAAAATAGGGCGCCATACATGGGGGCCCCTACAGATAAATCGGATTCTACGGAGCACGACTTCAGTAGTGACCGGAGAAGCTCTAGGCAGCATCCATGCTCTGAGCTTATCCAACTACATATCAGGCATTCCGATGACACATATAAGGTCAGCTTTTTAATATTATCATTGAGGGTAGGCCCCACCAAGTAGTCGCATGAGAAACACCCCTGGGTTCAACAGATAGCCACGACACAATATGCTCTTGTAAGCATTTCCCGTTCACCACGGGACAGCCGCACTCCTTAGGTAAGAGCCCGGTGTTGCACAGAGTCGGACTTTGTATGACATCCGGATGCCTCCATGTGTATCAGGGCCCCACCTATCTTCCCCGCTATGTTGACGCATAACATCACCTTTCTCCCAGCATGACACACCAGCTATGAAAAGCGATTGACCTTTCTTCGCCCACAAGTCGGCCAGCTGAATCAACACCTTCTCCTGTGTATTCCCACAGAGACATCTCAAGTGACGTCCTGTTAGACATTCCCATTCTTCCGTATTTTCCCCCATTCTCCTCAAGTATAGCCAATAGTGCAGTGCAGTACCCTTTTGATACTTTCGCAGTCCAAGTTCCTGAGTATCCTCGATTCATTTCTCTCTCTAGCCTTGTGTGAGAAGCGGAATTATAAAGGCATGAGTTAGCTGGAGTCATTCGCATCGCATTCAGTTCTCTCTGTTGGCCCTCCATGTCCAGCTGTTGCTTGATTTATAACCTACAGGAGGTACACGTTTCTACTTTAACTTTTTTGAATCATCTATTTTTGGGGCTTGCTTCGAAGAGAGCTTAGAGCAAATGTGGGTCTTTTGTCCTCTTCTACCCTCGCAGCCGTTCCCCTCTACTTTTCTCTCTTCTATCTGACAATTAGAGTTTGTATCCAGAGCATGCACCTATCTCACCCATGAACAGGTGCATGTTGCCGACAGAGCACTGCTCACTCAAACTGCTCGACATCCCTGCGTATAAATTTGTGGTTCTAGCAAGGATAACTGGAAGGAAAATGCCTTCTGGAATAGCTCTCATTTGTAGCGGATACTGGTGTATGCTCTGGATGCTACGTGATGCCACTGTTTGTAGAAATTACTTGCTGACTAACACTATATCTCGTCTAATAAAAACACATTAATCATTTTTAAACTATTAGTACTCAACTTTTAAGTCCTCGGAGTCCAATAGACTGACCTCAGCGCCTCCGTGTGCCATCTTTCCACCCGCATAGTTCCATCCGCACTGCCTCATAAGGACTATGGCTAGGTGTCGGAAGTAAGTCGTGGACTTTTTGCACTTTCGTTTCAGTTTCTTTGTTCAAATAAACTCATTTGTGCCTCCGAATTTACAAGATCAAACTTTCGTTGACACGCATATGCTAGCGTAGTGTGGTGCTCTACACTGCTCTTCGCGAAGATACGTTCTTCTTCGTGAGTTCGACGACTTTCTAGAGTGCTTAGCAGCGTATCAAAGCGCCGCTCAAGATTGGCTTTCCCCTGATGACGAGCTCCTGCAATGCCGCTAGGAACATAACCATTTGGTGCTACGGTCAGTCTTCGTCTTTACTGAGTCCATACTCCTAAATGGAAAGGAGGGCAATAAGCTCCGGCGCCAACTCACTGGCCTCTCCAACATGTGCTCCGGTGTACACAGCAGCGAACCCTGCACCTGGCCTAGAGGTGTTGCCAATGGATACAGGAGGGAATGAGCTTATGAGGCTTGGTTTCTGGGTAGCATCGGGGTTTGAGCTGCCCAAGTTGGACAAGCGTTCTTGACAGTTGATCATTGGTACATCTCGACTTGCCAACTTACTAGCCAGAAGAAAGGCGTTGACTTCACCATTCCACAGCTCCATGCTCAGCTCCCCTGGTGGCACCTCCACTGTAGTCTAGGGAATGAATTCCAGCTATATGCTGAGAGTGTGAAGAAAAGCAACAAAAGAGAGATAATAACTATATGCACAGCTACAAAATTTCACTGAAAGATAGTGATACGCTTACGCGCACATAGTATGTAACTGAGAAGATGCGAGTACTCTTTTACCTTTGGTTGGAAAGCTCCTGCCCTGATAATTTAGCAAATGAAGCATGGATAATTACAAGTTATTCCGACACACTAATGGAGGTGCTTGAAGATGAGAATGAGCGCCGAGATGCGCCAATGCCTAAGGAATATCTGATACAACTCTAGGGTTAATTCGTTTTGGACTTTTGTTCAGTACACCATGATCCGTCAAGTGATCACGTTTGGGGTTAGCATTTTTTCAGATACTGTTGAC